AATCAGTTTGTACAATTCAAAGGTCCTTCAGATTGCTGAACTATGGTCAAAGATCAGGACTCAGATAATCATATATTCAGTGTCCCTTGATTTAAGGTAGAAACCCTCCTGTTTTTGAGTGTTTAGATTATAGATTATATATTATAATGAACCATCACTTACTTTAGATCATTTTTTACACATTAGACTTCAGTTTGACATGATGTATTATTATCATGCATCTGTGTTAAACACTTTGAGACAATATTTTTATGACCAGAGGGTGGTAATTCTCGCCTTATAAAAGGTATCAGCTGCAGTGAATCTTACCAAATCTACAATAACTTCATATTGTGTTTTTATAAAGATGAAGGGTCACCATCACACTGGTGATCATTATCCTTTCCCTGGATGACCTGGCTCACCTTCTCCTCACAATCCTTCTGCACAGATTTCAGCTAAGCGGCTACCTACTCCTGACTTACAAGTTTTGTCTAAAGAAAGGATTTTTTTTAACCTTCTCGGCCTCTGTCTGCTGGCAGCGCAGGTTTCCTTTCAAAGAGAGGATTTCAGTCTCTTTCTGTCTGCAAGAGTCAAAACCAGTTTGACTCTTGCAGACTCTAAAGCCTTCACCAGGACATTCATGTAATTTCTGGCCAGTAACAGAGTTGACAAAAACTTGAGAACGATGATTTGATTTCCATAATCAGTTATTACAAAGAAAGTCACTGTTATATCAGCAAGAAAACCTGTTTTAAAACTTCAGATGTGGTCACAAAATGCACCAAGGATGTGACTGTATCCTGCTACATTTATCTGAAACTGCTCTATAAAAAATGCTTTTGTAATACACAACATATACACGTCATATTAAAAGTCACTGTTGTATTAGATCATATTTTCAAAACTTTTTAGAGGCTTTTTTTCTTTTTCTACTGTCCTGTTTTATCCTGTTTTTATTTTTTAGCTTATTACATACATGTCTTTTTGCCACCCTGATTGTCCATACTGTAATTTTATTATGTTGGTATATTTAGTATATACATGAAACCTATTGCATTTCTGCAATTCCTCCTCTTTTGCTCTTCCTGAGGTCTCTTCCACATTTTCTCCATCTGATAGGATTTTCGCTTTTAGATGTTTTATTACAGAAAATATATGAAACCTATGACCCAAGTAATCACACATTCTGTCATTGTGTTACTTCTGGATGGAATTATGATGAAAATAAATTATTCCTCTTCATGCTGGGGACCCCCTGGAACTCTATCAAGGAGACCTGGGGGTCCCCGTACCCCACCTTGAGAACCACTGACCTAAACAACATCCTTACAGTGGGAAGAGAAGGGAGCCACTGAAGGTGCTGTGTATATTTCCATTGTCATAGAGAGAACAGCCTGATGGGAGAATCAGGTGGATTTCATCTCCTGCTATCAGCTCTAAGACAACAGAGTTAGTCATATATTCAAGTCACTTGTCAACTTTCCACTCCGCATTATGCATAACCCCTTGGTTGTTGTTGTACACAACAATACCCATATAACCTGTTTGGTAACCACATGCAGTAAACCGGAATAAGTAGACCCGTTTGACTGGTGCTGTGAAGAAACCTACAGAGTAGAAAATTAAAAATTGCAACAAATGATTAATGTACATTTACCTGACCTGTTGGTGTTACAATCAAACTATCGCCTCAAATGTCATTTATTGTACTTTGTGTATATAGACCACCAAATGCAACAAGCGATTTTTATACTGGTTTAACAAAAATTTTAAAAACATATGAACGAAAGGAAATATTGCTCATGGGTGACCTCAACATAAATTGGCTTGATAAAGGCAAGAGAAAACAATTAAAAGACATTGCAAACTCAATACAAATGACACAATTGATTAAAAAAACCTACTAGAATAAAAAAAACCTCTCAAACTTTGATAGACCTAATATTCACCAATAAACCAGACAGGATAGTTAAAACATATAACCTAATAACTGGACTATCCGATCATAATTTTGTACTAATAGCCAGGAAATTAAATAAATCAAGATACATAAACAAAGAACAATCAAATAAACAACATTAAGAACACATTAAGAAAGTGGCTGAAAAACTCATGCCTCACTCTAAATTTAGATAAGACTGTTTCAATGTTTTTCATTATTTTTCTAAAATACAAATCTACCCTAATATTTTAATTGAAGGACAAATCATTTCAAATCAAGAACAGGTAAAATATTTAGGTGTCATATTGGAACCAAATTTAGGCTTTAAAAAACATATAAAAAAGTTATCAAATACAATAAAATTTAATATGGCACAATTCAGATACATTCGAAATTCCCTTACAATCGAGGCCTCAGGAGTCTATCTGAATGCAATGATAGTTCCTCATTTTCGATATTGTATGACAAGTTGGTCACAGGCTACTAAAACTGCTCTCAAGCCACTTGAGTCATTATATAAAACCTCTAAAGATTCACGATCAGAAAAGCAGACGATTTCATCACTGTCATATTCTTGTAAAATACCAATTTCTCAGCTTTGAAAATTTGATAATTCATACCAATCTGTGTTTGATGTATAAGATCCTTTATGACAACGCTGCTCCTCCTCTAAAACAATTTATCTCATTGGGCTCTGAAACAACAACACGAGCCACTAGATCTACAGTGCGAGGGGAATGCAGGATCCCTAAACGCAGGACAGCATTTGGAAACTCTGCCTTTTCCGGTGTGGCCGCTCGTCAGTGGAATATGTTACCTATAGAGTTGTTTAAAAGTACAAGTTCTTACACGTTCACACGCCAGGCAAAGAAATGGCTTTTATTAAATCAATTTTGTTCCCATATGTGACCAGATGTATGTATGTGTGTATATAAGTGTGTGCTCTAAGGTCTGTATATGAAAGGTGTGAACATTTCCTTTTGTACATTTTTATTTTGTCATTGTAAATCTTATTATTCATGTATGTTTTTTATGTATCTTAACTTAACATCAGCCTGCCCAGGGACTACGGGTGAAAATGAACTCTTGAGCTAAAACCCGGTACAATGCATCTTCCCCTTTGAGGTTAATGTTTATTGTACGTTGTCCCTGTTTCTCTATAAGAAGAAAAAGAAAAAAAAAAAAAAACCTTTTCACAATATTCAAATTTTCTGAGATACTGATTTTGGGGTTTTCATTAGTTGTCAGTTATAATCATCAAAATTAAAAGGAATGAACACTTGAAATATATCAGTCTGTTTGGAATGAATGTATACATTATACAAGTTTCACTTTTTGAATGGGATTACTGAAATAAATCAACTTTTTGATTATATTCTAATTATAAGATCAGCACCTGTATTACATGAAGCTGGATTGTAAGAATTGCCAATGTTGGTGAAGACCTTGCTGTATTTCAGTGTGATGACTGTGTTGTATTGTCCAACATATCCTGCATCAGTCAAAGCTGTGTAAAAGGCTACCTTTGGTTTCTCTGTTAACACAAAAAGTACATTTACAAAATTAAACTTTACCTGGGCTAAATAATAGTGTGTGTGTGTATAAGAAGATACAATCCACACCTGTATTTTCTTTCTCCTTGCTAACAAGAAGTTCACTCAGTGCTACTCAGTCTGGTCTGCAAGTCTGGAGTTAATGCGATGACAGTGAATCAGAGAGCAGAGCAGCCTCCAAAACACTTTTTACACAGTATTTAGACGCACATAGTAACTATTGACCCAAAACTCAAAAAATGTACAAGAAACTAATGTTAAGGTTCATGATGAGTAAACCATATTTTACTCTCACTGCCCAACGACTCCTAATGTTTAAATGACAAAAGAAGCCTGTGTTGTCAAATATCTGTCAGTCAGTCCTCCACTTTGGTCCAGACCGATATATCTCAAAAACTATTGAATGGATTGTCATGAAATTTTGTCCAGGCATTCATGGTCTCCAAAGAATGAATCTTACTGACTTGCGTGATCCCCTGACTTTTCCTCTGGCGCCACCATTAGGTTGACATTTATGGTTTTGAGTAAAATGTGTTAGATGGATTGCCTTGAAATTCGATGCACATATTCATGTCCCCCTCAGGATGAATTGTAATCACTTTGGTGATCTGGTAACATTTCATATAGCATCATCATCAGGTCGAAAAGGTGTTTATGACCAATATCTACATGTTGTAGGTATACATTTAGTTTTAAATGAAATAATAGCATAGAAAATAAAAAAAAACAATAAACCAACATGTTTGGTCTGCTTGGTTGATTCCTGGAGACTGCATTACAGCAACGTGATCAATGTAAACGGTCATTTCTCAGTGGTTAAGAGTCTAACTCGTATGAAATATTGAACAATTCATCTTTATCCAAATTACAGGATTTAGTTATTCAGAAAAAATCTTAGTCACCATCAAACATTTATACATCCGAATGTCTATAAATATTTGTATTTTAATTAGTTCAAATGCAGATTACGATTTTCTAAGAATGTTCTATGTTCTAATAACACATTAGGAAGCAAGAATTATTTTATTATTATCTATGAGACAACTCCTAATGTCTGCACAAACATCAGGCAAAACAGAAACACTTTTTTATGATCACTGTTGTACTGTAACTGTAGAAACCTGAATGCAGTTTATTGATAAACAGAAATATCTGAAGTAACATGCAATAATTTAAGTTCCTATGTAAAATGTACATGCTTCATTGATGTAAAAGCAATTGGAAGGAATATTTACAGCAATGCAATAAGTTTATTGTTTGATTTCTTGAACTTAAAATGTGTGTGGATAATTTAGAGCGCATAAAAATCAAATTTGTATTACACTGTTAATATTCGGAGAATAGAGGACTTTGATTGTCTTTCCAGAACTACATTCACCTTTAATTGCTTGTGGATACTCTCACAAGAAAGTTTGGGAAGTTACCTTAGAGGACAGTCAGGCAAGCAGAGAGTTGAGCCACACAATGTTTTGACCTCTTTCCCTCTCTCTCTCCTTGTTTTTCTCTCATTAATTAATCAACTTGTTTCTGTAATCTTCCTGTACCAATATTTTGTTCTATCTAAGTAAACGGATACATTTCTTACGATTTTTGGATCGAGTCTGCGCTGTTCTGTAAAGGGAGTAGTACACTGCATTGTACAAGATCTTCAGTTTCTTGGCAATTTCTTACATGGAATAGTCTTTATTTCTCAAAACAAGAACAGACTGATGTGTTTCAGAAGAAAGTTCTTTGTTTCTGGCCATTATGAGCCTGTATTGAAAACCATAATTGCTGATGCTCCAGATACTCAACTTGTCTGAAGAAGGCCAGTTTTGTTGTTTCTTTCATCAGCGTAACAGTTTTAGCTGTGCTACCATGATTGCAAAATAGTTTTCTTGTGGTTAATTAGCCTTTTAAAATAATAAACTTAGATTATATATTATATGTTTGCGCATAACAGGCCTCTGTACGCCTCTGTAGATATTCCATTACAAATCAACAGTTTGCTGCAACAATTGTTATTTACAAAATTAACAATGCCTACACTGTATTTCTGCTCAAGGTGGTGTTATTTTAATGAACAAAAAACTTGATTTTCATTCGAAAACAAGGACATTTTCTAAGCGTGTCCAAACTTTTGACTGGTTGCATACACAAAATAACTTTGTTGTGCTTGTGAATTCTTATCACTTCAAAGTAAACCAAATCCCTTTAACTGCAACATTGTTTCAGATGTAAAATTATTTTTCTAACACAGGATTTGGATTTTACAGGAAAATCCCAGAAAAACAACACAAAAATTTAATTGCAATAAAGTTCCCCACAATGATAGAACTCAAGAAAATGTGAATGGTGATGTTATTGAAAATTATGATATATAACATTTCCACATTAAAATGTTAAAACAGAAAAATGACTATACTGATGTTATATATTTTTTTAATTATGTTTTTATATTACCCAAAATGTTTCCATCAAAGAGAAATTCATGATTTTTTTCAAGTTAATGTTGTGTTTCATTTTGTTGCCTGTCAAAGGAGTCATATCCCCATTGCTCCCTCTAGTTGCTATAACTTCCAGGAAAACACAGACTACGTCAGAGAGTGAGGAAGAAAGTTGCCTAAAGTGACTAAACGTAACATGAACAAAACTTCATAAACATGAAGGAAAGTGAAGAGATATCCTGGCGCAGGAGCTACTGGTAAATTTTATCACTGTGCCATTGAAAGTGTGCTGACATACAGCGTGTCAGTGTGCTTCACCAGCTGCACGAAGACAGAACAACAAGCTCTTTGAAATAAAGTGAAATAAATAAATCATTGGGGCCCAGATCCCAAACGTCACCACCATCACCTCCTGCTGCCTACGCCAATCTCACAGCATCATCAGAGATCACTCATATCCATCCCATCACTTGTTTAACCGCTTGCCCTCAGGAAGATGGTACAGGTCTATCTGAGCAAGGACTACCAGAATAATAAACAGTTTTTCCCCCCAAGCAGTTTTGGGGAAGCAGGCTGTTAAACATACTCCACAGCTCGCACCCCTCCAGTTACGCCCTTTCCTAATCCCACACCCCCAACACAAACTCAGACAACAACTTGGAACTTTGTGTTAAGTTTTCACTATAATGCCCTACTTTGCACCTGGAAATCTTTACTATATACACTTCTTTAACTAAATAATTCGCAATAGAATTAATATTGTTAACTGTGTGTTTAGATAAGTGCCACTATTTTTATTTGTATATTTGACTTACTAACCATCTTATTTTTGTGTGTATAAGTGTTGACTTTTACAATTTACAATTGGATCAGTAAGACGCTTCGCTGTTTCGTTGTTTTATACAATGACCATATAGAAACTCAAACTTGATTACAAATCACATTATTTGATACATGCAGTAAATATACAGACATTTGATTTTTGAGGCAGCAGTGCTGAGATATATAAACATTTTCTAAAGAATCCCAGAGTTTCCAATAACAACAAGGATTGTGACATATCACTCACACAGCAGCCTAAACAACATCCTTACAGTGGGAAGAGAAGGGAGCCACTGAAGCTGTTGTGGTTTTCTCCACTGTCAAAGAGAGAATGGCCATGTGGGAGAACCAGCCAGATTTCATCTCCTGCTCTCAGCTCCAAGACAACAGAGTTAGTGAGGTACTCATGACCTGGTTCATCTTTCCGCTCCACATTATGCATAAGATGTTGGTTGTTCTTGTACACAGAAACACCCATATAACCTGCTTTATGACCACACATAGTGAACTGGAATGAGTAGACCCCTTTGAGTGGTGCTGTGAAGAAACCTACAGAGTAGAAAATGAGAAACAGTAACAAATTATTAATTTACATTTACATGACCACACACGCTCATGTGACCTGCAGTATATTACCTGTAGCTGGATTATAAGCATTGCCAATGTTGGTGAAGACCTTGCTGTATCTCAGTGTTGTTACTGTGTTGTATGGTCCAACATATCCTGCATCAGTCAGTGCTGTTTAAAAGGCCACCTTTGGTTTTTCTGTTTACACAAAAAGTACATTTAAGTCACTTAACATGGGCTAATTAATTGTGTGTGTGTGTGTGTGTGTGTGTGTGTGTGTGTGTGTGTGTGTGTGTGTGTGTGTGTGTGTGTGTGTGTGTCTGTGTGTGTGTGTGTTGTTGGTAAGAGCATAAAATCCTCACCTGTATTTTCTTTCTCCAGCTGGTCAATCCTTGACTTGCTAACTAGAAGTTCATATTCACCGCTACTCATTCTGGTCTGCAAGTCGGGAGTTAATGCGATGACAGTGAATTACAGAGTAGAGCAGCCTTCAAAATAGTAAACTGTAACATGCACAACAACACATTTTACATAGTATCTTGAACCTCATCATCTAAGTTGAACCAATACTCAAAAATGTAAGAGAAACTACTGCAAATCTTCCTGACTAGGTTAAAGCATTTTCATCTCTCACTGTCCAGCGAGTCCTCATGCCTAAATGATTGTAAATGTTTGTCTGTGGTCTCTAAAGTCAGTCCACCACTTTGGTCCAGACTGATATATCTAAAAACTACTGAATGGATTGTTTTGAAATTTTGTACAGGCATTCATGGTCACCACAGGATGAATTGTACTGACTTTGGTGATCCCCTGACTTTTCTTCTGGCGCCACCATTAGGTTGCCATTTACGGTTTTGAGTGAACTTTTGATACACACATTCATGTCCTCATTAGGATGAATTATAATCATTTTGGTGAACTTGGTGAATTTTATGTAGCACTATCATCAGGTCAAATTGTGTCCAACAGTTTTGTTTATGACCAAATGTTTTCAACACCTTTTTAGCATTTAAAGAAAAAAATTATCAAAATTAAGTTCAACAATGAATATATGCAACTGTTAAATAACAGCATAGAAAATAACAAACCATTAAATTATTATATTTGTCAGTAAAATACCTGCATTCTCTTTTTCCATGTCACTTGTTTTGCTCTCGGTGGAGGTCAGTCTGGTTCCCAAAGATGGCTTGGACTGAACAACAGAAGTTTGATTTTTTTTTAAATGTATGAATGGTTAAATTAAATAACACAATGTGCTTTGTTGTTTTGTTTAAATTAAATGTAGCTAATTGATCCTATCCACACCACATAGATTTTTAAAGATTTATTCTGGAGTTCACAACAAGTGCATCAGTTCCCTGACACACTTCAGTCAAACTCTTAAAGGACAACATTATCAATACTTAACAGGAAAAGTAACCAGTCTGTACCAGAATTCTCTCTCTGCAGCAGATCCACATACACTTTGGTGACGATCAGCTCAGCTTTCAGGTCTTTCACCTGGCTCTCGCTGTCCTTCACTCTGGCCTCCATGTTCCTCAGCTCCACTTTAAGCTCCACCACCATGTCTCTCAGTGCCCTCAGCTCCGCACAGAAGTCAGTGGTGGTTTGCTCTGTGGTCTACTCGGTCGATTCCTCATCTGCATCTCTTGGAGCTGTCTTCTGAAACTGGCTAATCTCACCCACCTCGCTGAGGCCTCCACCCTCCCCATGAGCTCCTGACCCACACAGACCGAGTAGCAACAGCAGCAAACCAAGAACAACCCTCATTGTACAGCTACACGTCTTCAAAAGGTACAGTGGTAGAGTTGTTCTGTCTTATATAGTCTCCAAACTTCAGCTGGATGAATGGGAACAACAACAAGTGCTTTTGTTTGATAGTTTGATTCAAGGACTCAGGTGATTCAATATGATCTCTGTGCTGCTGAGAAAATACAAGTTGCTACAGGCTGGTGAAACACTTGATAGTATGATAGCTTCACAGCTGTTTGTGCACTGTGTTTATTAATACACACACACACAGACAAACATAAGGCAGTTAGAATTGGCTACATTTTCTCCACTAAATATACAGGTGCATCTCAGAAAATTAGAATATCATGATTGACCATTTTGCAGTAATTTAATTAAAAAGTGAAACTTTCACATATTCTAGATTCATTACTTATAAAGTGAAATATTTCAGACCTTTTTTGTTTTAATCTTGATGATTACAGCTTACAGCTCATGGAAATCAAAGCTTTTTTCTCTGATGTTTCTGAGCCACATTTTGACTTAAAGGCAGGGTAGGTAAGTTTGAGAAACTAGCAAGAAACTGCTGGATTTTGAAAGTATCCAACAGAGAAACTCCCACCCCCTCCCTTCTGGGCTCCTTCCAATGCCACGCCCCCCAAAGCACGTGAACGCGCGATGCCAACGCTGGAGTACGAGCACAGTGAAGCGGCTCCCATCGGGGTAAGAAAACATCTAACTTTATCATTATGAGAATAAACAACTAACCCGACTGTTAGTACTCACTATCAAGCCAGCGTGTTATTATTGGATAGGTTTAAAAGGACTGACTTTGATTCAGTAACGAGCTGGCTAGCTAACTGTTAGCAACAGGTAGCTGTGCTAACAGCTGCGGTAACATTGGACAAAGCTAAAAACAGGCTGATACACATTTTCCCGTTACCACGAGTTAGTTACTCACAGACTGTATATAAGGTTACACTACAAGAACTCAATTTCGTGTTAGACTCATAACATGTACGTGGTTTTGCATGTTGGAGCTTCCAGGGTGACAGCATTATTGTCTCTTATGAGGACTGCAGCCCAGAGCGAAAAATGCTTTGGTGGACACGGGCCCTAAGCATTTTTTTCTGACGCCATGAACCCACGTACTGACAGTCTTTGACAGTCATGTTTCAGCCTTCTCTTCATGCAGAGCAAGGACCAGAGCAAGCAGGCCTACATACTTCGTGGTGACATTTTTACGTTCACTAAAATTAAGTAGGCTACCCTACTTGCAACACATTGCCTCTACGGAAATTATGTATCATAGCAACCACAGTGTCTCGAAAAAAAACACTGCGCCTCCAAAATGCACCCTGGACCTCCCAGCCAGGCGTTTTCAGAAGAGCAGGTGGCGTTTTCAGCTGGCAAAAAACGCTTTGGTGGACACAGGCCCTAACTGAGTGAAGTGAACCGGAAGTATTTCAGTGGCAGCCATGATAATTGCTGTTCGAATTCTCTAAAAGCTGAGGAAAGGTGCCTCAATGCTTCCTTTCATATCTCCTTTAGCACCGGACCATCCTTTACGAAAGGAAAGGAGAGAGTGCCGTCCCACAATTCCTTGCGGCGGCAACATTTAAAGCAGCGCACGTTCTCAAACTCAAGCGATAAAATCCATCAACCACATTTAGCAAGATCCTTGCAATACAGACGCACATTATGATACTTTAATAAGACTCACAATTACCTTCTTTCTTTTGGTTTGTTTTCTTTTGGCTTTTTTGTAATCTAATACTGTTTCAACACCGTTTTATGTTTCGGGTTGTTGAAATAAGCCATTAAGTGTTTTCTACAATAAAAATAAATCAATCACCAACGATGACGGATAAAGGAGGTTTATCACCATGTAAGTTACCATTGGCTATTAAGCCTTTTCTCTGTTATGCAATAACTTGCTAATATGCATATATCCTAAACTGTCAACAATAACGGAGACCCATGCGAGCTGTTACTAGTCTTGTAACGTGATCAAAGTGAGTATAATGTTGCAGCGTGTAACCTCACGTTATGTACTGCAGCCTTGAGCAAATTAATTTTACTTCAGTCACAGATGCTGACACACTCGCCTTAATAAAAACAAAGATCAAGCTGGATAACCTCTTCTGTAGGCGTTTCCCACACACCGATTTATTTGTGGCGGCCTGCCACATTATCAACGCTGATTTTCGATTGATTTTGTTACTATTTATAATGGGTGAAATTGTATTTGATGAGAGCGCTGCATAGCACATATGTTCTCTCAGCATCTCCTCTCGCCCCGCCGCTCCCTCTCTCTCTCTCTCGGCACAGTTACGCTGTCATTCTGTGGGAAACACTGTATTTACATGCAGTTGGGATTCATGTTGATAAATACACCTATGGGTGGGCAGGAGGGTGAGTGTGAGCAAGCATTCTCAATGTGGCGACCCTGTCCATTATTTAGTGACTGGTAGGCTACCGTATCTGCGTTTTTGCTATCTAGGTTATTAAGTAATATTTTCCACCGTGTTGTCCACCTTTAGATGCCCTGCATTGCAACAACATGGGGCGCACTGTCAAAGATGCGCTTTTTGTAGTCCGTCTTCAGAACATTGTAGTTTCATCACGGCAGGTCACGTCAGTAAAATCCGCGGTCGAATAATTACGTCACCTAGAAAAGAGCAGTCGGATTTTCTTAAACCTGGTGTCCTCTTTTCCGAAGTCCTTACGGATTCTCCTTCATATCTTTCCTTGACCTAATGACGTTATCCATCGAAGTCAAGGAAAGGTGGTTAGGAAAGGAGATTTATTTTTACTTTTCGGATGCAGCCCGGGACAGGACCGGAGTTGAGGCAAAGCAGAGAATGGATGTCTCCAATAATGACATCCAAATGTGGTATAACACTTGTTTATTGTTATTATATACTATACAAAACTACAACCTATATCACAAATAGATACTTTTTAAACATCATTAAAAATATGTATATACAGGAAGAGACAAGGTGTGTCCAGAGGTGTCTTGACTGATCATGAAGATAGTTCAGACTTTACTCGTAGCATCGTACCGCTGCTGTGGAGATGATTATATATTTCACAATCACCTCTCTGCCATGAATATCACATTTCAAAACCAAACATATTACTTTTTGTTGTACGTTTTGCTGTATCTAGCAACACAGTTGGGGCAGAGACACCTGACTGAACTCCATGTTGACGGGGATCATCGGGTCTCCTGGTTCTGCTTCTAGGCATCTCCTCAGTAGTAGACAACCGGAGGAGGAGGAGGATGGCACTGTGGAGGTCTGCGATGTAACTAGTTCTTCTCCACCTTCAATGACTACAAGCTCCACTTTCCGGACTTTTTGTTGTACACCTTGCTGTACCTGATAATACAGAAAGGAGTATCAGCTAAGTGAAATGTTTGCAATACCGGACACTGTTTTCTTATACAGTAATAAGCATTAGCACATAAAATACAATCACAACAATAAATCAGCACCATCCATCTGTATTCCTCATACTGTACAGTCTTTTTGACTCATCACTTACATTGAGTAAAATGCATAGGAGTAATAAAAATGCAACATACTGAACTGTGTCATCAGCTTTTCTCCTGGCTGGACTGTGGACACAGAGGTTGTAATCCAGGCCAGCCAGCATGGTCCAATCAGAGTATACTGGTGAGAAGTACAGCGGCTCCAAATCTGCAGGTGACCTGAGGGCACAGTAGAAATAAAACATACAGTATTTTTTACTTCTAGTAAAATAAATAATGGCATAACAGAACCAATTACAGTAAAAGGTTTTCACCCAGTAGGTTTAGCTATGAACAGTGTCAAACTATATAATAAGTAGCTTATACAACAGAAACACAAGATACTTAGGGACCTTTAGCCAGCATTGTTTAGGTACACTAACGTTGAAATGTCTTTCAGCACACAGCTACATCACCACATTTGTAAAAATGTCTTGTTCAAAGATATAACAGAGTAACATACAGTCAATCAACGCTTGCAGACACAAGATCGCACAAATAGATTAGATACAAGGTAAAAATAACGTTATGTGTAAACATAGTATAACAATGACCCTAGGTGGTGAATAACTAAACAGGTGTTCTGACGAGATATGCTGCCTTGTCGAAAAATGCTACCGTGGCGCAAATCGATAGCAGTCTGTCGAGTCGCTCTGCCCTATCAAAAAATGCTACCTTATGTGTTCCCTTTTCCAATCCCATACAGGTATAACTCTCCAAGTATTACGACGTCTTCTGTTTTTTGATTATATTATAACATAATTTCAGGGGTAGCATATTCTAAGACTAATATTCCCCATCAAATAATGCGCCAACTACAAAATACTTTTATATTGCAACACTACTCACTCCGTGTGCACTGTAAGGAGATGGGGAGCATGTTGAAATACTATATTATGACATCTTCATTTTAGATATCAGAGGTAGCATATTCTGATAGACTACCGTAATAATGATTTTATTTTTTGATATTGCTGACGATCAGCCACTGTCTCGACGGCATGCCTAACAGCAAGGTTGCACAGATTTATGGGCGTGGAAACAGACCACGTTTGTGGGACATACGCATGCGCAGAACCGCTAAGTAGCACATCTCGATAGGTAGCATAAATCGACAGAACACCGGCGCAGTGTACACCTACACTAGCTTACCTAACGTTAGCGTCGGCAAACACAGCTCTCAGCTACAGTTACATATAATTCATCATCTCTACTCTGGCTCGCTGTATGCTAAGTAGGTAGCTACATTTGCTACCGATTAAAGTAAAAAATTACCATCAAAGTGAAAAAAGCCAGATTACCTGTCCAGCATAAATGAAGCGACCACGGTGTAACTTCAGCCACTTGGGGTACCTCAGTTGTCACCGTCGTTGAAAAGCCACGCAGACATCACCTCCGATCTTACCGCTTTGCTCGTCGGGTCTCAGAGCCGACCGGATGCGCGCATGTGGGCAGCTCCTGCAGCAGCAATGCTGGTAGCCATGGCAGCGAAGGAGAGTGACAGTCAGCCAGCCAATCATTGCATTCAGTCCGAATGAAACGAGTGGCTGTGTTTACTGCAGACCTGAGAGGACTACAGACAACCGATTTTTATACTCTCTTTCAGAGCACCTAACTTTTTAATATGTATTGGTGTATAAAGACAGTTTCAACAAATATGACAAAGTGTTTTAGAAACAACTTGCCTATCCTGCCTTTATATAACAGAAAATGAACTTTTTCACAATATTCTAATTTTCTGAGATGCACCTGTACAGAGACCTTGTGTAATATAAGCTGCTTGATTTGCAAAGACCCATGTTACTGATGAACTGAAGTGTTACCTCCACTAACTGTATGTTTTCAGTCCTAAATGATAGGTAATTTCAAAACACATCAGAGTAATACTGAAATAATGTATTCACCTGCAGAGTGCACTACAGCAACACAATCAATGTAAATGGCCATTCCTCAGTGGTTAAGAGTATGAAATGTACAATTTCAAATGACTAATATTGCTGGACAGGATTTAGTTTATCAACCAACCAAAAATCAAATTGTATTTTATTTGTATTTCACTTGATTTAAATTAAGATGAGTTTCTAAGAATGTTCTAGGATTAAAATAACCACTAAAGGGGACTGAAGTTAGATGACTTGACACATTTTACTGACACATTAGGAAGTAAGAATGATTCTATAATTATCTATGAGACAACTCCTAATGCACAAACATCAGGCAAAACAGAAATGCTTTTTTTTTTTTTATGATCACTTGTAATGAATACCCAAAATAACTTTAAGTTACACACAATTGACAAAACTTTTGTGCTTGTGAATTTTTGTCACTTCAAAGTAAACCTAATCCCCTGGTATACAATTATATACAATTATTTCCTAACATGGGACTTGGATTTGGCAGGAAAATCCCATTATAGAATAACAGACATTAAACAATGGTAGAACTCAAGAAAATGCGTGTGGTGATGTTATTGAAGGATTTATAGCACAAATAAATAAGGTTAAAGATGCAAACTGAAGCACTTAAGCAATGTGTTGATGAACAAAAAACATTTCCACTTGGACATTTGACACAATACCATTTACACAAGACCAAGATTAGTCCTCATTCAGAAACCAATCGTGAGGGCAATAATGAACCAATCATATGTCACTGTTCAGTCCATAATGAAGCCAGTCTAATAGGCCAGTCCAAACATGCAGAATCTCTGGCTGTACATTCTGCATCCAGCCTCTCCCTTTATGAGGATGTAATGAGGAGTGTAGTACAATAAAAGTTCACTCATGTTACCAACCTCTATATTCATGAAATGCAGCGCAACCACTGACGGCAAACAATGTTTACCATGTGAATTACTACTGGACTTAGGCAGGTTCAATAAAAATAGCCGGTTCAAAAAGGTAAACATTACCAGTCTGTGTATCTCAGTGGGGGAAAACAATGAGATTCTACCTGTGATTGTCTCCAACACTAACCCTGAGAAGTACATGAGCGGAGTTCAAAAACAGGCCATCAATATGCTGTTCTGTGAATCAGTCAGGCTATGGCATCACCCCCAAACTTAAAGTAACCCTAAGACACATGAGTACAGTGATAAAACCGTAGTAACTCAAATCCTAACAGTAAAAAATAAAGTTCAAGGCACATCAACAGTCTAGAGTACAAATTATAGAAACTTGAAATGGCAGAGCTTAAGCCTGTAACTGTACACTACATTTCGATTAATTACCATGATGAGGCACTAGAAACAATAAAACGCATCTGTGTACTGTTATCAGTAGAGGCAGCTTATGAACCAGGTAACAGAAAGAGCAATCAAATACAAATGAAAGCCCAAACTAAAGATCAAACACAGCATTTTACATTTTTATGGAGCCACACATCTGGACACTGTCCCTGCACACGTCTGCTCGTCAAGTTTAGACTTCTGTGAGCTGCAATTACTACTTTGACAAATTACTTTTATGAGCAAGATCACAATGTTAATTTTCACATTAGGTATCATTGATTAAGAGTTATCTTTAGTGTATTTTTTAGCATTCGGAGCTACATTTAACAATAGCTTGGTAAATGTATGATCACAAAAGTTGGTTTCTTTGAACTAAAGCCAAGCTTGATTTGAAAGAAAATGACCAAAAGCTTCCATATTTACACAATCTAACTAAAAAGATAATTTATGCATTGCCGAACTCCGGTTTGTAACGAATTTAATCCCTGTCCCAAAACGCAGTGAAGGCATTCACGTATAACTTGTCTTTAAGGCGTGCTTCTATTTCAGATCATCTTACAGCTAAGTATCCCTTAAAACCACAAACAAAAACATCAAAACTTATTCGTAGTCATTTTCCGCACCATATCCTAGAACAGCGTTAGATACACGGCACATGTTAATGTGTTCATTACATAAAAAAGACATGTGGAAGGTGCTGTGGTGTTACAGGTGGTACAACTATGCATGACAGCCAAAGTAGTGGCTGGTTTGTTGTTGAGGACAGTTTTGAAGTCTTTCCAAAGCACACAGTCATGGTGTATGTTCGTATCTGTCTGTTAATTTCAGCCAGGTAAAAAATTAACCAAACATTTTGAGAAAGCACGGAGTCACAACAGCTGGAGCCCTCCTTCCTCATCTTGCAGGACCTGATCACACTTCTTCAAAGAAGGCCATCTGAGACATGTACGCAGAGTTTCGCTGCAAAACATGACAAGTATGAGCAGGGTAAGAGCAATGCAAAGGTGGCCAAAATCAGTGTAAAGAAATATGCATTCATGATGTGATTAGAAACTTGAGTATATGCAGTTATGTAAATATCCATATTGATGCAATTAATATCTTCCACAACTACCGTGTTTCATATGCTGTACATCTCATCCTACAGCAGAATAACAGTAACTGAATATTTAAAAAAGTAACTCTGTTTTGGTTCACTTTTTTCTTTATTAACAGACATCTAGTGAATAGTCACTACATTACATTGCATACTGTATATTGTTATTTCCAGGAGAAGTTAGGCTCCTCAGAAATGCCACCATTAGTCATGCGAGTGGTTCTACACATCCTTTGACATCCTTTATGTTATGTGTAGAATGTTTTCAACACCAAGCAAATATCTGTATATTAAAGTACAGAGCAGAATGTTTTAGCTTCAGGTATCCGAGAACGATTAGGATTTTCAACATAGTCCTGTCAAAAAAATGTACTGATAGAATAAAATGAGAAGAAACCCTAGTATCATGGGGTTTTCCAGTTTCCATTTGGGAGGAATATTTTTGGCACTGTCTTTCCCATTATGCTTTTGGCAATGTGAATAGGAAGTCCAGTGTTGCCATGCAGTCAGCTGGCTGTGGTCTACAAGTGAGCTCATTATTATGAAACATTAGGGAGATTGGAAACACTTATTAGTATACATGTGGTTTATTCACTCCATTAGACATTCTGACCGGTAACCAATCATCAGTAAAACTAATTATATCAGTAGTAGTAATAATAATAATAATAAGATGATCACGTAACATGATCATACGTACGTTGCTGTGAGGTATGTAGACAGGCTCCTGGACGTATCCCCTTGCTTCACTGCAGAGGTTGTACAGGCCAGCCTGTTGCTGCTGCTCCTCCAGCTTCAGAGATTCGATCTCTGTCTTCAGCTCCTTCAGCTGGTCCTGTAGGTGTTTACTCTTCTCCATGTACTCCAGCCTGCATTAATGCATGACAGGATATCATAAACAAGCAGAGCCAAACCGTCTCTCTGAAGTATTGTTAAAGGGAATTTAAACTCACCTCTCTCTCTCGATCTCCATAGACAACCGTTTCATGTCGGAGTCCTTGAAGTCGAGGCGCGTAGATGACGATTCATAGGCAAAGTCGGCTGCTTCAGGAGGAGCAGGGGGAGCAGGGGGAGTAGAGTAGGCTGCTATGAGCTGACAGACAGGCACACGTTTGTCAAGTAAGTAGTTAAAGGATGTAACACAACTACATTAATGTCTTATGACACAGAACTGCAAAAACTGAAAGCAATATGAAGGTTAATTTAATGCACATTATCAGCAAGTCACATTTTTTTATAGTAACTTTACTACTTTGACAACTTTTACTTTGAGCAACAATACAAAACCAAAGCAAACTATTCGTATCCAACTAATTCCCCTCCAAAATAAAACACAGCGATGCTTAGTTACAATCGCTCATTTATTATGTAACTTGGTTGCTAAAAAAGGTTCATCTGTACTACCTTTCTAGAGAAAAAAAAAAAGTATTAATGTGCTACTACTTGTTTGCTGTGAAATTAAAATCGAAACATGAATATCCACCAAGTATCAATATAAAGCTGGTTTTATCCCAGCGGTGTTTCCCACACAGACTATGGTGGGTGGGCCTCGGACCCACTTGAGGGTCCGGGCTCATGTGGTTCTCATATCGCGTAACATGAAGACTTCAAAGCCTCTCTTCAGGTAGGACTCTCATACTGCAACACTTGTCTTTGTAAAGAGAGAAACTCACAGGATAAAGTCACTAGCCTGCCTGTCAGCTCGCTCTGGTTCATTTCAGAGTATTTACCATAAAGGCTTGAATACGCATGCACTCCAAATTTAGGCGCGGCTAGCTTAATCGCCTTCTCACAAACGAGTGACAGAAACAGACCGTTAACGTTACCATAGCTACCTCAAAGGAAAAGTGGTTGTCTCGAGTCGGATGCAAAAGTGTGTGAGCAAGCGAGCTAACAGCAGCGTTGAGCATTTCCTACAAAAACACAACGCTGGAGGTCTGTGATGTTATTATGAGATGTGTAAAAATATTTGTGGATCATTTTGAAACTATGGTGGAACAAATTAGACTGTGGCGGGCCGCCATGGTCTCGTTAATTAATGGGAAACACTGCCCAGTCTCATACAACCCACAGGGGAAGAGATTCACACCTCTTCTGTGGCAGTGAAAGACATTCTAGGAAACATAAGAAATCACTAACTGAAGTAGAAATAAATGAGGCAACAATAATCTGTCCTAAAAATAACTCCTAATATGCACCGACCATCACAGATTGGTGAATCATTCTTCAGAAGAATCAAATATAAATCATGAGCGCTCGCGCGCGCGCACGCACACGCACAGCAGTGTTATCATCACCATACAGGGTATGTTGTTTTGGTGATCTCCAGCAGCTTCTGCTTGGCTCTCCGTTCAGCGTCTTTTGCCTCCGTCAGGTCTTGTTTCAGGTGATCTGCCTCCTTCAACCTGGAACCAGAGGTTTAGTTAGATCCAGGCTGATGGAAGTAATACTGTTATACAGTAAATACTTGGGAGTGTTATAAGCAGAATACTGTATGTGTTTCTAACTTATTATGGATAAAAGGGCAGATATAACTTAATGGTAACTATTGGTCTTTTTTACTGAACAGCTAGCTTTTTATTTAAATCTAAAATAATGAATTTGAGCTGAAACAGAGTGTCCCAGTACTATTTGTAGAGCTATAATGCAGAGGAGGAACACGTCGTCGTCTTCCCCCTCACATTTAGACATTAAAGTCTGTTTACAAATGTTGTATAAAGCCTTTTGTGGCTCTACAGGGAGATGCGTGAAGTCTGATGTCACATGACACAGAGTCAGACTGCTCCTCAAGGCTATATTAGCTGCTACTAGCATAACTGAATCTTCGACCAATCGAGTTGCATTGTGGGTAGGTGTATGTGCCAGGTTGGACGCCTGATACCTAATTCCTAGACCAAAAAACATTTAACTAGCAGACCAGACGCTTAAAGTAAAGTTTAACATCATGAATTACATTAAATGTGCCACTTTAGATACTAGGTTCTGCTTTGATCTCAATCATTTGTAATGCATCAAATGTAATGCATACATAAAGCTGTAGGTGAAGTAATAATTCAGTAAAACAAACGCGACACTATTCCAGACCTCCTCTCGGACTGCTCCACCAGTTTGACAGCCAGCTGCTCTGCCTCCCTCATCTTCTGCTCCATCAGCCTTTTCTCCTCCTTGGTCTTCATGGCAGTGACCTCTAACCTCTGCCTGTCCTGCTCAGCTTCTGCAGCCTTGTGGGCCAACAGTTTGGCCTCCTCCTCAGCAATCTGGGCCTTCTCTGCCAGCAGGTCCGCTGTCTCCTCAGATCGCAGCTAGAGAAAATGCATTGTAACATTTCAGTAGACAAACATTTATACAAACTAGTTAAAGATAAATTGTGGAAGACTTTAGGGCTTGTCATGATGGAGGACTCCGGCTCTACAACATTAATGCATTAGAAAAACGGAATGATGCCCAAACTTGAGCTCTCCCAGAAGTCTCACGTCCAGGACGAAGCTCTCACCAGTGCCTCGTTGGCCAGTCGTGCCTCGTCCTGCAGCTGGAAAAGTCTTCGTTCCATCTCTTCTTTTGCTCGTTCTGCTTCCTCCCTCATTTGTTTTTCCCGGGCCAGGATTTGACGCTCCATCTAGATGGAGAAACCCATTTAAAGCCCGTCAACCGTGATGAAATAATTATAACTGTAGTTTCCGTATGTATGCAACTTAAACATCACATCTAATCTGCAACTCTCACTACTCCGGTGGAGCGGAGAGAGCACTGACCTTCTTGCGAGCCTTCTCCTCTTTAGCTTGAGCCTTCATCTGCTGCACTTCAATGGAGTCCACCTTCCTCCTCCTCATGAATAGATCATGGTTACCAATGCATAACTGCAGGATCTAGAGACACAGAAGATACAAGCAATATCTTATTTCATTTAACTTTGTTATATTACATTTATGAGGACTAGAAGGTAAACCAACCAGCTTGTTGACACGCAGTTGAGATGAGTAGAACTTGAAAACATCTTTCTTCTTGTCCAGGGGTTTGATTGTGAACTGCAACAAGGAAAAGTTCAGTTCTTCTGCACGGTTGACACTAGGTTTTCAGCAATGTTTTGACAGACAGCACAGCTTTGATGCCTTTACAACAGTGCAGCCTAGAGTGAAAATCCCATACTGAAAGGTTGCAGATTTCACAAACAGCTGTATGTGCTGGCATAAGTGTCTCAACTCAGGCAGCAGGAAAGTGATGAGGGCAAGAAAATGATCAGTTATTCTGTCAATTTTCTTAACAAAATCATTTCCATCCAGTTAAAACATGGCACAAGATGTTGCACCCATTTCTCCAGTTCCAAAGTAACAAAAAAACCTATTTACCTCCTTTTCACTGTAAGAGATGTTGCGGATGCCGCTCCAAGGAAAGGACTTGTTAGGGTTGAGTTTGCTGTTGGGGCTGTAGATGTGAAGACCCTGAGCATCCACTCCAAGTAACAGCTCTGTGTCCCTCTTATTTTGCTGTCAATGTGATGTGTAAAACAGAACAGTAAATCAACATGACATTAATGTTTAAGGTTGCATTTTTTTTAAATACCATGCAAAATGTACCTGACAGAACTGCAATGCACAGTGATTTACACTCACAGTAATGGCAAAGTAGCTGACACCGTACATCTCAAGGTCCTGGGCGATTTTCAGGTATTCCATTTCAGCTTCGTCCCTGTATGGTCAGCGTAACAATAAAGAGAAGGCATTTCAAACCGTGATACATTTGTCACACTTCAACTGCAGAATCAAGGACAATAGCACTTGCCATGGTGTTAAATTCTCTTTACATGCTGGATTTCAGAAGCCCTCTTGGGTCAGTCCTACCTGGCGATGCCTCTGTGCTCTGCATACCAAGCTGTGATCTTCTCCTCCCACATGTCCGCTGTCATTTGGTATTGCATCAAAACCTGGGATTCAGACACGGGACCCCAGGAAAAACATTATATACACACAAAAGCACTGGCTTACTGCGGTAGAAAATACACCAAACAGACAACTGCTATAAGTAAATAAACTATTTTAACATGCTTTCGTGGATAGTCACATGAGCTGTAGTGTGTACTTACTCTTTTTGGCAAAAGCTCATCTTGTGCCAAGAAGCCTGGCTTGTGAAAGTTTGGGTCATAGTCCCCATACTGTGAGGGGAAAAGTGTAAATTGATCACGAAAGAAAGAATTTCAGGTGAACTTTAATCAACACTATTTTTTTAGATACAGGCAGGACAACCATACTGCAGGCACAGCAAATGACACTAAGGTACATTTAACCTTGCATAGCTTTCTTACCTTGGCTTGGACAGCATATGATGCCAGCAGAACAGATGCTTCGGGGGAACAGAATATCTCTTCATCTAATATTTGTTTTTTCACCTACACAAGAGTGTGAAGACGTGTGTGAACATGCATTGAACCAAGTAAACATTTTTCATTCAGTTTTCTAAAACATGGAGATAAATTTGACCTACATGTAAGAATAAAGCTGCCATCAAAATCTCCACAAGTGGTTGTATAAAAAAAAAAAAAAGGAAAGGAAATGCAATTAGTTAGATTACCTGTAAGAAGAAGAGGTGCTGAGTTATTTCTTGGACCAGCTCTTCTTCTACTTTTTCTGGGAAGAATTTAGCCAGGAAATGAAATGTTATGGGAGAGTCCTTGGGGACCTCCTGGTCCAAGACCTTGGTGAGCAAATAAACAGTAGAAGAAAAGCGTACAAGAATGTGTTTATTAGACCGCACTCACACAAAAGCCTGAATGTCGTGTCATGATCAATGTCTGTGTAATTAGTCACTAGCAACACACTAAAGTAATTCATTGCTTAATTTGTTAACTGATAATTTATCAACAATTTAAATAATCAATGAATTACTGAAGTAATTTATCAAGCAAAGATGAAAGAGACATTAGCTCCTTCCAGATTCTCAAATGTGAGGATTTACTATTTAATATCATCATAAACTGAATATCTCTGGGTTTTGTACTATTTGTCAGATAAAACCAGCAATTTGAAGATGTCTCCATGGACACTCATGCTTTGGCTATGTTCTGACATTTTATAGAGATTTAAAATAAAACAACTAACCACCTGAGCATTAGCTGAAGACCTATAATTCTAGCCGAAACTTTCAAATCATTGCATTATGCAAAACATTTAAACCACATAGTATCTGACATACTGTTCAAGTCCTCACTTAGCCAGTTTCACCCCCATGTGTTCACTCCTTCACTCACCCTTTTCTCTTGTTTTAGCCAGGCATAGGTGTCTTTTACTGTGTACCTCAGTCCAAAGAACCAGGTCTCCCTCAAACCAACAGTGCGACACACCAGGTCAAACAGGTCTTTACCTTTCCACTTCACCTGAGAAAAACAGCAAGTGATAAAGAGACTTAAGTTGCTAAAAGCAAATGTGTTGGTTTGCAGCCTCTGTAATCCTTTTTCAATAATTAAATAACTCAGAAGCATATTAACTCACACATTCTTCGTAAAGAGTAGAATATCACTTTAAACTTTATGTGGAAATCTTGATGGATTTTCTGACACCGTTTATTTAACATCATAGAAAATTAATACACTTTTTTTATTATGACATAAAACATTAACATTCAGGGGAAAGGCAGAGGCACTATATCACACCGCAAAAGCCATATATTTAACAAAAGTTCAGACTGTAATCTACAGCCTAAATTAATGACAAGATGAGATGCATCAGGATCTCAGCAGTTGTAAGACATAATTCAGTTGGTATAAATCTTACCTGGCAACAGTGAATGTTTAAATATATGGAGAAACATGCTCAAATCTTTTCTCCTTCTTTATGTGTAGTGCAAGAACTTCAAAGCTTATTTAAAAGGAATCTCTAAAGTTTGCAGACCATGGCTTGTGCAAAACAAATTATTTTATATGCAAGGATGTTTATGGCTGTTCTGAGGTGGCTAATTTCATGTGAGCTAATGAATGGTTATAGATGCAAATGCATACAATGAATATATGTACATGGAAATGATACGCATCCGTACCGAGATAGATAAAGCATCCTTTAAGGTTAAAAAGTTGACTAAATAAAATCCATACCTCACAGCTGAACTCCATTTCAGCATCCATGGTGATAACTTTGACTTTGAAAGTCTTTGGCTGTTTCTTCTTTAATCCTAGGATTGACATTTTGAGGGTGTTGCTGTCAAAGAAACCTGAGGAAAAGATTAGAATAAGTATTCCAAGAGTAGAACTGCAAAACATGACATGTGATAAGATAGATGCACCTAGTATCTAAAATGGAACATATAATGTAATTCAGGATTTTAAACTTTACTTTAAGCAACTGTTCTGCCAGTTAAATGTTTTTTGGTCTGAAAATTAGCTAGAGGGCGATCAAAATGTAATGTTTTTAAACGGTTTTACAGAAGAAGGAAAAAAACGGTTACTTTTTTGTTAAATACAAAACATGCAGCTGAAATGTAGATGAGGCCCATTACCAGGGAGCACAGTTACAAACTTCTGCCGTTCAAAAAGGCTCAGAAGAGGATGGGCTTGAGACCAATGCTAAGCTAACTGATACCACTAGACAGCGTTAGGTTTTCAGCTATGCCACGAAAACGGACCAAAACAAGTTGTAGAAAGAGTGGAACTTTAGAGAGAGGTCCATAGTGAACGGTATCCAACGCGATGACTTTGTAACTATTAAATGTGTTTGAAATATCACTTGGGAAAAACTTTGCTATCGTTATCGGAAGCTACGTGGTTTAGCAGGGTTAGCTTGCTGTTAAACATCAGGAGGACTTTCCAGAAGATTTTTGTTTTGACTCCTAGACACTCTACAGGTGGGAACACGAATAGCAGCTTGGATAGCGCTGCTGCGCATGTGCAAGAATTTGCTCGGATGCCGCCTTCAGGGGTTGTCTGAAATATTGTGTTTACCGGTGCTTTAGGGCAGAGAATATAGTGGCTGTTAATGCAGTAGCAGGGGCTCCGAGTCAAACCTGTGGGGCAGTATTATCTGTGTGGTTACTATAAAAATAACATTAAAAGCATCTGAACATTCAGGCAGCTGAGAAGGCAAAATATGTTTTTTTTTTGGTAAAAAAGTAGAAATGTCCGTGGACTTTCATTTCCCTGACAGTCTTCGCTGAGGGAATTGCGGACCGTGAACCCGCTGTTACCGCTTCCTGGTCCATTTAGCTTTGTGCTGTGAGTCTTTAATGTTGTTCCATTATATTTTTTGAAACAGCTAAGAGAAACAGCTTTAAATCCGAATGTGAACTTGTGAACAAGAAACTACAAGAAAAACAACCAGCGAGTCGACTGTTGGTAACTCTGTTATTAATTTACTATGCATGTTCACCTCTTGTGTAAAAGGCTGTGTAACGTTATTTTATATAAAGTCAGAAAAGTCTAGGCTCCCAAACAGTACAAACAGCGCAACTGAACTGAACTTAACAGTAGCGCCCACTGCAGTAGCTGCACTATGTTTCAAATCGTTCCCATATTTTCCATAGATTCATATAATTAATTAAACAGTTGAAATTAGCCTTTGCAAACTACCTCTTGATTTTAAGTTTGCATTGACATCACAAAACATATCACTGTAAGGCCAAATCAAAACCAAAATTAAGGTGATCAGCTTGTTAGAAGATGAATGGTGTCACAGGCGGGTGTGAAAGCACCCTTAAGGTCACCACTTAAGATATAAGCATACTGAACTCTCTTTGTTTTGTTTGAATGTTATGATATCTGTTATCATCTCAACTATATTGTCTCTTGTTTTTTTTCTTTGAACAGGTTTGTGTATAATGTCAGCTGTCACTAATACATTTGAAAATGTGAAAGCAGTTATCTTATCAGCTCATAAGAGCACCACATCAGCAGAAAAGGTCAACTTCTACAACTCCTGGGCAAAGAACTATGATCAGGTGAGATAAATGAAGAACAATAGGGTGATATCAGCTTAGATTTTCAGTATGTTTTTATATTTTTGTCCAGTTAAATTATGGGAAAGGTACTTAGATATTATTGTGCAGAAATTAAATAAAAATATGGGGAAAACCGTACTAAGAAAAGTAATGCAGTCCAACAATATATATTATATGGCTCTGTATCTGTGTGTTTTATAAAATACAAAATGGCTAGCCAAATGTAGTTTTACAGTACTCACAGCAATTCTACAGTATACAGTAAAGGCCACTGGTCTTTCTTAAAACTCCTTTAAATAGGATGTGGCTGTCCTGGACTACCGTGCACCAAGCCTGGCAGCAAACAGCATCTCCTCCCATTTCAGCGGCGACCGTGATGCAGCTGTCGTGTTGGATGTGGCCTGTGGTACAGGACTGGTGGCCAAACAGGTAAACTCAAAAGATAGAGAAGAAAATGTGTATATTGATTCCTTTTTGACAAAACTACAAATATTTTCTATGAAATATGACTTATGTGTTGATGTCTGGTCAGAGTTTAGAAGTATTTTGGGTAAATGTTATGATGATTTAATGATCCTTTTAGAACAGCACAGACCCCCTCACTATCAGCTTTTAGTTTCCACTTCAATTGATTTGACCAGATGATTAACAACCAAATTTGTCTCTGTTGTACAGATGAAGAGACATGGATTTTGTCATTTTGTGGGTATTGATGGAAGCGAGGCAATGTTGGAGTCGGCCAGAGAGAGCGGGCTGTACAAGGATCTGAAGCAGTGCATGCTGGGAGAGGAGCCACTACCTGTCCAGTGCGGTAATTTAATGGTTCATAATTTCACATGGGTCATCGATAACTGGGATTTAGTAGGTTAACCTCTGGCAGTGTGGTTTATTCGGTATTTGTTGTCAGATTGATTGTTATCATTTGTCTTTGTTATGATTATTTTGCTATCTGTTTACGCGCTATTTTTCATTATTTATTCATTATTTATTACCAATTGGTTGTTTTATTGTCAATGCTGTATGTTCCCCTGTGATCGAATTTGTAAACTAATCTCTAGATATTACGGCCAGTTGGCCTAAATATTATTAATCTTCAGTGTTATAATCAGTAGTAGCAGTAGTTGTAGTGACTACTTTTAGAACTGTGATAATCTCATTTTGAACTCTCTTATCTTCTCCACCTTTCCCCTCTTCACTTTCTCCTGCAGGTTACTTTGATGTAGTTGTGATCGTTGGAGCACTGAGTGTTGGTCAGGTCCCGGTTGGTGCAGTCAGAGAGTTCTGCAAGTCCACCAAACCAGGTGAGAATGTGCAGTTGCAGTTTTGATCTTTGGTTGTCTTGCAGTATCTGCTCACTGTAGGTGAGTTTTTAGTTTTCATCACACAACAGCACTGCACTGTTGCCTGTTTTACACTAGGTGGCTACGTTTGCATGACAACCAGAAGTAACCGTGACAATGTGGACTACAAAGCCGCCCTGGAGCGTGAGTTGAAGCAGATGGAGGAAGAGGGGCTCTGGACATGTGTAGAAGTTGCAGAGGTGGATGACTGGGAGAGAGCGGTGTCAGAGCTTGAGGACGGCTACATATCTGGTGCAGTGTACCTGTATAAGAAAATGTAGCACAGTGCATTACAATGTAGATGTGACATCACACCAGCAATTCAAAGCAGCATTATGCGAGAAGATGCAAAATATGACTTACATTGCACTTCAAAAATGAGGTTTTGACACTTTCAGTCTCTTAAACACCCAAAGTTGAAAATGTGAACCTGCACTTGCGGATGCAAATGTAATACTTGAAATATTCATGACTAAATGTTTGAATTTTGAATGTTTAACAATGTCCATGTTACATGCATAGGAATGTTGCAGTGAAATTGGTATTGGAAAAATGCTTTTTGTCCTCTTCATAAACAGATACAGATGTACAGTATCGTGTGGATATGTAGTAAAGTCTTCCTAATAGAAAGTGATTGCATAAACAAGAGAAATGTGTAATAAATGAAGGTGTAACTATGTCTGTTTACTCTGTGTATTTAGTGCATTAATATCTGCAATAACCAAAATAATTGTCTAGTTCATGTGTATGAGTAAGAATCCGTAAACTTTGTTACTCAGTTTAAAGATTTAGTACTGAACTGAACGAAAATTCTGGCACATCCAATTGTTAATTTGTTCAAAACAGTCACGTAGCGCTATATGGGATCATAGTCCCCTGGTGATATAGTTATGTACATTTTTGTGTGACCTGCATAATTGTGGTAACATATTTTGTTGTTTTTTATGATCTGAGCCAGTGGAAGCATGTAGATGTTAAAGAGAAGAGGTCCCAGAATGGAGCCTTGGGGAACTCCACAAGTGAATTTTCTTAGCACAGATGTGTAATTACCTATAGACACAAAGTATTCTTTAAACCATATTTGTACTGTGCCAGAAAGTCCCACACAGTTTTCAAGTCGAACATGTCAAAAGCAGCACTGAGATACAATAATACCAAGACTGAAATTTGGCTACTGTCAGTGTTCAAATGAATGTCTTTAACCTTAGACCTGGTGTGGTCGAAACCCTGACCCTGGAAGACATCAAAACAGTTATTTAGTGCCAAGAAAGCACTAAGCTGTTGAAAAACAGCTAAATGACTGCAGTTTTCAGGGCCTGTGAGGACCTGAGAGGAGAGACATGTTGACAATTTGTAGTAGATCTGAGGCCATGCAGTTAGAAACATTTTTGAAAAAAAGCTGTTGGCAGGTTTGGTTGTATTATGTCCTCCAGGTTTGCACTTCTCAATTCTAAGTTATAAATACAAAGTCTCTCTTTGTAGATGTCATAATGAACCTGGAGATTCGTTTTCTGCCACCTGCATTCAGCTTTTCGACACTCTTTTTTGAGTTCTAACCAGCGTGGCATTTCTCCATATAGACCTTTTCTTACCAGAGACCACCTTCACCTTGGCTGGTGCAATGGCATCAATAACATTTGTATCTTCAGAAATGATCTACAAGCTCATTGACTGAGACCCATGACAGGGCGGGTGTGGAAGAGGAAGCCTGAATAAATATTTCACTGGTGTTTTCGGTGATATGCCGTTTTGTGATTACCTCTGTTTTAACATTCGTGTGCACGGAGATAGCACTCTCAAAGAAAACACAGGAATGATCTTGTCATTGACAGTACTTGTCACATGTGCAACATTAAAGCCACACATTGTTGTCCGTATATAATAGTCATCATAAAGAGCTCTAGAGGTTGAAGAGTGGGGATGGTGGGATAGGGATGTTATTACTGCTGGCTTTAGCTTTTTCCACACTTCCTGTGGTACAGATGAATGGCAGTGCACCTTAAGCATTCTGTCTTGCTCTTAGGTGGAAGTAGTAACATGACCCTTCATTTTCACCTAAACACAATATGAAGTGACTGCAGAGTCTGTATGATTTACTGTAGCTGATACCTTTTATACAGCAGGGAAATGTCTCCCTCTTTCTAATTTTTAGTCAAGATTAGAAATTTCATGAAATTTTCACTGTTGGTACACATGAACATGAATTATGAAAATACTGTATTTTGTTAAAAAAAAAAGTGTTTTGGTTACCACCAGAGGGCTCAAGAGAACAGATATTAACTTTCTGTGCTTCAGCGATTTAACAAATAATTTATAAGATCTAACATCATAATATAAGATGTAAAATACTATCACAATGTTCTAACATAGGACAGTTTTTATATTAATTTATAATATACCAGAGAGAATGAGAAGTATTGAGACAGAGTGAGAAAACTGTTTTACTAACATCTTTGAATTTAATCAGATAAGCCTCAATCTAAAAGGCCTCTGATAAATGTATTTCTGTGAGTGTGTGTGTGTGTGTGTGTGTGTGTGTGTTTCTGTGAGTGTGTGTGTGTGTGTATTAATAAACATGGTGTATGTCCAGCTGTGACTGCATGAGAGGGTGTCACAGTAAAAGTGTTCCACCAGCGTGTAGCAGCTTGTATTTTCTCAGCAGCACAGAGATCAAGCTGAATCACCTGAGTCCTTGAATCAAACTATCAAACAATAACACTTGTTGTTGTTCCCATTCATTCAGCCAGCTGATGTTTAGAGACAATATAAGAAATACCTGCTCTACCACTCTACTTTTGTGAAGACGTGTAGCTGGACAATGAGGGTTTTTGGTTTGCTGCTGTTGCTGTTCGGTCTGTGTGGGTCAGGAGCTCATGGGGAGGGTGGAGGCCTCGGCGAGGTGGGTGAGATCAGCCAGTTTCAGAAGACAGCTCCAAGAGATGCAGATGAGGAATCAACCAAGCAGACCACAGAGCAAACCACCACTGACATCTGGGGTGAGGTGAGGGCACTGAGAGACATGGTGGTGGAGCTTAAAGTGGAGCTGAGGAACATGAAGGCCAGAGTGAAGGACAGCGAGAGCCAGGTGAAAGACCTGAAAGCTGAGCTGATCGTTACCAAAGTGCTGGTGGATCTGCTGCAGAAAGAGAATTCTGGTACAGACTGGTTACTTTTCCTGTTGAGTGTTGTCCTGTAAGAGGTTTACTGAAGTGTGTCAGAGCACTGATGCACTTATTGTGAGCTCCAGAATACCTCTTGATAGAATAATTTAGCAACATTTAATAAAAAAAAAATACACAAACAAAACTCTAGCTTCTTCTGATTTGCAGTCCAAGAAACCAGACTGACTGTCACCGAGAGCATAACAAGTGACCTAGAAAGAAAGAATGCAGGTATTTCACTGACAAACATGATAGTTTAACAGTTTTCATGGTTTATTATTTTCCATGCTATTATTTTAACTTGTGAAAAAGGTTGCACATACTCATTGTTAAGCACAAAATACAGCTGAGGCTGATAGGAATGAGATTAGTTTAGTAGGTATTTGTACAAAATTGTGACCTGCTGATGGCACTACATGAAAAGCTAAGAGGTCACTAAAGTGATTGTAATTCATAATCAGGGGGACATGAATATGTGTATCAAACTTCAAATCAATCCATACAACAGTTTTTGAGATATTTCAGTCGGGAAGAAAGTAGTGGACCCATGTGTTTTGGGCCTCTGGCCTTTTTTTCACAACCTTCCCCTATAATTAACCAAAATATTTGGTTGCCTGAACCAAATCTTAACCACACAGTTTTTTTAAACAGTCATATTGCTTGTTTGGGACAACACAGACAACCTATTTTGTCATTTAGGCATGAGGACTCGTTGGACAGTGAGAGTCAGGGCCGCCGATAAGGGGGAAAAAGGGGAAAGCTTTCTGGAGCCCAGCTGCTAGGGGGGCTCATGCAGTCCAGCGCTAATGTATTATTATATTATTAATATTCACCCTAAATGTAAGCACAGAGAGAGAGCACAGCATGCCTTGACATGAGTAAAGCAAATTTGCAGAGGGAGCATTTACAGGACCTTTTCAGGGGCCCAGTCATTTCTGTGGCCAGGCCTGGTGAGAGTTGAATATGGTTTAATCTTCTCGTGCACATTTATAGTAGTTTCTAGTACATGTTTAAGTTTTGGTTCAACTTAAAAGATGAGGGTCAAAATACTGTGTAAAATCTGTTGTGCATGTTAATAGTTTACTATTTTGATGGCTGCTCTACTCTGTATTTAACTGTTACTGCATTAACTCCAGACTTACAGATCAGACTGAGTAGCAGTGAGTATGAACTTCTTGTTAGCAAGTCCAGGATTGACCAGCTAGAGAGAGAAGATGTAGGTGAGGACTGTATCTTCTTATCCACAACACAGACACACATACAGTACATTACTTTGTTATTCCAGGTAGTTCAAGTTTAATGTCATAAATGTACTTTTTTGTGTAAACAGAGATACCAAAGGTGGCCTTCTACTCAGCACTGACTGATGCAGGAAATGTTGGACCATACAAGACAGACATCACACTGAAATACAGCAAGGTTTTCACCAACACTGGCGATGCTTACAATCCAGCTACAGGTAATGAACTGCAGGTCACATGAGCATGTGTGGTCATGTAAATGTACATTAATCATATGTTAATATTTTTCATTTTTATTCTGTAGGTTTCTTCACAGCACCAGTTAAAGGTGTCTACTCTTTCCAGTTCACTGTGTGTGGTAACCATAAAGGTAATATGGGTGTATATGTGTACAAGAACAAGCAAAGGATGATGTATAATGCAGAGTGGTGGGCCAATGCAGGTTATGAGTATTTATCTAACTCGGTTGTCTTGGAGCTGATAGCAGGAGATGAAGTTCACCTGGTTCTTCCAGCAGGATTTTTTGTCTTTGACAATTTAAATAACCACAGCACCTTCAGTGGCTCCCTTCTCTTCCCACTGTAAGGATGTTGGTTAGGCTGCTGTGTGACTGACTTGTTTGTTATTGGTTACACTGGGGTTCTTTAGAAAATCTTTATACATCTCAGCTGTGCTGCCTCCAAGATAAGACATTTACTGCAGGCGTCAAATAATGTGATTCTGAATCTGACTTCCCTCTTCTGTCTTAACATAAAAACAACGTTCAAATAAATCTAATTCATTGACGGTTTTGGTTTCTGTTTGTTATAATTGAGTGTCTGTCTTTATGTAGAAACTTTACATGAGACACAACTACACTGATGTTCACACACTGTAACTGTTTAGATTAAAATCTGGACCAAACTATGCTGCAAAGCCAGAGTGAGGTTTTATTGATACACTATATGGGGGTGAAAATGGGGTAACGGGGTGAAAATGGGGTAATGACATTTGAAACAACACACGTTATGTACTTGGGTCGTTGGTCTATATATTGTATCTGTACATTTAGCAGGTTTGGAATTATTGTGTTTTTGACAATGTTGACCTAAAACATCTGTTCATGTCCTTCTGAGTACTCTCACTAAGGCAACTTCTGCATTCAGAGATAAAACAATCTCTATGTAGGCTCACTTTCTAACAACAAACATGTTTTGGTATTATACAGTACAAAGCTGTTGAACACAACTGTCAGCACCAGTGGTGGAAGAAGTATTCAGAAGTAAAAGTCCCTGCTCTGCAGAAAAAAGCCCCCTGCCCTGTAACTGATATAATAATGATATATACAGTATATAGGATACATTATAACATTATTATTCTGGTAATGCTGATGCAACAATGCGTAAGCAGAATTTTACTGTTGTAGCTGGTTGAAGTGGAGCTAGTTTTATTACGTTAAACTACTTTATATATATTCAGAGGGTTTAGTTCAGAGGTTCCCAACCTAGGCTAAAGGCCTCTCTAAAGTATCAAAAGATAAATCTGAGGGGTTGTGAGATGATTAATTCTTTCATTTTTGTGCCCTTTCTCTAATCCTTGGGGGTCTTTTGTGAAATATTGGATAGTTTTGGACGTCTTTGAGCCTCAAATAGTTATTTAAATAAAACTATTTGAGAAGTTTTGAAGGGGGAGTGTCTCTTTGGTGGAACTGCTAACAACTCAGACATCTGAAACATGGCAAATTGCCACAACTACACATTGCTTCTTTTTATGGGGCCAAAAAGGTTAACCCAAATTTAGCCAAATTAAGAATGATCTCAAATTAAAGTTATTAAATGAACATTGTATGAACATCAATTGTTTCATGTCATTGCAGGATGATGGATACATGGGTAATTGTGTGTGTAACAGTGTTGTAATGTGCAAAAAACTACAGATAACTACAACTAAAACAGCAACCAAACCAAAGATGGAGTCTGTGGAGAGAAACAGAGGGGAGACAGTTAGCAGAGTGGTCTCTAACCTCAGCCCAGCAGCAGCAGCATCCTGAAGGACGAGAACAAGGAGTTACAAATACTCAACAGGACAATTAGCCCAGGTGCCCAGAGTTACTGCAATCAGCCTCAGCTCTTCACGTGCAAGGGAGAGAGAGATTGTCACATCTGGGCCCTGACAGTAAACTCATAATTTTTCAGAAACAATCCAGAAATCAGGTTAACACACACAATTTCTATTTAGACACCACTAAATTACAACACTCAAAAACTACTCTTACCTTGGCCTAAACATTACATACACAGAAACATGGCTCAGCATGGCTGTGAAAGAGCTGAGGGACAAAGTAGGGAGAGCTTTCTATGCAATAAAATGAAACATTAAAATCTATATTCTAATTGAAATCTGGAAAAACATTTGGACAAAATTTGTACAAGAACCAATAATTCTATATGGCAGCAAAATTGGGGACCAAAACTAAATAATAAATTTGGCAAATGGGACAAAACAATAATAGAATCTTTTCACACTGAGTTCTGTGAGAGCATCCTGCATTTGCATAGAAAAACACCAAATAATCTGTGCAGAGCAGAGCTCGGTCAATACCCCCTTTAACTAAAAATAAATAAAAAAACTTAAATTTTACCACTTAAAATTGTTAACCCCCAGGAATACCATCAAAAAGTCCTAACATACCAGGAGCCAAAACCAGAGAAGAGTCCCCTCAGCCAGCTGGTCCTGAGGCTGTCAGCAGAAACATGTCTAACAGCCTCAGGACAGCAACACCAACTCAAGTGGACCTAACCAAATTATTAACAAGCAAAAAGAAATAAGAAATATATATTGAATACTGGAAAGAAACGACCACAACACAAAGATACAAAATACAATGTTACTTGACCCTAAAAAGATCATTCACAATGGCAAATTACCTGAGCACAATAAATTTTCCTAAACTAAGAAAAATGTTAACAACATACAGACTGAGTGAACACAGCCTGGCCATAGAAAAGGTTCGTCATAGACAGAGCTGGCTACCACAAGAGGAGAGACTCCCAGTGTGACAGAGAACAGGTAGAGACAGAGCTGCACTTTCTAACCTCATGTCCTAAACACTTCACAAACATTTCCCAAATATACCTCAAATTCAACTTTACATCAGACACACAGAAACTCCCCTATTTACTGGGAGAAATGCCAGAATTACCAAATAATTGCAGCAAAATATCCAATCCAATCCAATCCAATCCACCTTTATTTATATAGCACCTTTAAAAACAACACTGTTGACCAAAGTGCTGAACACAGTCTACAAATAAATAACAACATACAATAAAGGCACAACAAAGAAGATTAATAAAACAATAAATCACAAAAAATAAATACAATAATACAAAACTGAAAGGACAACCCTCAAACTGTATTAAAAGCCAAAGAATCGGCTGATCAGCCGATCGGAGCGAACGAGATGGACTGTAGGGCACAAGCAGATCAGACAAATACTGGGGGGCCAAGCCATGCACACAATTAAAAACAAATAAAAGAATTTTAAAATCGGTATGAAAGTGCACTGGAAGCCAGTGTAAGGATTGGAGAACGGGTGAAATATGGGCAAATTTTCGAGATCCAGTTAAAAGACGAGCAGCTGCATTTTGAACTAGTTGTAATTGTGCCATAAGTGATTTGCTAAGACCACTATAGAGTGCATTACAATAATCTAAACGAGTGGTGATAAAAGCATGGATTAAAATCTCAAAATCATGTTGTGATAAAAACGGTTTTACTTTGGCTAGTTGCCTCAGCTGGAAAAAAATGGTTTTCACCACTGCACCAATCTGGGCATCAAGTTTTAAACAACCATTCAACTTGACTCCCAGATTTGTGACCACAGAGCTAATATCTCGGGTTAGCCAACCCAGATCAACAGGACCCGCAGAAGCGGAGTCATTCGGAGTAAGTAATATGAGCTCAGTTTTACTCTCATTTAAATACATAAAATTCATAGCCATCCATGCTTTCACTTCATTCAGACACTCTAAAAGGGTTTTTGACTGACTTAGTGGCACATAAATTTGACAGTCATCAGCATAAAGATGGAACGATACATTGTATCTTCTGAGGATTGACCCAAGAGGCAGTAAGTATATTGAAAAAAGTAACGGCCCAAGGACAGGCCCTTGAGGAACTCCGCACAACAGAGATGACACAGCATCAATAACCTGAACTGAGAAACTCCTGTCTTCCAAATATGACGTAATCCAGGCTAAGGCCAACCCCTTAATGCCCACACAATTTTCAAGCCGAGACAATAAAATTTGGTGGTCGACCGTATCAAACGCAGCTGTAAGGTCCAATAGCAGCAGAGCAACAGTGTCACCAGAGTCTAAAGCCAAAAAAATGTCATTGAGAACCCTCAGCAGAGCTGTCTCAGTGCTGACTTAGTCTGACCTAGACTGAAAAATTTCAGTTATACAATTGTCAATTAAAAATGTGCTCAGCTGCAAATAAGGGAGCTTAGAAATAGGCTGATAATTTGAGAGCTCAAGTCGGTCCAGACCAGGTTTCTTTAACAAGGGTTGAACAACTGCATGTTTAAAATTCATAGGCATGACTCCAGTAATTAGACTGACACTAACAATATCAAGTATGCAGGGCGTCACTGTAGAAACAACAACCTCTTTAAAAAGACGAGGGGGAATCACATCATTGGGGGACCCAGTGATCTTCATTTGACCAATAATTTGTTCTAAAACAGGTAAACTAACAGGCTCAAACTGATTCAACAGTAGAACAAGTTACAGAAATGCCATGGTCATTCAAAGGTGGACCAATAAGGGTCCTAATGCTCACCACCTTATGGATAAAAAAATGAAGGAACTCCTCACACATTTTTGTTGGGTTCTCCAACCACTGGAGTTGTGGGACATTAAGAATAGTTTTGAGGGTATTAAAAAGAACTCGAGGGTTGTGACCATTGGAAGAAATAATTTTAGAAAAGTACTTAATCTTTTCAGCTTTTACAATTTTTTGATAAGAACACCATCTCTCTCTAAGTAAATGAAATGACACTTGGAGTTTATCCCTCTTTCACATTCTTACCGCCCTTCTACACTCGCGAGCGCGAGTGACATCGTTCAGCCAGGGATCAGTTCTCGGTTTAGACAATTTGTTTTTTACGGGGGGCTACAATGTCCAATGCTGCTTGACAAGCAGCATTAAAACTAACACACAGATCTTCAACAGTTGTATTTGGACAGAGAGAGACACAATTTAGATTAAAAACAGAGGAAAATTGAGCAGCATATCTCCTTATGCTACAAATTGAGGACAACCAGCGGAAACTCAGACTAGGCTGATAAATAAATTAAATCATTGTACTGAAAGATTTTCTAATTATTATCATTTTCGTTGTTTGTTATATGAGTAATTGTTACTTGGAAAAAGGAACCCATGAACCATAAATACTTCATGGGTTCATTTGTTTGTTTATTTGTTTTTTAATTTCACATTTGATACTGGATTTTTTTTTCTTTGATACTGATTTTTATTAATATATTGTTGTTTCTTTATGATCCTAAACATAAAATTAGTTCTACACACACATTTGTTTGTTTGGGTTTGTTTTTAAATTTTATTTTATTTTTTTCATTTAGACATACACAGACACACACACATACGAGATTTTTAAATATTCTTTTTACACACACAGAAACAAACACACAGTTTAACTGTTTTATTTATATTTATTTTATTTTTTATTTTTATTTAATGATCTGCGTGAAATAATTGTTCGTTTGTATTATCTTGCTTTGGCAATACTGTTTATTGTAATTCATCCCAATAAAGCAAAATTGAATTGAATTGAAAGATTGGCCAAACCCACACATGACCCCACAGGATGTCACAAATGTCACAATTAGGTCAAATCTATAAAAAATGTATCTAGAGTAAACTGAAACATAAGAAAAATGCTATTAAACCTGTATAATCAAAAATCTAAATAAAGAATTCTATCTCATATTAAGGGAGTGTAAATATTATAATAAGATGTAAAATACTATCACAATGTTCTATAATGTGTGTGTGTGTGTGTGTGTGTGTGTGTGTGTGTGTGTGTGTGTGTGTATTAATAAAAAGGGTATATGCACAGCTGTGACTCCATGAGAGGGTATCACAGTAAAAGTGTTCCACCAGCCTGTAGCAGCTTGTATTTTCTCAGCGGCACAGAGATCAAGTTGAATCACCTGAGTCCTTGAATCAAACTATCAAACAAAAACACTTGTTGTTGTTCCCATTAATGCAGATAGCTGATGTTTGGAGACTATATAAGACAGAACAACTCTGCCTCTGTACTTTTGTGAAGACGTGTAGCTGGACAATGAGGGTTGTTCTTGGTTTACTGCTATTGGTACTCGGTCTGTGTGGGTCAGGAGCTCATGGGGAGGGTGGAGGCCTCAGCAAGGTCAGTGAGATCAGCCAGTTTCAGAAGACAGCTCCAAGAGATGCAGATGAGGAATCGACCAAGCAGACCACAGAGCAAACCACCACTGACATTTGGGCGGAGCTGAGGGCACTGAGAGACATGGTAGTGGTGCTCACGGTGCGTGTGGATATGCTGCAGAGAGAGAATTCTGGTACAGACTGGCTACTTTTCTTGTTGAATGTTGAAAATGTACTTTAGGAGATCTACCGAAGTATGTCAGAGCACCGATGCACTTATGAATACATCTTTACAGTGTATGTGGTATGGAAAGAATAATGTATCTACATTTAATTTAAAAAATGTAATTTTAATTCATTCATTAACTAATACATTTAATAAATAAAATTATCAAACTTTTGTTTTTCAGACCAAGCCACAGCACTAAATTCTTTGGGAATCAGACTGACCGCCACCGAGAGCAAAACAAGTGATCTAGAAAGAAAGAATGCCGGTATTTCACTGACAAACATGATGGTTTAAAAAGTTTCATGGTTTCATATTTTCTATGGTATCATTTTAGCCTGTGTTAAAGGTTGCACATACACAAGGTTAAACACAAAATACAGCTGAGGCTGATGGGAATGACATTAGTTTTGTAGGTATTTGGTCATGAACCATAATTTTGACCTGATGATGGCACTAGATGAAAAGTTAAGAGATGACCAAAGTGATTGTAATTCATCTGGAAGGGGACATGAATATCAAACTTCAAATCAACCCATCCAACAATGTTTGAGATATTTCAGTGTAGACTAAAGTGGTGGACCCATGTGTGTTGACTAATGGCCCCCTGGCCTCTTTTCCCACAACCTTCCCCTAAAATTAACCACAACGTTAAGTCACCTAAATGATGTTATCCACACAGGTGGACGATAAGAAATGACTTATGCAGAGGTGGATAGTAGGCCTAACGAGTTACATTTAATTCCTTACTGCTGACAGAGAACAGTGTCTATTGTGTAGTAGTTTCTAGTACATTTTTAAATATTGGGTCAATAGATGAGGGTCAAAATACTGTGTAAAAGGTGTTGTGCATGTTACAGCTTGCTATTTTGTTGGCTGCTCTACTCAGTAATTCACTGTCATTGCATTAACTCCAGACTTGCAGACCAGACTGAGTAGCACTGAGAGGGAACTTCTCCTTTCCAAGTCCAGGATTGACCAGCTGGAGAGAGAAAATGCAGGTGATGAAGTTTGTTTGTGTTGTGAGCAGTGTTGGGCAAGTTACTCAGAAATTGTAATATATTACTAGTTTCTTATTACTCCTTTAAAAAGTAATATTATTACTGTACTTGTTACTTGGTAAAAAAGTAACTAGTTACGTTCCTCGTTACGTTACTATATTACTTTCCAGTGTTTCCCACAGAATGACAGTGTAGCAGCAGGGGGGAAGGGGGTTGTGCAGCAGCGTAAACAAGAGAGAGAGAGAAAGAGGGAGCGAGCGAGTGAGAGGAGGTGCTGCATGAATGTATAGCCTATTAATACTTTTGTTACATTAGTGCAGGAGCATCTCAAATCTCAAAAAAATTTAATATGGTTGAAAAGTTCATTGTGAGCACCAGAACCAGACTGAGAGATTAAAGACACTTTTTCAGGTTTTTTGATTTAATTAGCTGATAAGAGCTCTTCTCAGGTCAACATTTCTGTATAATAAATAATTTATTCTGAAATTCTAATAAATTTTGGGATATTAGAGTTTTGATTCCATGAGCTGTAAGCCCTAATCATCAAGATTAAAATGAAAAAAGGCTTGAAATAGAAGAAAAAGATTGTATTTTTGAATTAAATTATGAAAGAACACAAACTTTTCCACAATATAAAATTATTTTACAGTAGATGCAGCTATAGGCTACTTGGTATATTTGTCATCAGGAGGAAATGTCTTTTCCACACTCTCTAATGTGTTTCTAATCTTTAACGTCATATTTCTCAATTATTCTCTCTTCTTATCCCACTGTGCCGAGATTAGCTGTAAAACGCCCTGAGATAATCATTTGACACAGGCTCAAGTCTAATGTATTGAAACTGTTCGCTTCACAAGAGGGAAACAAGACTCAGAACAGCCAAACATCTCTAATAGCGAGATAACATCACCTAATAACATCAAACTAGCCTGCAATACTGTCACTTAACTCAAGTGTTACAGCTGCGGGCTCACAAACCTAAAACACTTGTCCATAGTTCACTGTCTGACACTGCTTCTCTCTGTGAATGGCCGGTGAGGTTTACCTCTCCACATAAAAAACTTTGTTCATAACATCAGCTGGTTAGCTAGCTAGTAAGCTCGCTCACTGAGAGGGCGCCAGTGATACAACACAGACAACAGCCCCCTATAATGACAACAAAGAAGAAGAGTTCAATTTTTCTTCTTCTTTAGAGTTTATTAGCGGCTGGCAAACCGGCTGAAAGATGCATTACCGCCACCACGGTAAAAGAGCTTTTGCTTGATTGTTTTGGCTGTTCCAGTCAGAAAGACAGATGGGAAAAGCCGGGGCTTTTGACAAAACATTGGGGACTTAAGCCCAATTAGCCCCCCACCCCCCACCCCCGCTCCGCCTATGGCTTTCAGTAACGCAGCGTTACTTGGATTAGTAACTATAATAGTACTGTTTCAGAAAAGCAATTAGTTACACTACTAGTGACTGGGAAAAATAATAGCCTATTATTACAGTAACACGTTACTGCCCAGCACTGGTTGTGAGCTCTGAATTAATCCTTAAAATCAGTATTGCATGGATAGGGATAATTTAGCTACATTTACTGAAAGATACAGAAGAGTTCATTGTGTTATTTAAAATTATTTCACCATTCACTTACACAAATCAATCTTCTGTTTTTCAGTCCAAGCCGCAGAGCTGAGATCTTTGGGAACTAGACTGACTGCCACCGAGAGCAAAACAAGTGACCTAGAAAAAAAGAATGCAGGTATTTCACAGACAAACATGATGGTTTAATAAGTTTAACGGTTTATTATTTTCTGTGCTATATCTCTGTTAAAGGTAGCATATCTACATTATTGAATTGAATATGAGTTTCCATTTATTTAAAAAGGAAGAATAGCTTTAAAAAGTGTTTAAAATATGATCTATTACAACAGTGACTCTTAATGTGCCGGTGTTTTATAACAGTAGTGTTATAGTGCAGTTTAGATGAGTGTGAGTTTAGATGAATGTGTCACAACTTTAATCCGTAGTTACAGTCATGTCCTGAGTGCATTAGGAACACATCTGTATGAAGTTTCATTCAAAGTATGAAGACAGTTTTTAGCACTTATATAAGAAGGAAGTTAATTTTCTTTGTAATAAGAACGACTGAAATTGTCGTTCTAAAGCTTTTTTTTATTCTAAAAAACATACACTGAAGAAAGATGAGATGAGGGTCGAGATACTGTGTAAAAGGAGTTGTTTGTTTTACAGTTTGCTATTTTCAAGGCTGCTCTGCTCTGTAATTTAATTTCATCGCATTAACTCCAGACTTGCAAACCAGCCTGAGTAGCAGTGAGAGGGAACTTCTTGTTATCAAATCCAGGATTGACCAGCTGGAGACAGGAATTGCAGGTGATGGTAGCTACTTATCAACACACACACACAATTACAGAGCCTGGGTTGTGTACTAACTGGATTTCCCTCCAGTCCACACACCAAACAGACAGCTAGTTGACCACGAGGGGATATTCACTGAATTTGACAAAAAGACTTGTAGTGGATTAGAATCAAACCCCACCTTTGAGGTTAATAAATTAAATGTACTTTTTTGTGTTAACAGAGAAACCAAAGGTGGCCTTCTACACATCGCTGACTGATGCAGGAAATGTTGGACCATACAACACAGAAACAACACTGAGATACAGCAAGGTCTTCACCAACATTGGCAATGCTTACAATCCAGTTACAGGTAATATACTGCAGGTCACATGAGCATGTGTGGTCATGTAAATGTACATTAATCGTTACTCGTTTTTAATTTTCTACTCTGTAGGTTTCTTCACAGCACCAGTCAAAGGGGTCTACTCTATCCAGTTCACTATGTGTGGTCATAAAGCAGGTTATATGGGTGTTTATGTGTACAAGAACAACCAACTCATTATGTTTAACACAGAGCAGAGGAAAGAAGCAGCTTATAGATATCTCACTAACTTTGTTGTCTTAGAGCTGAGAGCAGGTGATGAAATCCACCTGGTTCTCCCACCAGGCCAGTCTCTCTTTGACAGTTTCCATAACCACAACACCTTCAGTGGCTTCCTTCTCTTCCCACTCTAAGGATGTTGTTTAGGCTGCTGTGTGATTGATTTGTCACAATCCCCTGTTATGATTGGCTACTCTGGCATTCTTTAGAAAATGCTGATATAGCTCAGCTGTGCTGCCTCCAAGACAAATCTTTACATTTACTGCATGTGTCAAATAATGTGATTCTGAATCTGACTTTCCTGTTTTGTCTTCAAAAAAAAAAAACAATCAAAGAAATGAAAGATTCATTGAAGTTTTGGATTCTGTTTATTAGTATGTAATTTGTTGTTTAATGATAGATGTATTTCCTTTGCCCACCATAGATCTATACCTGTAGTGAAACCTTAGAGCCCATAGTGAAACTGGGGCCTTGATCAGTTATTGTAAGATAAGACGTTTAAGGTCAGGTAAACAAAAGCTCTCAGACCACATCACCTCTGTTGCTTAGATCCCCAACCCTTATCTCATCATTTTAAACTGAGAATCTAATTCTATAATATTTTAGTGATATTAAATACGGCTAAGAGGCCATAAAGGTAATTTGGATGGCTCAAGTGGCAGAAACCAAAATAACTTAGCTCAAATGCATACCTACAGGTCCCTCATCCCATAAGGGGCTTGGTCTCCTCCAGACACTATCAGTGATTTCAAAAATAAAAAAGCCCCAGATGTTCTGGTCACTAGTGAAACCGGGCTCACAAACATTGTTTTAAATGCAGACATCAGGGAATTATTATTTGCAAAAAGGATCCTGTAGGTAAGTCTGCTGTTAACTTATATCTCCTCAGAGCTTTTAACAGAGGGAAATCAGTTCACAGTTCGGGAACTAAATTTAACATACACAATAAAAACATATAGTTGGCTGCATTGTTAGAAAACACAATATGCAGGCAATAAAAGACAGCACATGACAGACACCCACAAAAAACTGTACAAAATACTACACAGCACCTGCAGTGCTTTCATAAAGTACAAAGATTCTGAAGCTGCATTACTGTGTCAAAACATACGTAAACTGCAATCTTCCAAACAGTTAACCATGCGAAAATCATATGGGACTATGAAGTTAAACCTCAGGGAATCTTTGGTGGACATCTGAATATTAGGAGTCTTCTCCCAAAATGTGATGAAATCAAGGCATTACTGTTGGACTCAAATCTGGACTTTTTATGTTTAAGTGAAAGCTGACTTCATAGTAAAATACCAACATCCTTCATTGAAGTGCCTGGGTATAAATGCTTTAGAAAAGATAGAAATACTGGAAGATAGAATATTTTAGGTCTAATGAAATTGAGTTTGAATGTTTAGGTGTAAATGTATATACAGTATATCTCCAGAGATGCATTTCCAAATTTTTAATTTTCAATCGCCCATCATGTGACACTGAATTTTATGATTATTTAGAAAAATTGCTCAAAGTAATCTCATAAATCAGAAGTTATGGACTTTTGTGATTTTAATATTAATTGATCTGATATAAACATTAGAAAAAAGCTCAAAAGCTGTATGACTAAATTTGATTTTAGCCAGAAAATTGAAGGGCCGACCAGAATTACTAGGTCCTCACAGTCCCAAATTGACCTAAAGTTCACCAACAGGGAAGAACGTAGAGTGAAGACATACAATCTCATTGCGGACAAAACATTGTCTGATAACAACATGATTTTAGCGACTTGGAAACTAACTAAAAAATTTTTTATTATGGTATCCTGAAATCAGATAAATTGGCAATACCAAAACAGGATTTAATGTGCTTGGAAAATGAAGCATGTGACTTGGGATAGCGTTTTGAAAAGTAATGAATGCATGTTGTAATGATTTAATGAATATCATTGACAAAATAATTTACAAGTATCTTAAGAAAATTTGAAACTCTAATAGGAATAAGTTTCTTCCACGGATTAATGCGTCAAATAGAGAAATAATGAAGCAAAGAGATTTAGCACTCAAAGCTTTCATAAAGAGTCAAACAAATACTGTTATGGCCTTATACAAGGGGCTTCAAAACAGTAACTAAAGATCTGCAGACAGCAAAAAAACACTTATTACATTACTATGATAACAGAAGCAAAGGGCAATAATTCGCTGATTTGGAAACAAATGAATAGTTTGCTGAAATCATAGAGTAATTTTAAAATAAATATTCATGAACTTAAAATAGGAAATACAATAATATCAGAAAGTGGACAACTTGCACACGCTTTTAATGAGTACTTTATTGAGTCAGTAGAGGAGCTTGCCAATAACTTTGGACAGACTGGCTGTCCCATGAATAACACTATAAGTGAATCTTGTAGGAAAACATCCTTCGGCCAGACTTCCTTTTCAATCAAGAGAGCTAAGATCTGGAACGTGCTGCCTATTGAGCTAAAAACAGAACAAAATCAACAATTTAAAACTAAACTGAAGAAGTTTTTAAAAGATAATCAGTTGTGTAGTCATGTGTAGATATGTGGGGTGGAGGGAAGGATCGGTGGGTGGTATACATGTATGTGCTCAATTGTTTTACTGTTACTATGCTTAATGTTTGTTGTATATGTAATGTTAAAAGCCCTTCTAGGGATGGACATTGGAAATTAGCAGTAGCTATAAATGCTGTGATGTTGTGCATTGGAAAATTGTTGAACAATTCTCTATGTTTATAACATCTGCCCCTATCAAATAAAATGAAAATAAAAAAGATTCAATATGAGAAACTGGTGTCAATTTAAAGACACAATACAGCTAAGAATACTAGAGTGCTGCTGTGACTGCTGCGAGATTCATGTGCTAACATATTCTAGAAAAGAGGGTGAATAAGACAAAATTTCTAGACACTATTCTTTTTCTTACATGGAGATGTTCTTTGACATAATGTACAACTTATCATTTTGATCAAACTGCTTCCCCAATGTGATGTTTTATTTGATGTCTTGAGATAAGATTGGACATTTCATTCAATTGTCAATATTTATTCAAATTAATAGTTGTGTGTGGTGAGGCAGGTTGGTGGACCCAAATGCAGACACAGGAAACAGGCAGGAACAGTTCAAATGGTTTAATACCAACAAAAGATGAGTCCAAAAACAAATCCAAATGAAGGTGTGGGGAAAAACATGATCCAAAACACAGACAGATATCCAGGGCTGAACGAATAACACAGGAGACAAAACGTATACCAGCGACAATGACCAGACAAGGACTGAAGAGAAACAGCAAACATATATACACCAGGGACTAACGAGCAGGGCGGGAGCAACACAGGTGACAGACATGAGACTAACGAGACACAGGTAGGCAGGGAGAGAGCAGGGGAAAACAGAGAGACAGCCAGGCAGAGGGATACTGGAGGAACAGTCAGAAAACAGGTTACATATCAGAGGAATATAAATAACAAACGAATACAGACAGATAACCAAAGAACAACAACCAACAATGAAAACAGACTGAAGCGGGGATTAAAGAGAACACAGACAAGGAGTAAACTACTAAGACATTAACACCGGACTGGGAACTAAGACATGGAACCAAAACACAGACTAAAGATACCGAAGGGACTACAAATAACAGGACTGACTGAGAACTAAATGAGCAAAGCAGAACAGGCACGCCTACAGTGTGACAGGAAGGCTACACGTCTGCAAAGGAAATAGGCTATGGTATAGTTATCTGACTTCTGACCTTTGACCCCTGACCATAGTTCAGCAATCTGAAGGACCTTTGTATTGTCCAAACTGATATTAAGTGTTTTGGTTACCACCAGAGGGCTCAAGAGAACAGACAGTAACTTTCTATGGGCTTTAGTAATTCAACAAATCAATTATAAGATAAAATATTATAATAAGATGTAAAATACTATCACAATGTTCTATAACCCTCAGTCACAGTAAAAGGCCTAAAAGTGTTTCTGTGAGTGTTTGTCTGTGTGTGTGTGTATTAATAAAAAGGGTATATGCACAGCTGTGACTGCATGAGAGGGTATCACAGTAAAAGTGTTTCACCAGCCTGTAGCAGCTTGTATTTTCTCAGCAGCACAGAGATCAAGTTGAATCACCTGAGTCCTTGAATCAAACTATCAAACAAAAACACTTGTTGTTGTTCCCATTAATGCAGATAGCTGATGTTTGGAGACTATATAAGACAGAACAACTCTGCCTCTGTACTTTTGTGAAGACGTGTAGCTGGACAATGAGGGTTGGTCTTGGTTTACTGCTATTGGTACTCGGTCTGTGTGGGTCAGGAGCTCATGGGGAGGGTGGAGGCCTCAGCAAGGTCAGTGAGATCAGCCAGTTTCAGAAGACAGCTCCAAGAGATGCAGATGAGGAATCGACCAAGCAGACCACAGAGCAAACCACCACTGACATCTGGGCGGAGCTGAGGGCACTGAGAGACATGGTAGTGGTGCTCACGGTGCGTGTGGATATGCTGCAGAGAGAGAATTCTGGTACAGACTGGCTACTTTTCTTGTTGAATGTTGAAAATGTACTTTAGGAGATTTACTGAAGTATGTCACAACACTGATGCACTTATTATGAATGCATCTTTACAGTCTATGTGGTATGGATAGAATAATTTAGCTACATTTAATAAAAAAAAACAGAACTTTAATTCATTCATTAACAAATAAAATTAACGAACAAAAATCAAACTTGTTTTTCAGACCAAGCCACAGCACTAAATTCTTTGGGAACCAGACTGACCGCCACCGAGAGCAAAACAAGTGATCTAGAAAGAAAGAATGCCGGTATTTCACTGACAAACATGATGGTTTAAAAAGTTTCATGGTTTCTTATTTTCTATGGTATCATTTTAGCCTGTGTTAAAGGTTGCACATACACAATGTTAAATACAGCTGAGGCTGATGGGAATGACATTAGTCTTGTAGGTATTTGGTCATGAACCAAAGTTTTGGACAACATTTTGACCTGACAATTGTGCTAGAAGAAAAGTTAAGAGATCACCAAAATTACTGTAATTCATTTGGAATGGGACATGAATATGTGTATCAAATTAGATATCAGATATTTCAGTCTGGACTAAAGTGGTGGACCCACGTGTGTTGACTAATGGCCCCCTGGACTCTTTTCCCACAACCTTCCCATAAATCAACCAAAACGTTTAGTCACCTAAACCAAATGTTATCCACACAGGTGTCCAATGAGAAATTAGTAATGCAGAGGTGGATAGTAGGCCTAACAAGTTACATTCACTTCCTTACTGCTGACAGAGAGCAGTGTCTGTTGTGTTAATGCTAATATGCTTAATAATAGATAGCTACACGCAGTATTTCATGCTTCAGAACTACTCGTGCATTCTGCCATACTGTAAATATTCAAGCTAACAGTGTACGAGCAGTGTGCATTTAACTAAAAATTCTCATTGGTGTAGCCTGATGAAGAGAGATCAAATTAAAAAGACAAACTACTTTTATTTTATGTGGATGACTTGGAGGAGTAGACAGAGTGTTGTTTATTTTATTATTTCTTAAGTCAGTTACTTACTCAAGTAGTTATTTTGATGACCACTTTTACTTCTACTTGAGTACTTTATTTTGCAAAGGAACAGTACTTTACTTTAGTACAGTTTTTGGCTACTCTACCCCCTCTGGAATTATGTGAATTACATTGGTTGTTTCGAACGACACTGACAAACGACATATTTTGTCATTTAGGCATGAGGACTCTTTGGCCAGTGAGAGAGGAATAAGAGTTAATCTTGTTATTAACATTAACAGTAGTTTCTAGTGCATTTTTGAATTTTGGATCAGTAGATAAGATGAGTGTCACAATGCTGTGTAAAAGGTTAACATTTTGCAATTTTGATGGCTGCTCTACTCAGTAATTCACTGTCATTGCATTAACTCCAGACTTGCAGACCAGACTGAGTAGCACTGAGAGGGAACTTCTCCTTTCCAAGTCCAGGATTGACCAGCTGGAGAGAGAAAATGCAGGTGATGAAGTTTGTTTGTGTTGTGAGCTCTGAAATGAATCCTTAAAATCAGTATTGCATGGATAGGGATAATTTTTCTACATTTACTGAAAGATACAGCAGAGCTCATTGTGTTATTTAAATAATAATTAAATTAAAAATAAATAATTTAACCATTCACAAAACCAACACAAATCCATCTTCTGATTTTCAGTCCAAACCACAGAGCTGAGGTCGTTGGGAACTAGACTCACCGCCACCGAAAGTAAAACAAGTGACCTAGAAAAAAAGAATTCAGGTATTTCACTGACAAACATAAGGGTTCAATATGTTTCAGGGTTCAATATTTTCTGTGCTATTATTTTGACCTCTGTTAAAGGTAGCTTATCTACATTATTGAATATAATTTGAATTTCAGTTAATTTAAAAAGGAAAATAGCTTTAAAAAATTTTGAAATTTGATCTATGACAACAGTGACTCTTACTATGTGTTTTACAAAAGATACAACAACATTTTATAGTGCAGTTATAAAATAACATGTTATGACTTTAATCGGTGGTTCCAGTCAATCCCTTGGTGCATTTGTGAACATATCTGTATGAAAGTGTCTTTCAAAGTATGAAAGGCAGGTTTTAGCAATGATATAACAAGGGAGTTAACTTTCTTTGAAAGAACTGATGATGAAAATTGTCATTCTGAAACTTTTTTATTCTGAAACGTTTTTATTCTTTCTTGTTCATACTGTTATATATTCTGAAAAACTCATGCTGAACAGATAAGACGAGATTCAAGAGTAAAAGGTGTTAGTTTGCAATTTTGATGGCTGCTCTGCACTGTAATTCACTGTCACTGCATTAACTCCAGACTTGCAGACCAGACTGAGTAGCAGTGAGAGGGAACTTCTTGTTATCAAGTCCAGGATTGACCAGCTGGAGACAGGAATTGCAGGTGATGGTAGCTACTTATCAACACACACACACATTTACAGAGCCTGGGTTGTGTACTAACTGGATTTCCCAAAATACACGTGAGGATTGTAGATTTACACACACATTACATATTTAGTCCAGATTAAAGGTGGGGTATGCCATTCTGGAGAAATCCAACACCATGACAAATACCATGATATAGAAAGCTAAGTTGACACACTTAGCACACTGTTGCTACAGCTGCTGCTGTGAAGCTAAAGTCACGTTTCGACCAAAGGAACTATACCCTGGAACTAGGAACCTTTGGTGGAACTCACTGCATTTCCACCGAAGGGACCAGGGTCTAAATTTAGTTCTAGGGTCTTTATTTTACCCCCCATAAACTCCCTGCTCGGGGGGTAGTACTTTCCGAAAGTACCGGTACTTTGGGGGAGGGCTTGCCAATTTCTGAATGGGCGAGTAGACGCTACTGGCTTTAAATCAAGCATGTCGGCTGTTTTTTTTTACCACTGCTCCTCTCTTTTCCACCATTGTTTGCAAACCAATAAATCACGATCAACAGTAAATAGCCACACAAGTCTCGCCAATGTCCGCCTGAGTTTGTACAGGCATTAAAGGCAGGGTAGGTAAGTTTGTAGTATGTTGTTTTGCATTTGTTAAAGCTTCCATGGTGACAGCATTATTGTCTCTGATGAGGACTGCACACAGAGCCAAACACAGACTGGGACAGGACCGGGGTCAAGGCAAAGCAGAGGATGGAGGGCAGTCAAGCCAGCCTCCACTTCAAAGATAACAGTCATGACAGTCAAGCCAGCCCTCGCGCTGTTTTGCGATGCTTGTTTTTTCTAGGCATTACGGTAACATCATGTTGCAGCAGATTTCAAAATAAAAGTGAGCTTTTGTTGAACCTAATGCAATTGGTGTGACAGAAACAATTGAATGAATGAATAAATTAATACAACATAATAAAGACAACACATGTATCTAAAGAAGGTATTACATTTTCAAAGAATGCTTAATAATTCAGACTGATGTGAAAAGAAGTGAATGGAATAAGTAGCTGTGTTTACTGCAGCCCTGAAAGGACTTTTATACTCTCTTTTTCAGAGCATCTAACTTTTTAATATGTAATGATGTATAAAGACAGTTTCAACAAATATGACAAAAAGTGTTTTAGAAACAACTTGCCTACCTTGCCTTTAAATGTAAAGCTGGAAATAGCAGCCAGCCTGCTTGATGGCTTTATCCAGTTTGTTATTAAACTTGTAACGATCTTTGTTGTTTGTCACTTTGTCACAAAAAAAGCTGTTTTTAATGGTCGCATGCAGATGATGAGACTCACAACTCTCCTGCTACTATAGCTAACATCACAACATATCTTGGCAAACTAAAAAGTAAGATGAATGTCCATGGGTAGGTCATTTAATGTTATGTGACACCATTTGACACAAAAATCATGGCTGGAACAGTGTTGTGTGGTGAGGTGTGGCCACTTTGTTTGACTCCCATTACAGAGCCAGGGCTGTGTACAAACACCAGATTTATTTACAGCACATACAGTACGAACAAGCCAGTAGACCACGAGGAGATATTCGCTGCAATGGACAAAAAGACTTGTAGACTTGCCTACTGGATTAAAATCGTATACCCCAACTTTAATGTCAGTGACTTAAATGTACTTTTTTGTGTAAACAGAGAAACCAAAGGTGGCCTTTTACACAGCGTTGACTGATACAGGATATGTTGGACCATACAACACAGACACCACACTGAAATACAGCAAGGTTTTCACCAACATTGGCAATGCTTACAATCCAGCAACAGGTAATATACTGCAGGTCACATGAGTATGTGTGGTCATGTAAATGTACATTAATCAATTGTTACTGTTTCTCATTTTCTACTCTGTAGGTTTCTTCACAGCACCACTCAATGGGGTCTACTCTTTCCAGTTCACTATGTGTGGTCATAAAGCAGGTTATATGGGTGTTTATGTGTACAAGAACAACCAAAACATTATGTTTAATTTGGAGCATAAGAAAGAAGCAGCTTATAGGTATTTCACTAACTCAGTTGTTTTTAACCTGAGAGCAGGAGATGAAATCCACCTGGTTCTCCCATCAGGCCATTCTCTTTTTGACAGTGCAAATAACCACAACACATTCAGTGGCTCCCTTCTCTTCCCCCTGTAAGGATGTTGTTTAGGCTGCTGTGTGATTGACCCCTACACACCCCTTGTAATTGACTACTCTGGGATTCTTTAGAAAATGCTGATAAATCTCAGCACCACTGCCTCCAAGACAAATCTCCTATTTTGTCTTCACATGAAAATAATGTTCGAATAAATCAAAGATTCATTGAAGCTTGGGATTTTTTTGTTAGCATTCAGTGTAATTTATTGTTTAATGATAGTATTTTAATTTAAATACAGTATTTAAGATGTATTTCCTTTGGCTACCATAGCTCTATATGCCTGTAGTGAAACCTGAGCCCATAGTAAAACTGGGGCCTTGATCAAATATTATAAGCTGAAGCTAAAGTTTCAAAAAAACCTCACAGATCATAGCTCATCTCTGCTGCTTGTACCTATATTTATCTGATCTTTTGGCTTCTCATCCTGGCCTGGAGTTTCTTCAACACTTTAACTGAGGAGAATTCTATATTTCAGTGATATGAAATAAGAAGCCATGAAGGATAATGGATATCTCAAGAGGCAGAAACCAAAATAACTTAATTTTGGTACAAACCCTCTATATGAGGACGGCTCAAATGCATACCTCAAGGTTCAGATCGTCCCATAAGTGGATGAGGGTCTGCTCCAACAGAATGTGTCCAAATAAGATACTATCAGTGATTCCATAAATGAAAAAGACACAGATGTTCTGGTCACTAGTGAAACCTGGTTCACAAACATCATTTTAAATGCAGACAACAGGGAATTATTACCCCCTAGCAGCAAAAAGTGAGGTACCCATAGGAGTCACTTTTTACTGGGGCACATGCCCTTGTATCCATGTGCTGTGCCCCAGAATTAAAACTGTCATGACTCCTTGTTGTCGTTTTTTGGGTGTGTAGGGCTCCGCGGTCAAATTAGCAACAATTAGCAACATCTGTACAGCCCAGTCAAGTTAGCAATATATGCAACATCTGGTTACACTTTCAAAATAAAATTATTGGTTAATGTGAAACGGCACGTTAACGATATGAAACGTCGTAAAATTAACATGTCAATGTTGATGAGAGAACAAAGAGGGACTATCCTTCTGTGCACAAGAAGAGAAAATAACACAAAGACAGTGACGTTTGGGAACAGCAGTCTTGTAAACTGCATGTGTAGCTGCAGTGAATCTCTCTCTGTCTGTCTGTCTTGCTAACCCAGCTGAGCAGCACTTCTAGTCTGGTCTGTTTTAGTCTTGGTTGCTTGCCAGACTGTGACTGAACAATATTAGAGTGAAATACAACTATTTATCACGTTTGATAAACGCTGACTGGCAACGATTAAACTGCTGCACGGAAAAGATACTGGCTTCCAGTCAGTGATCTGATGCAAACGCGGAAGTCTCTTAAACCTGCATTCTATTGAACGGCCAGCAGTGGACGACTCTTCTGGTTGCAAAAAGAAGTCTGGCTCCATTAGAAATAATGGTAAAATGGCCCTACTTCTCACCTGAATAATTACCTCAGTAAACACTTTCCTGATGAGTTTATGGTTTTATGTCTTCTTCAATACAAAATGATGTTCATTTAGTAAATTGCGGTCCCATTTATTTTAAAATAGACCATAAAGCAGAGTGTGCTTCGGGGCGGGATTATCTATGATTGACAAGTCGTTACCATGGCGACCTGTCAATCAGGCTAGAGGGACTCGTACCCACGGCACTGTGTAAATTTAACCAGCGCCGTTGAAAAAGGTTATTAGGCGTTGGCTGTTTACTTTCTCTGGTGAGTACATTTAGTTTTAAGCCTGGTGTTCGCTAGACAAAATTGTCAGCACTGTTAAAATGACAGTTAACGTGAATTACAGATGCACCTAGCTAAGCAAGCTAGCTAGCTCCACACACGGCCGTTAGCTCCACCATCATGTCCAAATATATACAAATATATTGACAATCAAACTGTTGATAAGTTGGGTAGACTGGGCAATATGGGTGCACATCTCTCAGTAAATAATAAACATCACTCATTCAGTCAAGTTATATAAATAGTATTTTACCTTTGAAAATGTATCAAAGGAAACCTGGAGGAGCCAGTTTGAATGGGCCTGAAGCAGCTGATAACATTAATATCTAGTGTTATTATCTATAATTTACAGGTGCTACGCTTAAATTTGTCAGTAAAGTAGATGCTGGATCATAAGCCACTACAAGCACAGTTGATCCAAATACAGCACTAGCACAGACTCAATTCAGGTGACCCAGGTGAAATACAGGCAGCCTCAGCCAGTACCAGCACAACCAGAGCTGTATTGCCAGCATCAGTCTTAACAGACTTTATGAGGACTGAGTTAGTGCGCAGAAGTACATTCAAACTAGCACAGTTTTTTTCTAAAAGAGGTTTCCATTTAGGCTTATTACAGAGGCAGGCTGTTTTAAAGGAGAGTTGAGAGGACTGCAGTGTCAGGTGTGACTGTGTAGCAATGGCTAATTGTTTATGAGGCTCACAAGTCAGGTAGGAGGGCCCCGTAGTAGAATTTTTCTTAGGTTGTGACATATGGTATGTGTGCGAATGCTCCGTTCAAAGCCCTTTCCAACAGTGCCAACATTAATAGGCTAAGCAAGGGAAGCTGGTAAGGCACATACTGACACATCTCATATACTTAAATCAAAACTAAATCAAAATCATAAATCAAAAATTTACATGGGGAATGAGGGGTCTGTGCCCCGTTAGAGCTTTATGTCTAGCAACGCCCCTGGAGGTACTTGTAGGTCTCCTCAGAGCATTTTATCGGAGGAAAACAGTTCGCAGTTTGGACACAAAATTTAACATATAAAATAAAACATACAGTAGGCTACATAGTACATGCACTACCTGCAGTGCTTCAAAAGTAGGCTACAAAGATTCAATATGAGAAGTGAAGTCAGGATGAGATACAATACAGCATAAGACATCGTAGCCTACTAGTGTCACTGATACAAGTTTCATACCACAAACCTACAGAACTTTCTTTTAATCTACCAACAATACAAAACACGTCTGGTGAATTTTTAGGGAAAACATGTTGGCTACAAAATGCAATCTGTTTATGTGCACCACTAACCATGAGATGGCAGTGTTTGACAAGACTATGATATGAGCATGAATTCTGTGCCAAAGTGGCCTACAAGTGGTTCAGTTATGCTGTGCAGCCAAACATTGTTCAAACCCACAGAACCTTGTTTTAAATCTACCATGTATCGAACACGTCTGGCAGACTTTTAGGGAATACATGTTGGCTACAAAATGTTACACAAAACATTAAGAACAAATCCATTTGATGGAATAATGTAGCCATAAAAGTACATACAGTGCACCTTCTGATGTAGTTTCTTTATAGACTGCTCTGGATGAGGAAGCATCCATCCAGTGAGATTTCCTGCGGTGTTTTAATGAAAACACATTTCACCAGACTCTCAGTTGTGTTGTAATTGGAGTGAAGTTAGAATGTTTGTAATTCCTTCCTCACTTATATAATTGTATGCCATATCTAACCATAACAAAGTCTTCTCTAAAGTAAAACTTGTACGCTATATTTCGCATTTTGGACAACTGGCAGCATTTGATTATGACTAGGTAATGATGCTACCGCATATTTGAATAAGCAAAACCAAAACAACACATGTTCCATAAACATGACTCACTGAAACTAAGTTTGAATCAATTGCAAAGGCACCACCCTCCTCTAACACTGCACACCTTTGCTGTAACCACACTCTCTGTCAAACCAGTTTGTCCTGTTGATATGAATGTCCAGGAGGAGGACTGACAGTCCAGGGGGACGATGCAAACTTTAAAGGAAATGCTCTTTTCAGCTCATGTCTGCCATGTTAGCGTGTTTAATACATTTAGAAAAGTGGGGGGGAAAGGCCATGACCTGCTTGATCAATTTACATTCATTTATTTAAAAGTAAATGTACAAATATCTGTCAATAATACCTGTCCTAATAAAATAAACATAAAATCACATTTCACAGTTGTGACAAAAAGCAAAAGCAAAATCTTTACAGGAACCGCTGTTGAATTTTGCTGCTGATGTAAAACAAAAACGGACCATTTTTATTTACAAGTGTTTTTCATGGCCATAGAGCCAACTTTTAAAAAATAAAGTTGTAATGCTATCAATTCAAAATATCTAGCTGCTACAAGGTGCTTCATTACTCATGTTGCATTCAGGTTGCTGTATGTCCAGCAGAAACAAGCTGAGGGTACATTTCTTAATGCACATGGATTCATCCTTCATCCTGATTAAGTGCACGTAAACAGTGAGAAACAAAAGTCAATAGGCACCTCACATTTACACATCAAACTCAAAAATAAATACCAACAATGTTCAATTTTGTAAAAAGAAGACAATAGCATACTTCATTTTCACCTGGATTTAGTTTGTTTCTCTATTTGGTTTTAAGTTCAGTTTTAGTGTAAATAACATAACTGCTATTGTCAAGCATATTGATGACTGTTGTCCACACCATTCCATCCACCAGTCATTTGATGAAAACAATATGGTGGAGTATAAAGTTAACTATACTTAGAGTAACTATACCCATTGAGCCCTCGTATCATATGAGCCCACTTGCAACTTCTGAGTCAAATAAAAACACTCATAATGTTTTGCTGTGTGATGTTTCTTCCAATGAAGCTGTATGTTACATAAAGTATAAAGTATACTATTATCGAAAGCCAGTCAGATTTGTCAATATTGAGTTATCAAAGCAAATGTGTGATATGTGCCTGCTGATCCCAGAAGTTGCAAAAAACTTAGATAACATTTTTTGCATATTTCTTCTCCTGTTTTTGATAAGTACTCATTTGTAACCAAAATGTAAGTGATTAGTACTTTTAATAAGACATATGTTAGAATATTACTTGAATTAGAAATACTTTTTCTTTTTAAATCAAAATATGGGATTTTGCAGTCTACATGCAGCATCAATACACTAGCTGCATAGTAAAGTTCATTACAATGACAAGCATGATAAGCATGTATAGTTTACATTTTTGTATACAGATTATACAGATTATACTGTGAAGTAGACAAAAAATGTGTATGTTCAACATCAATGGTCTTTTAACTGTACTTTCACTGATGTTCCTTTCTCCTCACAATGGATTGTATCTTTAAATGTTACTCGACAACAAACTGAATGGTTGAAAAATTTGTTTTTACAATGTTTTCAATTAGCCTAAATGTTTAAAATTAACATTTGAAAATCAATTAAAGTTATTGTTTAAAGGGGCAATGTAGTTTTCAGTGGCTTCTAGCGATGAGGTTTCAGATTGCAACCACTACATTCCCAAGTCCAAGTCAGTCTTAGTAAGCTACTGAATATTTTAAATGAGATTGCATTGCCACACTTTAGTATAATAGTTAGCCCGTTATAAGTAATGTTGCTGTAGTGATGGGTCTTTCACTGTGTTGCTGTCCTGGACCGTGATGCTGCATTATTGTACATTGTGTGGGTCATGTAAATTATGGTGACTGAGACCGGCGAAGAAGCTGTGTGTCTGAGTATCGATAAAAACGACAATTAATTTAAATTGAATGTTACGAAGCAAATAACGCCAGATCCATGGTAATCTAGTTGGCTGCCCCTGCTTTGCATCACTATTGGTTTTAGAAACAAATTATTGTACATTTGCTTTGAATTGTTACATATTTTTTTGCAGGCTGAAATCAACACTTTTACATAATATGTATGTCATGTTATGTACATAATAAATGTAGCAAGCCATACAACTACCGGCTAGTATTTTGCAAGGGATAATGTTAGCAATTGGTCGGCATTAGCCGTCAAGCTAACGTTATTTAAATTAAGCCAACTAAAACACAAAATTACAATATATTTAACTTGCTTTGCAATAATATTAGTTTACCTGTCCAATACGATGAAAGCCAACTCTAGGTCGGCTTTTATATCCAAAACAAAGTGAAGGTCTCTCCTTGATTATCCTTAGAATATTGGTATTGACCTTGAACCTGCAAACTGTTCTTTCAGTCAGTCAGTCTTCAGACATCTTCATCAAAACATCTGCACTTTCAACACGCTGTAATGTAAGTACATAAATACAGTATATGTGTTGTATTTGCATGTGTTTATGTATGTGTGCGCATATTATATGTATGATCTCGGATTTGAGGATGCTTCCTCAGTCTCACTCTTGACTGATATCAGCTGAGACGGCGTCTCACTGTCTTCAGATTTTGCCGACCCCAGTCTTTTCATCTGAGACTTTGTTGATGGTACCCATGATCTTTCTGACTCCTGCCCTGAGCCCTGCTCAGGTCTGCCCTCCCAGGGGGGTCTTGTGTACAGCTGGGATTTTGTTGATGCGCCATCGTAGCTTTGAGAGCTGGGAAACACAGCTCCGACAGACTGAGACCTTGCTGATGGTGCTCTGCTGTGATGAGGACTTGATCTGTTGGACCCAGGGGTGGAGCGGACCACCAGGTAGCGGACAGAGGGGCTCTTTTCTTCATCATGGAATTTGAAGGGGCGTGCTGAACTGATGAACAAACCCCCTCCTAAAATAAGCAGGATGGCTGCTCCCCACCCAATATAGAGAGAGGCTCCAATCTCCCTCCGCTGAGCATCGGTGGAGGCGCTGTAGAAATTCCTCACCAGGGCCCCGGCCACCCACGATGTGGGAATCAAACACAGCAGCCCTGTGGCAATCAACACTGCCCCCGCTGCTATAGCCACCTTACCCTTAGCCCCGCCTCCTTCCTTATCCAAAAAGCGAGTGCACTTCCCTCCAATGAAGGCCAGAAAGAGGCCTGCGCCGCCTGTAGCGATGGCTAGGACAGTTAGAGACCTGGCAGCCTGCAGGTCTGTGGTCAGAGCAAGGACAGACTCATAAGGTTTGCACTGGATGTGCCCTGTGCTCTCAACCCAACAGTTCATCCAGATGCCCTCCCAGATTGTCTGGGAGGTGATAATGGTGGTTCCCACGAAGGCTGTGACCCGCCACATGGGCATTATGCAGCTGATGATGATCCCTGCCCAACCCAGGAGGGACAGGGCGCTGGCCAGCAGCTGCATCCCCATGGAGGCCATGATGCAGAGATGGAGGGAAGATCCCTGAAACTGCTCAAGAAATCCTCACAGACCTTTGAAAAGTGCTGTGATCTTTTTATTCTCCTCTGTTGTCTCCTCTGTCCTCCTGGTCCCTCCGGTCACTCTTTTCTTCTCTTGTATCTTTCTGTGAGCTTTTCTGTGTCAGTCTTTCTCAAAATGTGAGTTCTTCTAGCAAGCCGCAGTTGCAATTGAATTGTTGTGAAATATCTGTCCCTGGGATACAGAGCCCTGTCTGTCCAGTAGCTTTTACTTGACTCCAGGTGTCTCAATTCAGCCCCAGCCTACTTTCCCTCTTTCTCCCCCTCCTCCTTTGTATCCTTGTATAACTGCTGTCCTCTCCCTCCCCTTCTCTCTCTCTCTCTCTGTCTGTTCTCTCTTGGTTTCTCTACCTGAGTGTTCTTTCTGTACTGTCACCTGAGTGGCTGCCTGTGCGCTACTGATTAGTGTAGATGCACCACACCTACTGTAGGGAAAAGAAAGGGTAGGTTCACAGAAAAACAGAGAGGAAGAGAGAGGCTGTGACATCATCTACTCCCTCCCTCATTACCTCCATATGATATTATTCTGTAAACAGTAAGCTTTGGATAAAGCAGAAAGAATGAAATCCCTCTGAAGATTAAACTTGTTTATACGATAAACACTCATGAGGCGCTGCATCCTTTCTCTTGTCACATACCGTCTTTCTAAATCTGATTTGATTCAAAAGTTAATACATGTGTGAACTCAATGTGTGTGTTTGTACACACATTCTCTGGCATTGCATTTGTTCATGCGAGTTATGCGTGTCAACAGAATGGATTGGTGTAACAATGGAGAATGATGTGAACCACAATCTCCTGGGAGAAAACCAGTTTCAGTCTAGCAGCAGCTACCGCGCATGAAAACCTGTTTGAAACATGCAAAACCCCCTCTCCACACACATGTGCGCACACACACACAAACACACATTACCTACAATAATTTTTATCAAAAGTCAAAATCATTTTTAATCTTGCTGTCCTTGTAAAGTTCAAAGGGATCCTTTTTATGTGGATTCCTTTTTTTCCCCACATTATGTCAAACTAAATTTTCATTTTCGCATAATTGTGTACGTTTTAATCTATATACTCTAGAGGACACCACTTTTTTAAAATAAAAGTCACCATTATTATCAATGGAAACACAACCTATAAGCAAAAAGAGTCGAGTGCAGCAGAGTTTACCTGTTTACCAGAGTCTTGTCATTTATTAACATTGTTTTTTATTTTCTTGACATCTCTTTCTCTAATGCAAACATTTACAAACCTGATCAGTCTTATAAGACAAAAGGAGAAAATACATACACACATTCAAACTCAAAAAATACACACAAGGTTACAGTTCAGTGTCTTTGTTTGTTTAGCAATGTTTCTTTGGTACGAAGGACACATTGTCACACAACCTGTTCGTATAGATTCTTTCCTGTGCGCTTGAAAAACCAGATTCACTGTTCATCGAGTTATATGGCTTTTGTCATCCCCGCTGCTGTGTAGCTAAACCACTATGACAAGATGGAAAAGTCTCAAGAGGTATGCAATCTCACATGCTCACAAACAACCTAAATTTTAATGACGTGCAATAATACAGAGAAAAACATCAATCACGCAAAATCAGAAGAATATTCAATTCAAACAGATGTGAATCAATCACATAATCATCAATATTTAACTAGTTTGATCGAGAAATAGTATTAGCCCCAACAGCAACTACATAGGCGGATTTCACATTAATAAATTTCATATATAGAAGTTTTTTTAATTTATAATTTATTATAAAGAGTGTCTGAACATGTGCAACTAAACAACATATATTTAAAAAATATAAGGAGAAGTATGTTAAAGAGTCTGTAATTGTGCAAAATACAAAAACATTTTATGTACACATAGAAAATCTAAACATTCTACAACATATAATTCCTAAGGATGTTTTTTTAAATTAAAACACATGATTGAGTTACACACTCATACTGTAAAAGTTCACATCTACTTTATAGATATAGATAACACATTATAGACATACTCGTTCCCATTCTGCATTTTTCTTTCACAAACTCTTTGTCATATCTCTTTCCAACAGACTGTCCCTCCTCTGCTTCCGCCTGAAGATCTAAACGTAGGCCTTGCTGCTCTGTATAGAGCGAGCCTTAGAGTACGTCACATCATAGTCGTTCTCATCTCTAGGCGGACAGTTGCTGCAGAGGAGAGCCCCACCCATGATCAGCAGCCCTGCGCATGCAAAGCCAATGTAGATCGAGGCCCCGAGCTCCCTCCTCTGAGCGTCGACCAAGACAGGGTTGTAGAAATCACGAACGACTGTGTTGGTGGTCCAGCAGACGGGGATCAGCACCATGAGGCCTGCGAGGATGAAGATGACTCCAGAAGTGATGGCCACTTTGATCTTTTGCCTTTCGTCCTGTACAAAGTTGGTGCACTTGCCCCCGACCACGCCAAGAAGGATCCCAAAGAGCCCAGTGATGACGGCAATGATGACGAATGCTCTGGAAGCCTGGAGGTCCTCAGGTAAGGCGAGGAGAGAGTCATAGACTTTGCATTGCATCTGGCCTGTACTCTGGGTCACACAGTTCATCCACAAACCCTCCCAGATCACCTGAGCAGTGACAATGTTGGCTCCAATGAAAGCTGTGACTTTCCAGGTGGGGAGAGCGCAGATTATGATGCTCCCCAGAAAGCCGATGATGGCCATGGCCAATCCCAGAATCTGTCTTCCACCTGAAACCATGCTGAAGCTTTGTTGATCTTTTCAAAGAGGTACAACTGTGTGTTGCTGAGAGCTGGAGTCATTTACCAGTGAGAGAGACAAAAGATCAGTTAGCGGTTTTTACTGTTTCCTCAGAGGAGGAGTTTCTGCTGATGTCGTTGGTAAATTTTAAACAGGTTTGTGAAGAAATTTCACCTGACGCATCCACTGTCAACACTATTAGAAAGGACAGTGGCGTTTCAGATTTGCACGCAGAGGCCCCTATAAGGACACACCACAGAGACAAACTATGTTTCTCATCAACCCATAAGCATTATTGTTCTGTAAATTTCAAACAATGTTTGAAATCATTTACCAGTAAGAAAGACACATGCAGTATTTGCGTAAGGGTACTAATTATGCCAATTATGTTTCAGTATGTTTTTACTTTATTTTGATAAAGCTAAAATGAAATAAACACTTTTTCAAACATCCAGTTGTGAGTTATTATTCAATTAACATTTAAAGACAAAATTTAATCACTTCTTAAATCAGTAAAAAATATCTAATTTCTGACAGTATCACTGAAATATGTGACAGTCATTCACAATGAATGTAAATACCCAGGTACTCTCTGTTTGGCAAAGATTAATAGCTTTGCAATGGTTCCCACACAGAACACATGACTTCCAGAGTGATCACACTGCCAAACGATACTAGAGGCAAAATTCCCTTTTGTCCTTCTCCCAGCAGAGGGAGGTCAGCTCCACACAGCACCACCTGTGTGATGAGACCTATGAGAGTTGACTTTCATTCAGATGAGTCACTGTGTTGAAGCAGAGTTTCTCTAAACAAAAATGATTATGAAGCCAGGATGCAGTCTTTTGTGACTGTGAATGAAAAACAGTGATTATGAATATGATTGCTAATTTTCTGTTGTGTTGTTGTGATTTTATTTATTTGTAAAATTAAGGTTTAGTCTTTCCAACCACTCAAAGCGCCTTTACACTACATCACAATCATCCACATTCATACACTGATGAGCAAAGGCTAAGGTGCCAACTGCCCGTCAAAATCATTACGCTCTCAAAAATGAGACCATCACCTACTGCTAGTGAGTACTCAGTCAGACAATGTCAAATAGCGTAGCATAAGCTATTTGGCATTGTTTTTGTAGCCAGCATATAGTTCCTTAATGAAGTTGCAACTAGCTAACTGTCTGACTAGGTGATGTTATTTTGTTAGCTTTACACGGGCTAAGCAAACACTGTTGTGAGTGACCTAGGTCCATATGTACCATGATAAATTAATTTAGATTATTAGGCTTATTAGGTTCCCTTTATAAAGATGTGACTATATAATATGGCCTATTATACAACACCTGAAGCCTACTGTGCTAAAATGAATGAATGCTTATGTATTAGGAAAAACATTTTCATTTCATCCTGTTTATTTTCATCCAAAACAGCTTTTTGCTCATTCTCAGTATGTTCTTGTTGAAACTGTACAGCTTTGTCAGGGAATTCTGGAACTAATAAAATATTAAAATGATATTGTGACTTCTAGTTTTTTTTTTTGACAATTACTAGTACTTCTATTTAAGTATGAGCTGTGTTTTCCATGGCCACATTTGATCAACAGTGAGTCAGTAAAATAAATACACTGATCCACTTGTAACTGGTACATTTATCCACAGCACTTCCTTCCCAAATTTATAGTTGTTTGGGAGAATATTACAGTACATATTTAAGGGTACTGCAACAATGGTGTAGGGGGAGTAGGTGGTGTAGGGAGGGGTGTCAGACCGATTGTGGTAAGCCACCTGGGCCAAAAATGCCCCAGTCCAGCCCTGGACAACCCACATTTTAATGGCATGTAATACAGGGAAAAAAGAGTCAGATCAAAAGACAAAATGTGAATCAATCACATAATTAATATTCAACTATTTTAATCGAGAAGTAGTCTTTTGTCTTATCTCTTATACTAATATGTAGGCAGTGCTGCTCTCTATAGAACGAGCCTTGGAGTACCTCACATCATAGCCGTTCTCATCTGGGGGGGGACAGTTGCTGCAGAGGAGGCTCCCACCCATGATCAGCAGCGCCGCACAGCCCCAGCCAATATAGAGCGAGGCCCCCAGCTCCTTTCTGTGAAAATAGTCGACCATGATAGCGTTGTCGAAATGACGAATGTCGTTAGTAGTCCAACAGATGGGGATCAGCACCATGAGGCCTGCAAGCATGACGATGACTCCAGAAGTGATGGCCACTTTGTTCTTTTGCCTTTCATCCTCCACTAATTTGGTGTACTTCCCCACCACCACGTCAAGAAGGATACCTAAGAGCCCAGCGATAATGGCGACGATGATGAATGCTCTGGCAGCCTGCAGGTCTTCAGGAAAAGCATGCAAAGAGTCATAGACTTTGCATTTCCTCTTGTCTGTACTATAGGTCACACAGTCCATCCACAAACCCTCCCAGATCACAGTAGCAATGCCAAAAGTACTGAAGGTTGTGACTTTCCAGGTGGGGAGAAGGCAGATTATGATGGTCCCCAGGAAGCCACTGATGGCCAGGACCAAACCCAAAATCTGTCTTCTACCAGACACCATGCTGAAGCTTTGTTTATCTACTTCAAGAGGCAATGTGTATTGCTGAGAGTCATTTTCCAGTGAGAGAGACACAAGAGCAGTTAGTGGTTTTTATTGATTTCTCAGAGGATACGTTTTCTGCTGAAGTTGAAACTGGCTTGTGAAGAAATTTCACCTCACCGATGCGTGTCAACACTAGAAGTAAGGAGATCAGAGTTTCAGAGATGCACACAGAGGCCCCTATAGGGCACAGCTCACAAATTCTATCATTATTATTAGCAACCTCAGGTACTCTTCTGTTTGGCAATGATTAACAGCTTTGAAATGGTGTGTCTACGTCGGACTTACCACTAACACCCACAGCTGACCAACAGGAGCTGCAGGGGAGGCTGACGCAGGATGAGAGAGCAGTCTGGAAGAAAGCAGTTTGTATTGACAGTTGTCCACATGGGTACCACTTTAAATTACAGCTCGGTAATAACGTGATAACAGTGGGGTAATAGTTTGATAAAGAAGTAATAATAAAGTAATACCATGTAATTACCAAAGTAACAACCAGGTAAAACCTTGGTATTAACAATTGATATATCTGGGTATTAGACTAAAATTAATGTAACAAGGTAATTAGGGGCCAAAAACAAAGGGAAAAATGGAGAAACACATTTAAAGATGGCAAAGTATTTAGTAATATTACATTAATATTTTGGTAACAATATCCTAAACTTTTAACAATAAAATGGTTATATCAGTACAATATTTGGATTAAGAAATTGTAAGATGGCGACAATTAGGGTAATAACCTGATAATAATGAGGTGATAAAGATATATGTTTTCACAATATTACTATAAACACAATATTTCATGCTACTTGCACAATGTAGTGTGACGCATATCCGTTTTATTAACTGCAGGTCTGTTTATTTCCTGGCAACTCTACCATTCACCTTTCACAGTTAGCTTTGTACATATTGCTAATAGTATTTATTGTTAGTTTTTGTATACAGTGTCTCAGATAATTCTGATAATCACCTCAGTATCTTAGATAACCATTAGTGATTTTGGTTCACTCAGTGTAGCGCCAATGTTAGCCTGAATTTCACTGTTTAGCTAACTTCAAGTTGCTATGGCTCTTTTTTTACACTCTGCTTGGAAGAGCTGCTTGCTTCTGCAAGATGGCTGTCAGTCACTTTCATTTTTGGCAGTTGTTTTGGGTGTCATTTTTCAGCCCTGATTAATGGTTATTACACAGAAACTATAGGTGTTTCCTGTCACGATCGTGGTGTGGAGGCAGGTTGGAGAACCCAAACGCAGGACACAGAGCGGGGCAGGTATGGTACACGAAGGGTTTTAATAAACAAACAAAAGCGAGCACACTTACAGGTGAGTGGCTGAATAACTGAAATCCAAAGGTACAGGGAGAGGAAACGAGACGAGACAAGACAAGACAAGCAAGGCTGGTTACAGGCAGAGAGTTCACACACGACAGACTGGGGGGTAACATGAACAATGACCGGACAAGGACAAGACAGAAACACCAGGTATATATACACACACACACACACACACAGGGACTAACGAGCACTAACGGTGACAGACATGAGACTAACGAGGCAGAGAGAGAGAGAGAGAGAGAGAGCAGAGGAAAACAGAGAGACTAGACATGACAAGCAGATTATATAACAGATACTGGACACTAGACAGGACAGAACCCAAAACTCAACATACCAAGGCAGATACCAAACTCAAAAGCAAACACAAAGGATGGCCAACCGGCAGAGCGTGACATTTCCAGGTAACACGTCACAGGATTAATGAAATTATTTGTACAGTATTACCTTGAAACAAAAGGGAATGTTTGGAGCATAAAGGAGGATGGATTCCCAATTTTTATATAACCATTTTATTGTTAGAAGGTTATCATATTGTAACCAAAATATTACTATAATACATTTCCATTGTTAATACCAAGTTATTACCTGGTTATTACTTTGGTAATTACATGGTATTACTTATTACCTCTTTATTATCAAACTATTACCCCACTATGTTATTACTGAGCTGTAATGTAAAGTGCTACCTCCACGTGCACTTCTAAAATAGCCATCAGAACCATTGCCAGTCCCCCAATCTTTAATATTCCTCTACAGATCGGATATTTCTAGACTTGTCTCTAAATAAAGAGTAAGTTGCTTTCATTAGCTGTTGTGTTTAGTCAGATGACACAAAGATCAACAGAGATAGGTTATTGACATGTGACCCAGAGACTAAATATACACCTCTGAGCTACAACCAAATCAAGTTTTTCAGGCTTTTATACACAGTGAAATGGCTGATGTGGAAAACACACTTCTGTCGCCCATGTGTTTGGTCCTAAATATGCTAAATGCAACAGTTTCCAATCAGTTTCAGTTGTTACGGGCATTCATGGAGATTTGTAATATGTTAAAATTAGCAGTACTAACTAACTGTGTACTAGTGTTTATAGAGGGTTGCGTTCACTTCCCCTTCCGGAACACGCCGGACTGAGTAGCAAAACATCTGTTACCATGGTTGCGTTTAGCAAACTGGGAGTAAAACAAGTGATTATTTGCTCAAATTAAAGGCAATCAGACCCGACAGTGATCCTTACTGCTTACCAAAGAACCAGTGGTCCAGCTCTTTCCCATTTTAGATGTGTTGTCTGTGTCTTAGCTTATTCAAGCTTTCTGCCACTTAGTGAGTGTAACTGCATTCTGTGACATTATGTGCATACACTATATTAGTGTGACAGACAAACAATGCAGAACTTCAGTACAAAAATACAAAGTTAATTTATTGGTATAAGATACAAATATTTTCCTCCACTGGACATGGCAAAACATGCCCAACAACTCAACAAACATGGACTTAATACTGATGGAAAACATCAGATATCAGAGACATTTTAGCTGTTTCCAGTACAATCCAACATCTTTCACAACTGGTGTGCATGTGTGATGATGAGTAATAACTTTTTATTAAGCTGATTTATTTGCTTTATTGTTTTAGGTTCTGGGAAGTTGTTTCTGAAATTACTAAAATACACAAAATGACAAAACAAGACACCAATTAAAAACAGATTTTTTTCTTGCAGCATTTTATAATTTATGCAATCCTACATATTAAAACAATTAACTCTGTCATCACATCACTCTGCATTAAACATAGATTTTCTTTTTACATTATACAAATATTATCTCAACTAGACCTTTGTTCATGCAACTTACTATGATTTACACAGATCTTGAACTGATCTGTTGTAAAATCTCAATGTAGTGCAATTAACTATGGTTGAACTTGGAGCTTTAATGAAAGACTGAAACGAAGAAAGTCCATCACAGTAAAGATATTACTGTTTTTTCAACTACAGTATGTAATTGGTAGAGGGCATCGTGTACTGTCTTCCTCTGCCTCTTCTCCTCGTCAGCAGCATCCATAGGTGCTACACAAAACCCCTCCTCCAATGACCTGCAGAACTCCAGAAATCCAGCCCACATATATGCAAGGCCCAAGCTCTCCACTACCACCAGGTGCAGTCAGGGGGTTGTAGAATCCTGTGATGATGGTGTAAGCAGACCAGCTGACTGGAACAAGACACACAAGGCCTGCTAATATAAACATCGCAGCTCCAGCCCTGCCATAATTAGCTTTGGAACGCCAGTTGTGCCGACAGAAGTTGGTGCAGCGGACCCCGACCAAAGTGAGTCCGATTGCCACTACGCTGACAGCGATGGAGACGCAGATCAGAACCATGGAAATCTGAAGTTCCTTTGGTAAAGCCAGAAGGGATTGGTAGGGCAAACACTGCGAATGGCCTGTGCTCTGGATCACACAATTCATCCATAAACCTCTCCAGTAGACCTGAGCAGTGACGATGTTTGCCCCAATAAAGGCTGACATCTGCCACATGGGCAGTCCACAGATTAGGATGGTGCCGAGTAAGCCGAGGATTGCCAAACACACACCAGCTATCTGTGTCCACATTTTGCCAAATAAAAAAAAACAAATCCAAGGCAGGTTTTTAAGTTTGCCACAAAGTCAGAGACAGCAACACTTCCAATCCACTTTCAGTTGAGCTGAAGATTATTTTTACTACAAGCTTTCACTCGGCTTTAAAAGCTGCTGGTTGTGTTTTGCTTTAAGGTTTTGCACTACTGGTGTGCGCTGCCACAGGGAGGGGACTCTGAGGATCAGGTTTCCTGCTTGTCCTGATTCCTGGTCACTTTGAATAAATAGGAGGAGAAGGCTCTTAACATCTATGAATGCATGAACTTTCTAACAGTTAAAGAAAAAAACTTCCTGTACACACTGACTTACTGGAGTACATTTTTTAATCTCTAAACCACTTATAAGAATACCTTGAGTTTGGAATTTTCTACAGTTACTGTCATCATGAATAATGAAAAAAGCCAACAGTTATTCTGCTTCAACCTTTTCTAAAACCTTTTCTCTAAAGTTTAGTCTGATTCATGCCTGCAGCCACAGTGCCACGCCAGCCATTCCAGAGTACTATAGAGAAGTTTTGAAATGTCAGGTGCGCAGGTGTAAATAATACATTTTATAAATGCTGACTTCCATTTTGTTGCTTCAGTTTCAGTGTCCTGTTATTGTGCATGCTGCCCTACTGTCACACCCCATGACTTACTGGGACACATGAATAACAAGGAGCCACTGTTGATTTTATTTGTAACACCTTTTGCTTTTCCTACTATGACAAAGCTCAGCGTGAGTTCAGCCAGGAAGTCTATCTTCATGCTTCTGTCATTCGCAGCTCTTTCTCTCATACAGTCTCACTCTCTTCCTGCCTAGTGATGCGTTGGTTGTGAACGAGTCGGCTCTATGAGCTCTTTTAAGTGAACGACAGGAGCAGGCTGACATGATTTTGCCCCCCTCCCTACAGAAAAGGAAAGCATGAAAATGAACAAATTGCACCTAATTGAAATTTACAGATGCTGTCTGTATAAAGTTGGGTAAATATTTATTAGCCATACTATTAAATTTTCATTAGGCTGGTTGTTTTTGTTCTACAACTAGGATAGTTATTCTTGACACATCACACTTTTAAACAATCAATATGACAGAATATATTTCAGTGTATCGCAGATAAAGAATCTTGCATATTTAGTTCTTACAGCTCATTGTTTGACAAGCTAATGTAAGGGCAGTGACCAGCAGAAGTGGAACGGAGCCATAAGATCCAGCTCACTTTAAAGACCCGTAATTCCTTCCCGTCAGATTTTGCTAAGGTCATTACAGCCAGTCACGTAGTCACTATTTAGCTTTACAATCTGGGGGTGGGTTCCTGTACCACTATGTCCTCACCACCCCCTTTAAAAACAACATAATCAGGATGGGGTCTAATTACCAAAGACTCTTCACATTTCCCATATTCATTGTACATATGTCATCATTCACTCAAGATGAAGTCAGTGAATCACAACTCTTCACTCAGGTTGCCTTTATTTCAAAATAAGGGCACTGTTAAACCACAGACTAAAAATATATATAATCCAATATTAACCAAACTAAATTGACAGAACAAAAATGATTTTTTTTCCACCAAGATCATTTTGCCACATAATCTTGAAGTGGTTTGTCTACTCTAATGCAACCAACACATCACTAAAGCTTAACCTGTTTGATTTGTTTTAAAAGAAAGTGTTGAGAAAGTATTTAAGAACAATGAGCAGATGTGTTTAGCCAGTGTAGGTCAAAATGTATTTTCTTTATTATATATTAAAATAAAAGGTAAAGTGTTTAAAGACTGAAGTTTGTTCTAATGATCAAATGGTATGAACATTTTACATCACAATTATAGTGACCAAATTACGTTATCAGTATTATTGCAGTGTTTAAATGTACTAAAAAATGTTTAAAGAGTACTGAAACACACAATGAAACCATTTCAGTGTAATATTGAAAACCACAAATAAAATTAGCAGCATTATGTTTAGATACCCCCCCCAATACCTTAAGTAGACTAAATCTTATCAAATGTGCCTTAAAATGAAATAAGCCCAATGCACAATTTAAATACAAATGAGTCTTGTGAGAGCCCAACGGACACAGGACATTACAGGAGTCTATTAGGTAGGAGTCAGCGTTTCACCTGAACTCGGATTTTAAGTGAACCAAATGTTGGTTCGGAGACTAAACGGAATAAAGTGTGCAGAGGGCACAGACTTAGCAAATGGAGTCTGAAGACACGACGCCAACAGCAGAATTAACGTTAGTGTTTTAACAGTATCGTTAGGTAACAACCCACTAACTAGTCACACAAACCAGGATACGGTCCTTCTTTCCAGAGTTCCCACATCATGCATTGAGCTAAAAGTTAACTCACCTGCAGTCGCACTGGTGGTACGAAGTGTTGCACCCTATCGCAGCGACTCGATGTTCCTTCAGCACTTCTAAAACAAAATACGATCACACTTCCGACATTCAGAAAAAAAAAAAAAAAAAAAAAATCTCTGGAGCGCTGTCACTACCTCCCGCCATGTTGTCACTGACCCAAAACAAACCCACGCTGCATGTTGCGCATGCGAAACTGGTGACTTCGTCTCTGCTTTGGTTGATGCTTGATGAGGTTTACCGCGCTAAAAGCAAAAAAAAAAAAAAAAAAAAACACAATTTATTGAAACTGTATTAAGCGTTGGGAATTTAACCACGGTTAAGTTCCAGTTCTATAGTCCATTGTTCACCCTCAGAGAGATATATTTTTTTTTTTTAAAAGAAAGAGAAAGTTAGTGTAGTTACTGTTTGAAGTCAAGTTTAGACATGAACACTTCTACTCCAGCGGATAGTCAAGAAAATAGTCTACCCAAAAAATTAGCACTTTGTCAAAGATACTCAAATTCACTGCAGAACATGCAATAACACAAAAACCTAGTGATCATATGAATTTATTAAATAAGTCATTAAGACACCTTGAAATCACACATTTAAGAGCATTAAGATATATAAGACTTCAGTCCAGTTTCCTGTTGCAAGAGAAGGATGCACACTAAAAAAAGACAGGCATTTTAGACATAAGCACCACTGGCTGCTGAGCGTGGGGCACAATATTTGACAGAGTATCCGCTATCCTTACGCTGTGGACACTGACAGCAGAGAAGCGCCCCGCCAATAAGCAGGAGTCCTGCTGTTCCCCAACCGATGAACAGCGATGCGCCGAGCTCCCGCCTCTGTCCGTCGGTCAAAAGGGGGTTGTAGAAGTCCCTGATGATAGTGTTAGCTGACCAGGACACAGGGATCAGGCACAGGATACCTCCAACGATGAAGAGCACGCCCGCAATGATTGCTACCTTGCTCTTGGCCTCTTCATCGTCAATGCAGTTGGTGCACTTTCCCCCTGCGACAGCAAGCAGGATTCCCATGAAGACAACCAAGATCGAGATCACAACCAGGGCACGGGCTGCCTGCAAGTCCTGGGGTAGAGCCAGCATGGAGTCGTAGACCTTGCACTGCATCTGTCCGGTGCTCTGCATCACACAGTTCATCCACAGGCCCTCCCAGAAGGTCTGCGCTGTCACAATGTTGTTCCCAATGAAAGCAGACACCTTCCACATGGGCAAGGCGCAGATGACAATGTCCCCCACAAAGCCAATGGCTGCCAGAAAGATGGCCAAGATCTGAAGCCCTGCAGCTGCCATAGTTTGCTCACGTTGGGCAGAAGTGGTGTGACTTAGCTGCGCCAGCAACACAATACCATATGGGCCTAAAAGCCTTGTTTTGTACCTACAGCTTTTATACCCACATGGTAGGCTGTGATTTCTCCTGATTGGTTGGTCCAAATTATTCAAACTCAAAACACCTGTGGTCATTAACTTAGTCCTGTAGTGACAAACACCAACTTATTTAGAAATAGAACACATTTTGAAATACCTTTACCAATTTACATTCACGTTTTGTTTATTTATCTGAATTATGATCTATTGTTTATTATTAGTCTCTTCAAATCACAATCAAACTGTTTCCATTCTTAAGTGTATGTGTTATTTTAAATATTTTTATTTTCGTAGTGTCTCGTGTTTTTTTCTCTTGATTTATTTAATAACTGATGTCTCATGTATTTCCAAATGTGGCTTTTGTGAATTGGCTCAATTTCAAGTCTGACTTTCATGAGAAGAAATAAAACATTGAGGGATGTATTGTCACATTTATTTTTATTATCGAGTGCAATAGTCATTTTGAAGTGTCTCTAAAGACCATGATAAACATGAGATTTCATTGGTGACTGCCTGCTTACCACCTTACTTCATGTTCTGTTACCAGTGCAGCAATCAAGCTGAGTGATTTCACCTGTGCTAATTAGCCAGTGATTCTCAGCTGACCTTATGGGTTTGCTTGTTTTTACTGTTTGGTGAGTTGGTGTGCTTGTGACAAACATCCATATTAAAATAGTTAAATGAACAAACATGTAAAAATGTGACAAATACTCCCAGAGTGATTCCATGGAGAGTAAATATTAGATAATATTAGAATTTACAATCTTTAGATATAGATCTGTCAAGACAGCAACAGTTACTCACATCACTTCCTCTTTAGTGGTTTTGCCTGCAAAATAAAAGTGTGAGAACGTATTTTGCAGCAATGTCTTATTTTGAGTTTAATTGAGGGCTTTTACTTTGAAAACTTCTGAACAACATTAAAAATAGTCAGTAGCCTGTTTGACAAACCTCTGAAAAATCCGTCAGAAAACGTGATTCTCCTCTTCTCCCTGGAGATACTGGGGAAATAAAAAAGTGTCCGTAGTTTGATGGATGCGGATCAAGCACCGTAACACACACACTGCAGCGCATGCTGTATTGTGAGACAGCCGCTTCATAATCAATTTGTTGCAGAGGGGCGAAAAAAAAAATTCTCCCAACAAGGGATCAAACATGCAACCTTCTGGGTGAGAGTCCTACACTTTATCTACAGGGCTAACCAAACACTGTAACAATTAGTTTAAATAGTATTTGTTATATTCTCACCCACCATCTAATGGATTAAAAGATTGCTCCCATGCAAAACTTATTTGCCGACCCCTGCTGTGTCGGAAATCACCACTCATTCACGACTCCCTGTGTAGGGCGTTGTAAAGGACTATATAGTGAGCTCACCCACATAATAAAAACACTGCGGGACACTACTCCAATCATTATTTCGGTGCAGTTAATTACGTCATTGGCATCGGACAATCAGTTGGTGGACTTTTTAAAATCAGCGCAATGCATGATAGTCTATAGGGTTTGGTTAGTGATCATCGGTTGTACACCAATTTTCAAAATGCATTTTGGGGATACTTTTGAATGGACTATTAAAAAGGTATAATTCTCACTACACATCTGGACAGCACCACAAAATGGTGAACTCACTATATAGTGAGTGATTTCACACAGTCCATTTTACTGCTTATTCTTTGAACTTACATTTCTAAGGTGATGAGTGTCTACACTGCCAGAACGTTACATGAAAATGAACAGTGACAAAACATGCTCTGTATGTACACTTTCAGCTAGAAACATGGCGGTGTAATATGGTGACATCCATGGGAGGGGGAGGACCCGCAGTTCTGTAGATACAAGGGTCTCATGCTAAGGTAATAAAAAAAAACAAAAAAAAAAACATAAAAAAAAACATAGCAGTTCATTATGTAAGGCCTTTATACATCACTGAAAACCATTATGATATATTGCATTTCTGTTAAACCCTCAGAAGGTTTATGGACTTTAACTGTAGTCATTAAGTCAGACCAAGTTTTATTACAGCCTAGATTCCCCTCCAATAGCCTTTACATTTAAGAATCATAAGTCACAAAATGCTTCGTAGATCTAATATCTCTTTAGAGATGTAACTGTAGGGGCAGGGAAGTTCATTTGAGCATGCCGATTTCCTGAAACAGCATAGGGAAAGGAAAGCAAGTGTTTATCTACCGGTCTGAATCCGTTGAAAACAGGCTTACAGCATGCATAAGCCTCACATAATCCTGTGAATTTTGAATCGTTAGGTAGGCTAGTTTAAACCCACTAGAGACCCTTAACAATCACTGAAAAAAAAAAACCAAACACACTCAGATCACTAGGATTTTTAATTTATTAAAAGTCAATAAGACACCTTGAAATCACACATTTAAGAGCATTAAGATATATAAGACTTCAGTCCAGTTTCCTGTTGCAAGAGAAGGATGCACACTAAAAAAAGACAGGCATTTTAGACATAAGCACCACTGGCTGCTGAGCGTGGGGCACAATATTTGACAGAGTATCCGCTATCCTTACGCTGTGGACACTGACAGCAGAGAAGTGCCCCGCCAATAAGCAGGAGTCCTGCTGTTCCCCAACCGATGAACAGCGATGCGCCGAGCTCCCGCCTCTGTCCGTCGGTCAAAAGGGGGTTGTAGAAGTCCCTGATGATAGTGTTAGCTGACCAGGACACAGGGATCAGGCACAGGATACCTCCAACGATGAAGAGCACGCCCGCAATGATTGCTACCTTGCTCTTGGCCTCTTCATCGTCAATGCAGTTGGTGCACTTTCCCCCTGCGACAGCAAGCAGGATTCCCATGAAGACAACCAAGATCGAGATCACAACCAGGGCACGGGCTGCCTGCAAGTCCTGGGGTAGAGCCAGCATGGAGTCGTAGACCTTGCACTGCATCTGTCCGGTGCTCTGCATCACACAGTTCATCCACAGGCCCTCCCAGAAGGTCTGCGCTGTCACAATGTTGTTCCCAATGAAAGCAGACACCTTCCACATGGGCAAGGCGCAGATGACAATGTCCCCCACAAAGCCAATGGCTGCCAGAAAGATGGCCAAGATCTGAAGCCCTGCAGCTGCCATAATTTGCTCACGTTGGGCAGAAGTGGTGTGACTTAGCTGCGCCAGCAACACAATACCATATGGGCCTAAAAGCCTTGTTTTGTACCTACAGCTTTTATACCCACATGGTAGGCTGTGATTTCTCCTGATTGGTTGGTCCAAATTATTCAAACTCAAAACACCTGTGGTCATTAACTTAGTCCTGTAGTGACAAACACCAACTTATTTAGAAATAGAACACATTTTGAAATACCTTTACCAATTTACATTCACGTTTTGTTTATTTATCTGAATTATGATCTATTGTTTATTATTAGTCTCTTCAAATCACAGCCACGCTGTTTCTTCCTTTTTTATGTGTACATGTGTTATTTTAAATATATTGTCTTTATTTAAATTGTGTTTTTTTTTCTTGATTTATTTAATAACTGATGTCTCAGGTACATTTCTAAATGTGGCTTTTGTGAATTGGCTCATTTGCAAGTCTGACTATAATGGGAAGAAATAAAACACTGAGGGATCTATTGTCACATTTATTTTTTGTGCCAAGTGCAACATTCTGCAATATGCACCAACACTACAATTTTTTCCCGTTTTACATTTTGAAGTGTCTCTAAAGACCATGATAAACATGAGATTTCATTGGTGACTGCCTGCTTACCACCTTACTACATGTTCTGTTACCAGTGCAGAAATCAAGCTGAGTGATTTCACCTGTGCTAATTAGCCAGTGATTCTCAGCTGACCTTATGGGTTTGCTTGTTTTTACCGTTTATTGAGTTGGTGTGCTTGTGCCAAACGTCAAAGTTTTTAAATGAACAAAAAATAAAGTAAAAATGTGACTAATATTCCCAGAGATATTCAGTGGAGAGTAATATATTGTATAGATGTCAGTCTTTTACCCAATAAAAATAGCACATTAAGTTTTTATGCATTAAGCTTTGAGTTAACTGGGTTCTATAAAACAGAATTAAATGTAACAGTGATGAATTACAGCCTCCACCACATTGGTTCCCAAGCGTTTTTACTCTTGGCTGGCTGCTCCATCAAATGTCCTAAAGTAGTCCTTCATTGACATCTTTAGTTCATCATCACCCAAATGTCCATCCATCCATCGTCAACCGCTTATCCTGCGTACAGGGTCGCGGGGGGCTGGAGCCAATCCCAGCTGACATCGGGTGCAAGGCGGGGTACACCCTGGACAGGTCGCCAGTCCATCGCAGGGCCAAACAGTTTTTTGTTCAACTGGATTTGTTACAATGATTTTTTAATACAAGACACAATGATACTTGATTTGTCAAGGGTTTACCTCTTTCCTTAAAGTAGGTTTAGTCAATTTTTCAATTGTACTACTATGACTTGGTGGAGCTGGTGGTTTCAACCATTTTTAGCCACGTCATTGTACTGGGGATGGTAATGTCAATCTGCTAGTTAGTCCACCACTTTGGTCCAAACAGAAATATCAAATGAATTGTTGTGATGTATTGCAGACATTCATGTTCTCCAGAGGACGAATCCTACTGACTCTGGTGTTCCCCTGACCTTATCTCTTGCAGGTCAAGGTTTTCACTTATGCAGTGAACTATCTCAACATCTAGCAGATGGATTGGCACGATTTTTTGGTACAGACATTCACCATTTCCAGACAATTAATCCCGAAGACTAATTTGACTTTTCCTCTAGCAACACAATTGGACAAATTTTCATTTGTCTGATTCTTTGGTTTGTCACTACATATTTGCAAAACTAATGACATTCACATCAGCCAGTTGTGCTCTGTGTGTAGTGCTAATCATGATATATAGATATTTAACATTATGGTTAACATTAGCATACTAATTGTTATTGTGCAAATGTTAGCACACTGACTTTAGCACTTATCTTAAAACACAGTAAATCCAGCCTCATGTTGCAGACGCTTGGTCTTTGTTCGTGTCTATGAAGATTCTCAGTCATCCTGGTCATAGTTATCCAACGAAGGTTAAAGTCAAGGGCAACTGGACTCGGTTGAAGATACTGGAGGATGTTTCGTCCCTCATCCAAAGGTCTTCTTCAGTTCCGTTGGTCTTTGTTCATGACTTTTCTATTTTATTTTTTTTCTGATCGCTTGTTAATTAGTTTAGACAAACTGTAGCATGTGGTGTTATAAAATTAGCTGGTAGTTTATTGCTTATTGCGACAGTAACTTATATAAGATATCTGTTAAAAAGGCCAACAACACATGGAACCTTCCACCCCCTATCTTCAAGTGGTACTTTCCGCCCCCCTCTTAGAGTGGTATGTTCCGTCTGCCCAGTGCAGTTCACACGATCATGGAGAGTTCTGAGAGTTCCAATTAAGTTACAAAAAGAGTGTTAATGCATTTATTTCCGACTGTTGTGTGCATCCATTGAACTGACCACACACACACATCACACTATTTTGTGACTTGACTCAGTAGTGGGTGGTGATTTCCTGAACCCAAGTATTGTGAAAAGCCACATGCAGCTCATCTCTTTCTTTCAATATTGTTTGGGGATACATCTTTATTTTATTATAATTATGCTCAGTTATAGCCTACTTCAGAAACCATTATTGTTTGACATGTATGGTTTGCAAAAAACTTGAGGACCTTAATGTAGCAACTTATGTTATCGCAGTACGTCTGTTCCATGACGTTATAGTTTCATGTTTCAACATTTCACACTTACTGTAAGCTTTTGACTGAACCACACTCTTTTCTTTGTTAGAGCTCTGGTGGAGGACCAGAGGGCCTCTTTGTGTGAGAGAAAGACCTCTGAACTCAAAGGCAGCATGATGGATGTTTATATCGGAGCAATAAAGTCAAAGCCCGCCCAAAGGAGGGGCTACTCAGGGCATCTGTGGGTCATATAAAGGTGCCCCACAGTCTAGTTGGCAGCCCACTGAAGAACTGAGACAGAGCAAGAGAGAGAAGGAACACCACCAAACAGCAATGGCATCTTTAGGATTGCAGATTTTGGGCATCGGGCTGGCAGTGCTTGGATGGATTGGAAACATACTGATCTGTATGCTGCCCCTGTGGAAGGTGTCTGCTTTCATTGGGAACAACATCGTGGTGGCTCAGACCATCTGGGAAGGACTGTGGATGACCTGTGTGGTGCAGAGCACGGGTCAGATGCAGTGCAAGGTCTATGACTCCCTGCTGGCTCTGCCTCCGGACCTCCAGGCGGCTCGGGCTATGGTGGTCATCGCCATCCTGTTCTCTCTGTTTGGCTTGCTGCTTTCTGTGGTCGGAGGGAAATGCACCACCTGCATTGGGGATAAGGTGGCAAAAGCCAGAGTGGCCATCTCCGCAGGTGTTTTCTTCATCCTGAGTGGGGCTCTGTGTCTGGTGACTGTGTCTCTGCCTGCTAACACTATCATAAAGGACTTCTACAACCCCATGGTTCCTGATGCGCAGAGGAGGGAGTTGGGTGCATGTTTGTACATGGGCTGGGGAGCATCAGGACTGCTGCTGATCGGTGGTGCTCTTCTCTGCTGTCAGTGCCCGTCAGGAGGAGACCGCTATAATGGAGCAAAGTACTCTGCACCTAAATCCACAACACCTGGGAAGGAGTTTGTCTGAGTTGCTGTATTACATGAGAAGCAGCGCCCTTTGAGAAGCACTTGACTTTACATACAAACCTGCTTATCTAGTCGTGATTGCGTGGTGTCGTTGTGACTAACATTTTTTTTACTAACACACTGCAGCCTTCTGAAATATACAACTCTAAAGTATGTGCCATGTTACAATAATGTAAATGGAGTTAGGATTGCAGTATAATCCATTTTTTCTTTTTTCCACATCGTTTTATGTTTTAATTTCAATATTAAAACAGTCTGGCTCAGACTCCTGTGATGTTTTTATATTTCCTTTTGCAACATAAGCACTTCATGTATTTGTCATATTAGACTTATTTTCCATTTTCATTTTGTTTTTTATTCAAACATTAAACAGTATTTGTTGTCAACAACATTTTTTTTTAATAGAACAACACACATTTACTGAGCAAAAAGTTGAGATTCTTCCCTTGAGAACTATTATTTTATGCTACATTTCAGAGGGAAATATTTCACTCTTATTACTCAGTTTGACAGCCATAGTTAATAGTTACTTTAAAGATTAAGATTTTATGCACAAAACATGATTTAGGTCAATAGGGTCTACAGATAGAAGGCATAGTATGCTGTACAGACTGTAAACTGGACTATTTAAACTAGTTAAATTTCCACATTATCAGTGTAAGTAATACAATATTATTATAATATAACACTGACTGTTCGGCATACGGAGTACTTTTTAATTTTGTTGATAATACTTCTGTATTTTTACTTGCTTAAAGTGTAACTAAACCCCCAAATTCTGCTAGCTCCCTTCCTCCCAGCATATTTTAAAAATGCAGAGGGCCGCACAGGGCAACCATAGTGTGGCATTATTTGCTGAGTTTAAAATTACAGATATCCGCGCTAGTGATGTCATTAAAAACAACACTCAACTTGTCACACATACTAAATGACAATTGCTGACGTCTGTGATTCACTTTTGACTATTCCAAATAATAGTTGCACATATCTCAACATTATTATGACTAGTCTGGATTGTTGTGCATGACGTTGCTCATGTGAGGTTGAATATTGGCCCAGCAAAGCATTTGAACCTTAGCAAAGGCGTTTGCCGTTGTGGATAAATTAGAAAATCCCATAAAATAGAAAGAACATATCATCAAGGAATTTGTGGCGAATGAGAGCTTTGTTCACTACAGAGTTGTGGTAAAAAATGTTCAACTTTTAACAGAGATGAGAATAAAGCAAACTGGCTCACGTGTAAGCTACTTTCATCATCTGCTCTGGAAAAAATAATGTGGCTCCCGCCTCTCACATCTTGCTGTAGCTTCTGATGAAATAACAGAAATCCTCAATGTCATTTCGCCCAATAAAAACTCAAATTCATGATATCTGTAATTACATTTTGACTATAATGATAATCAAAATTAATTTCAAAATATAAATATATAAGTTATAACTTAATTCAAAAATGGCCATGTAGATATCTAAAATAATATAATAATGAGAAACCCCACACACCAGTAGTTTGAATCTTATTGGTCACAATGTAATTACTGATATCTTTAATTAGAGCTTTGACTAGGCAAAACTGTTCTTGATATCAATCATTAATATACAGTCTAGCTAAAAAATGTTAAATGGGATTGCCATAGTCACCGACCAGAGCGACAGAGACCACTCAGCATAGCAGGAGCTGGTAGTCATAGTTAACCAGTCTTGAGCAGCTGCTGTCAGGCTCTCTGTGTGCGCTCTGGAAACACAGAATCCGCTGGAGATTTGACAGTCACTAAAAGCAAATTCATCCTGGCTTTTAGTTTTTATGTGGTACTTGTGTTGAGCTACCAGCTCAGGCTCTCTGGTGTGTGTGTGTGTGTGTGTGTGTGTGTGTGTGTGTGTGTGTGTGTGTGTATCTTTGAATATGCTGGACTGTTCAGAAAATTTGATATATGGCTGTATTGTGAAATCAATTAAAGTGCAAAAATGTGTTTGACTAACAAACTGTCTAAAATAGCAAACTAACCTACAAAATATTGTAACTATAACCACAACTATGAAATTTACACCAAAATCATCTATGCTAACAGTACAATTTAACAACTCAGTCCATACAATTCATTCAATCCACCGGTCTATATTACTCCTCTCCACAGTCTGCAGGGTTAAGGGGGACATTGGTTTTATATACAGCGTTGGGGATGGCAAATAACCTGCCACCGGATCAGCCAACAGCAAAATTCAATTGCATTATTCAGGTTTCAAGTAGAGTGCAGCTGCTGTGCATATTTATAGCACAATATGTAGAATTCAAGTACTTTGTACTGAAATGTCACGATTTGGACCTGAATCTGTCAACATTACTACTAAATATATTTGTTTTCTGTTGAAATTAGTGGTTTGGGGGTTTACTTCCCCTTTAAGTAAGAAACATTTTTTATGCAATTTTACTTGCTAATTAACTATTTGTACATTGTAGTATTGTCACTTTTTCCTAAGTAAAATATCTTAATACTTCCTCCTCGACTAGCCTGCTCTCATCTGAGTCTCCAAAATGGACAGTGAAAAAGTACTCAGGTCTGTTGTTTTTCTTGTCAGACTAGTTTCAACTGAAAATGTCTGTAAAGAAAAAGAAAACCATCAAAGAGGTTTAGGATATATCAACCTGACAAGACTTGGCAGATGTGCTCTTACTGGCCAAAGTGTAAATATCCATTCTTTGGAAAAAGAAAACAGTTCCTTAGCAACATGAATCCAACCATACACAGGGCACTGTTGTCTCTGGCGGTGACATCCATTTTACTCCAGACAGAAACTGTAAATTATCTTAATACAAGGGCAGTCGGTTACAGCATAGCAAACACCTCAACCAGATACAGTAAATTCTCAGGAGTCTACTCCCCTGAATTCCTGAAAGCCTTATCACAAGTGGTTATTGTAAGTTCAGTTTCAGTTTTATTACAGTGTGTCTCAAGGTGCAGAGTGAACGTGAGAAAGGAAGACGTCAAGAACAGTATGAACAAAGAAGCTTTATTTCTGAGTTTTAAAAGACAATTGAAAGTCCAGCAGTGATAACTATATCATTTTACAGTTGAACAAAAAAAACATGAGCTTTTGAAAAATATTCATTCATCCAAAATGTTTGGTTATCACAACTTCTCTGGGCAGTAGTCTATACAATAATTGATATAAATAGAGTATTCAGATTTAGTGCATCACAAGTCTCAGTCATCATGAATAAAACAACAACTCCTAGTATTATGTTACAGGTTTCAAGTCTTTGGATTTACAATACAGGAAATGTTTATTTTTAGAAAAAGAATATAAAATATTTCCATGTGAAAACTGACAGGGACACATTTCATCAAGGGTGAAAAAAGTGCAAAAACAAGCAAACAAACCACCAGACAATCTACCTCACTGTGCTGTCTTTTGTTAATTTAATTCTCCAAATTATTGATTGAGTTTAAAAAATAATTCAAATTCAGAGGAGTTTTCCCTAATTTACTTCTTGCTTTTGTCAGCCACAATATTTTGAACTTTTTTCAGACTGCAGGCATTTCTGCCTCTGGAGCTGAGGGCCACCCACCCTGAGTCTTGGTTCTCGAGGTTTATGCTGATTAAAAGGGAATTTTTCCTTTCCACTAGCTGTGTTTCCATCAACGTTTTTTTAAGTGCATTTTGAAGCATCGCACTAGAAAATGTTGAGGTGGTTTTTGCCTTTGTTGAAAAAAAGTTAATGTTAATATTAATAAGTTCTGATGTGCAAACTTGGAACTCACGTCTGATCAGCTGTTTCTGCTGTGAACGTCTTGCTGGATATTCCCATAACGTGCGGAGACATGGCTGGTAGCAATTTGCCCGCTTGAAATACATCCCTGAAGATCTCTCTCTGTTTTTTGAGATCAGTGGCCATTATTTCTATGCGACTGATTTTGTTTCTGGTTTGGAACCCATACGTCTTGTTTATTACAGCCATGTGTAACGTCAACTACTGATGTAACTACGCTTGCCACAGCCTGGTTTATTCGCTCAAAACCAGCTGATGGAAAGACACACATTTTTCGCATTTCCTTTTTGTTCTTTTTTGCAACATTTCAAAAGTCCGCTTAGAATTCGCATGACAATTGGATAGAAACATGGCTAATGTTGCTAAGTGCTTGCTCATGATGGGAATTGTTGGGTAATATTATGTAGAGTACGGTCTTGACCTGCTCTATATGACAAGTGCAATGGCAAGTGTGTGAATAGTTATAAATCAGCACTGTATAAATACAGTTGAATTTAATTGCATTTCACTGATTGATGATTAAACATTTTATAATCTTTTGCTGCAGTTCCATCCCAAACACTCATACATAGTCCGCAACAGAAAATGCTCTTGCAGGGGCAAACTTGGCAGCTGTATAGGGTCTACTTTCTTGTGGGGGGTAGTTGTTGCAGAGCAGACCTCCTCCCAGCAGCAGCAGCCCAGCGGAGCCCCACCCGATGTAAAGTGCAGCCCCGAGTTCCCTCTTCTGAGCCTTGATCATCATGGGGTTATAAAAGTCCAAGATTGTTGTATGAGCTGACCACGAGACTGGGATCATGATCAGCAAGGCAGCTATTATGAAGATCACTCCAGACACGATGCAGGCTTTGGCTTTGGCCACTTCGTCCTCCATGCAGTTAGTGCACTTTCCTCCAACCACAGCCATGAAGACACCAAACACCCCGACGATCACAGAGATGATCATCATGGCCCTGGCGGCCTGCAGTTCTTGAGTTAGAGCTAGCATGGAGTCGTACACCTGACACTGCATCTGGCCTGTGCTCTGGACAACGCAGCTCATCCACAAGCCTTCCCAGATCACCTGGACGGTGAGGATGTTAATCTCGATAAAAGTGGCAACTCTCCACATAGGCAAAGCACAGGCGATGATGGTGCCCATCCAGCCGATGAAGGCGAGCAGCACACCCATGATCTGGAGGCCCTGAGAAGACATGTTGACACTGCTGAAGCCAGAGCACAACTTCTACACAAGAAACCAGGTAAAGGAAAAGGTCGCTGTTTTAGTGATGCTCACTAGATTAAAAACAAAGATTAAAAACACAACAGGGGTTCTCATATACTCCACTCCCACACTAGCTTTGCTTGGCTCTGATGCTCTGAGGTCTGAGAAATTATCTACGTCCCATTGTGGTTCAAACTTTCAGGGTGGAGTTTCTGTGCTCCCAGACAAAAGGGAAAACTGAGACCTGATATCTGATATCTCGATCTCTGGTCATTGTTCCCACACATACAAGCTTTATTACCTAAAGTAAGTTTTCAAGACTGGGAACAATGCTCCAGATCCCACCTGCACTGTACACACACAAACACACAGACCCACTCACACAGGTCAAGCCTTGAGCCAACAAAAACTTAAGAGTCTGGGTCAGCTAAAAACACTTATCTGTCCTTTATACACAAAGAAATCATGCAAAGGAACAAACAGATCAATAGTTTGTTCCTAGAATCAGCAGTAGCCCCGCCTTGTCGCAAGTTCCTGTTTTACTGGAACTGACCCCAGGCTCCTGTTTCTAAAGAACAGACAGTTAGGGCAAGGTGTAGGGAACAATTTCTGCTGTCTGGCACTTTTAACATATAGCAAGGGAGTGTAAGACAAGGTTAGCAGTTTAAAACACATTTTCCATTGCAAATTACAATTCAAGCTGATAACCCTGTCTATCTAAGACATGCAGTGTTGTATTATAGGAACTATTAGCATGTTCAATTAAGTGTCTTTAATAATAGTAAAAGATCAAAGCAAAGGGATATGAATATTTCCTGGCATTTTAATATTTAATCTCTTAACAGATGAAAAACTGGTTCTGTAAGTCCATATAAAGTACCGACACCTTTGACTGTAGGCTCACAGTTTGAACAAAGACCAGTTTTATTTCTGCCACACCTAAACCTGATCTACTGGAAAGTCACACAATACATTCTTCTCAAATGCTGTGGAAAGGATCCTTGTTTTGACTGTAATGCAGCGGTGACATTTACACATCACTAAATGTGTAAAAAGTACAATAATAATAACAGTATAATAAGTATAATAAGTTAAGAATTTGAATAATATGTTGATTTCTCCCTTTTGAAAACCACTGAATGAATCATGCTGAACACAGCTGCTGTGTGAAAATAAAAAGCAAGCACAAGTCATCTCGTATTTGTATTCAAATGTTTATTTACAGTAAAACACATAGTTCATAATATCAACCCACAACATTTTCAGCAGTAGAATATTTAGACAACTTACGATAAAACATATACAGGAAGATTTGTTAACATATAAAGTTGAATGTCCTGTTTTGGGCGTGGCACCTTTCATGCTATTTATTCCCTCTCCTGAGGAGTAAAACTCAGGAATATGTTTTGGTCAACTAACATCTTCAAATATCAACATTCACAACCCAGTAGCACCAGTGCACCTGTCCCAGTAAACATTGTTTTGTGGACGCTATTATCTGAGTCCTGGATCTGTTTCAGACATGTTATTTCCCGGACCTTGGTGCTGAGACATCAGATCTGGCAGCTTTGTACTTTGCAGTGTAGGCGCTTTCATCCTTAGGGGGGCAGCTGCAGCAAAGCATCCCCCCTCCGATTAGCATCAAAGCAGCCGCCCCCCAACCAATGTAAAGCGCAGCACCCAGCTCTCTCTTCTGTGCAGCGTTAAGCAGCGGGTTGTAGAAGTCTTGGATGACGGTGTTGGCTGTCCAGCAGACAGGGACGAGGCAGAGGACCCCAGCTATGATGAACATAACTCCAGAGCAAACGCCCACCTTGGCCTTGGACGTCTCATCCTCCACACAGTTGGTGCATTTCCCCCCAGCTACAGACAGCAGGATAGCCAGAATGCCCACCACAATAGAAATGATGGTCAGGGCCCGGGCAGCCTGGAGGTCAGAGCTGAGGGCCAGCATGGAGTCGTAGACCTTACACTGCATTTGGCCTGTGCTCTGGACCACACAGTTCATCCAAATACCTTCCCAGACGGTCTGCGCGGTTACAATGTTGCTCCCAATAAAAGCAGTGACCTTCCACATGGGAAGGGCGCACACAAGGATGACTCCAATCCAGCCCAGCATCCCCAGGGCAGAACCCAGAATTTGTAACCCAGCAGACACCATCGTGGACAGCCAAATTCTTCTTCAAAACTTTGTCCTCTTTTCAAATGTGATTTGAATGTTCTCTCTGTATAATGTAATTCCTCTCTTGCAGTGCCTGTGTGTTGTTAATTTCCTTCTGTGATGGAGGCAAGTCTTCTGTCAGGTGAGTGCTGAATGGGAGAGTATTGGGAGGTGACCAGGTACATAAGATCTCTTCTCTGAAAAAGGAGGGGCCTAGGACGAAAACTGCTCACCGTCATTAGTCTTTGTTCTTCAGGTCCATCCCCAAACTCCACAAACCCATAACCTGTTTACCCTCCCCCAACCATCCGTTTAACAAGGAAACCAAGTGAGACTGCTTTGCATGTAACACCACATGCATGATAAAACACTCAATACAATATAAGGATCTTATTCAAGAAAAGGTGATAGTAACAGAAAATGTTTTTGCACACCTTTCTTTTCCTCTTCCCCATCTCCAGTTAACCTGCAGTACGTTGGAGTAACATCCTGAGTGAGCGATGACTCAGCCTGTTTTGCATGACAGTACCTCAAACAGAAACTTCACACTGACCAAATATGGTCTTGTGTTCAGTGACTTTGATGTATGACACACAAACTATGGATGACAAGCCACTTCAGTCAAAATAGACATCCAAAATGTCCTCACGCAACTGTTTAAATTCTTTGTCAAAAACGAACCCAAGCGTGGATGGGCTTAGCCCACAAAGCACTTTGGTTAAAGTTTGGTAAAGATTGTGGTTCCAAATAAATGTTAACGTTCTTCTGTTACACTATCAGTGAAGAGTCTGCAAATAGCTTTTTCAACTGCGCTGGTTAAATTTACACAGTGCCCTGGGCACTGGAGTTATTTTAGCCATGGTAGCAACTTGTCCCCAAAGATAGTCCCGCCCTAAAGCATACTCTATACTTTATGGTCTATTTTCCTCTAAATTGGACCATCATTTACTAAATTAACATCATGCTGTATTAAAGAAGATATGAAACTAGCGATTGAGGCCATTAAGTGTAAAGGAAAGTGTTTGCTGAAGTAATAAATCCAGTGAGAAATAGGGTCATTTTACCAGTATTTCTAATTGAACCAGACTTCTTTTTGCAACCCGAGGAATCACCCCCTGCCGGCTGTTCGATAGAATGCAGGTTTAAGGGACTTTCGCGTTGGCCTCAATTTTCAGAGGTTCCAACTTGGCCACAAGCCAGGTAGTTAAGGTAGCCAAATATCTAATCAACCTAATCAACTCGTCTTTCTCTCTCCTCTGACTCAGCCTAGCTGCCCTGCTTGTTCAGTTTGCTTGAGATTGTATTCCTAAAAAATGGCAGCTTTTTACTTGAAAATGAGACTGGAAACCAAACTCCAAAATAAATCACAATCTTTCCACCTCTCTTGAAACTGACCTTCAGGTTAACCTTTCTTTGAGGTTTAGAAGGGGACATGTAAGTTTCAGGTACAGTAAATCAAAGTGCTGTTGATCACTGCTTGTGTTCATTTTGCACAACTTGTTAAAAGTTTAATTTGAAGAGCATTTTTATGCTCTGACCTGATAACAGTAACAGACTGGACAAACTAAAATATCATTTTGTAGGCCAGATGTAATTCTAAGAATGTGAAATTGTCTTGTAGGCTGAATCTGGACCCTGGTAGTTTGAAACCCCTGATCTATAGTCACATTTCACTTTTTGCTGTCTTTCATTAATTTCATCTACACACACACACAAACTAATCTCAAGAACATGATAAATGACAGCTTCAAAGAAATAAACAGTTTGTTGAGGCGGTAAACTATACTGGAAAAAAGAGCACATGGAAGAAGTTTGCCCTCAGAGCTTAGGCATCAAAACTAATAATATAATAAAACTTAAAGTTAAATTCACCTCAGGACACCACTCTTAAACAACAGAAAATGTATTTAATTATCTAATTCAGTCTCATAGAATATCCTATACTGTCACTTTGTAATTCCGGTTCATAATTAAATTAATAACTATAACAAAATTACTGTTAATACATTATTAGATAGTGGGTCAAAGGATTTGGAGTTCTACACAGAAGAGGCGATATATTAATTCGTATGCAACATTAAAGAGAAACCAGCATGAATAAACACACAAGCATTTATTTAATCAGATAAACCAAGGAAGAAATAAACACGATTAAACTAACTAAAAAGCACTAAACTAGAGAACAAAAAGATGCGTGTGTGTGTGTGTGTGTGTGTGTGTGTCTTTGTCTCTTTGTTCTGAACAGCTGTGGTTACATTATAATCTCACGTTAACAATAAAACCTCATCAAAAAAACACATCAATGTACTTTGACTAAAAGCTATACACAGTGCTGTGCTTAGCCAAGTAACATTACAGTTATGTGCAAACTATGTGAAGCTCTAAAGTGCCCAGTTACATTACCAGTCTATAACGGAAGAAAGTTGTTTTAACGTGCTAGTTGTTAGCTGGCAGGTCCATTGTGGATTCAGCCAGGCGGGGAAGAATTGTGATTAGCCAGCAATTAACTTAAGCAGGACTTACTCCTGCTTGCTGCTGGAAAATCGGAGAGTTCAGTTCCCAGCAGGCCACGCTGGAAGACCGCTGGCTTTTGTCCAGTCATGTCAAGAGGAGTGGAGAAGAGAGAGCAAGCAGACATTGCTCTCCGGTTTTGTGAATGAGGTGACGTCTTAAGTCACTGACCAACTGTAGCTGCAAGCTGGGTCCATGGGTTGACTTTACACACTTTACAAGTGTGACTTTCCGGGATACTGAGTTTTATTGACTCGCATGATAAATGTTCAGTTAAGATCACAAATTAACAACACTATCTGTGATGTCTCTGCTCCCAACAGTAATAATCCTACAATTTCCACCTCTAACACCCCTCCAAATCATTTTTGATCAGAGTGTGTTTATTTTTCTGTGTAAAGAACAGAATCATTTATTTGTTTCAGTGTAGCTGTTTTCAGTTTTATAGCAGTTCATCTTCAGTTCTCAGAATTAATGCAGATTGGTATACACCAGTACACGTGTACAATGGGTAAAAAATCTCGCCCACTCTTGTCACATACTGTACATGCAATTAACACATTTTAATAAGGAGAGACACAACAAAGCTTGCTACACAGGTCGATCCACCCACAAGAACTCAAACACACCAACATGTCATGAAGGTTACACTGCCTGAGGTTAGATAACCGGAGTCCATGAAATGCTGTGCACTCTCTGGTGAAGTGTGTCCTTAGTTATTTGTTATTTAAGAAATATAATTTTCCAAAAGAAGAAATAGGATTTATTGGAAACAAAATAATTAAATAAAAAATGGAGAGGCCGTGGGGTGAGGTTGAGGTTGGCTTTGAGCTCTGTTATGTTCAGTCTGTGTGTGTTCTGTGAATCAGACTGAAAGCTGATTGTAGTGTAGACAAGGTTTTTTGTTCAGAGGATCACAGGAAAATAGCCTGTTTTTGATATTTATGTGTACCTGATGTGGGCAGAAGGGGGAAGGGCAACAAAGAGGGGTCAGTGTAAGTACAAGTGTTATAATATATGATGTATTTGACAGTTCTGGATTTTGCAACTTCTCAATGTTAAAACCCTGACATGAAAGAAAAATTCTGAATTTTGACTCTTCTGTCAGCTGTTCTCCTCTCTGCCCAAAGGGAGGCAGCAGCTACTGCTTTTAAATCGTCTCTGTCATTTTACTGTGTGTGTTTGAGGTGTGTGCATGCATTTGGTGGAGTAAACACTTGTGATATAATCTGTCCTGAACTTCCTGGAAGAGTCACTTAGAGGTTCAGCTCTCACTCACATGAAAGCAGAGGTGAGATTGAAATCTAAATGTTAACCCTTTTTTTAAATAAAAAAATACTGTCACTTTAATCCAGTTTGTTGTAAACTTTTACATTTAATTTACATGCCCATGATGCAGCAATAAAAGACACAACACAAGGTTTGTTTTGTCTCTTGAGCTGTCTATGTATCTGTGTGATTGTGAACATGTTGCATCTCCCACTGTTCAAAGAGCTTTCAATGTTTTAAATTTGTCCATAAATCTCCAAGCAGCCATTAAATCCAAGGCTCCCTTCCTCTTTCAAAGGACTTCAATTGCTTAGTAACTGAGAGTTCACATATAGAGCAGCATTGTCATCGACCAGTGACCTAATAATGGCCTCCAGTGGAAATCCCCTACTGCTTTTGAAGTACGGCTGCATTGTATGAGAAATATCTTCTATGTGTGATATCACTGTTTAATATTGCAATGACTTGTGATAAATAAGATAATATTTAAGTGTACATATGAGCTATACAGTTCCTATATCAGCCTGGTTGTCTTTAATGTCAGAACTGGATTAGAGTTGATTATTTTAAATGTACCAAATGTCATTTCTAGACAGCAAAATCTCTTAAAAGCTTCAGTCACTGCAGATAGGAATTGATGCTGGCACCACTTTGTTGCCTGAAACTTATAACTGTTTAAGTGTTAACATCAGCAGAACCTTTTCCCGTTTTACCCAAATGCCCTAGAGTACAGATGGTGCAACTGAAAAAAGTGGCCTTTTGTGTCAAAGTAAGTTGTTACAACTTAAAAGTTAGTGTTATGCTCAGCTGGTGCAACAGGCTGCAGGTCCTTTTCATGTTTACATTAAATCAAATCATGACTTTCAGAATCAGTTTAAAGTATAAAATAACAAAAATAACAATTTTCCATTTATATGTATTTATATAGTGAATAATGCACCACATACTTCCAGTTAACTTTTGTCCCACCAATGTTTCTGACATTGTTTCCCTCCTTATTCAGGTCTCTATGTTTATTGTGTTGGCATGCTCCATTCTGACGCCAAACAGATAAACCTATTATTTATGCAGTTGCACACCCACTTGGATTTAACGATAGATTATTTGTGTGTTTTCCCTGCAGCGAGAGAGGAGGAAGAGCTCACACTCTCATAAACCAACCAACCCACACAAGGAAACCGGGAAATGGATAATCCTTCTGCTAACTGAAACTCATTATCAACTCTTCTGAATGATAGAGCTGTCCAGTGAAACTCCTCTCACTGCACAAACACAGAGTGGTTTCAGTAACATAAAAATTGTCTTAATGTTCAGCTGTAAATCCAGGCTCCATGGGATCTATATTTGATGACAGGGAGTAAATTAATATCCTGTCTCCAGACTATATCGCTGCCCACATCTCAGTGACAAGCATAGATGACACAGGTTGTTGTACATCTTACTGAAAATAGCTCTCTTAGATCAGCATATTTCTTTATTACATTACATTCATTTAAATTTTCAATAAAATTTTATTTATCTGATTGCACTTTTCATATAGAGAGGTCTACTCTTTTTAATATTTATTTGAACCAACAATTCCCACCACAAGCAAGCACTTAGCAGTGGTAGCGAGGAAAAATGACCATATCAATCATGTTGTGGCAACAGGCTAAGCAAGGTATCCAGATGCCCCTTTGCAAAGAAGCTACTCTCAGCTCTCTCCTAGGGCCGGCCCTGACAGTGTTGGAGCCCTAGGCAAGAATTTCTATTAAATCATTTAAAAATTAATAGAATTTAATGCAGTAAGGCTCTCAGGCATTCTAGCTATTTCCTTTAGATATGTTTTCTTCTGCAGATCAACTTTTCTCATTCAATAAAATCCCTGCTGAGTCAGCACACATTATTTAGTCTTCCCTCCTCTTTTATGTCTTTTCTTTGGGGAAGTAACCTCTTTAAATATGCAGGCTGACCCCTTTTCACCTAAATGATAAATTAACTAATTTTAAAAGTTATTATTAGTGTAATTTTTGTTATAAACTCTCATATCTTCTGTGTTTCAGCAGGTTTTCTGCTCCTGTTCCAAACTTTCTGCACATCCAGAATCTCTCCCACATCTGTGTTTGGGGAAAAAAACATTGTAATATCATGAGACTAATGTAATCATTTAATGGGAATTCATAATGTTTTTAGCCTGCCCTATAGCTACTCTGTGCGTTGGCCTGCTTATTGCTCAGCTGATGCAAGTCAGATCATCTTACAGAAACAGAACTGGATGAGGCTAGCAGGTGACAAAACTGTTGCGGAAAAAAACAAAAATGTACTAACTTAACTGAAAACACTGGTGATAGGGAAGAAATCTCACCACAAATCCACACAAATGTTAAATTCAGCAGCTCAGACAAATTGCAGTTCATAGTCCCAAACAGAGCAAGTTTGCACCTCAGTTATTACACTTTCATATTGCAAAACTACCAGTTGCGTTACTACTCTGTCACATTCTGGCTGCATACTCAGCCACTCACAACGCGAGTTGGGTGCACTTCATGGCATACGCTGGTGTTGCATCAGCTGGTCTGAGTTGACTTGAGCCAAGTCAAAAACTGTCTCTTGCGGCACCCCCTGACATTATGCGCCCTATGCCACAGGTCGCCCCTGCTCTCTACAGATGTCTGAGCTCCTTACCCTGTCTCTAAAGGTGAGTCCATTCACCCTACGGAGACTCCATCCATCCATCCATCGTCAACCGCTTATCCTGCGTACAGGGTCGCAAGGCGGTCGCAAGGCGGGGTACACCCTGGACAGGTCGCCAGTCCATCGCAGCGCCCTATGGAGACTGATGAAGTTAAATAAAATGAAATAAAAAATAATAATAAATAATAAAACTCATTGTGAACTAGTAAATGTCTAAGGTGTCCAGTCTGGATGATAATGTGATAACGTTTGTTTATGGTAGCAAACTGCATGCAGAGGGCAGTTATGAAGCTGGAAGTTAAGAAAAAAACCCCATATATAAATAAGATGAATATGGACTTAATTCAGAGTTGTGTCATTTTGGCCCTCGTTTTGCTGTATTTACACATTGTGTTGGGATTATTTTGTATCTGCATTTCAATCTAATTTTATGTACCTTCAGTGTGTGTTACATGTGGCATCTTTATCGATAGATGTGAAAGGGGTGACTTGCCACTCATTCATCACTTGCCAACAGCAGCAGGCAGCTTGTTTCAGTGAAAAGGTTTTGATAAACCCACTGTACAACCTGCCCAGCACCAAACAGCAGACAGACAAAGTTAGGAACCAGTTGGTAAATAGTGGAGCAAGCCAGATATTTTCCTGGAGTTGTAAAAACCAAAAAAGACCTAAAGCAAGATTAAATATTGGAGTTACATTTCTCAGGTGGTGAAAAAACACCACTCCATTTGCTGTGTGCAAATTGTTATAGCAAACATTTTTATAACACACTGTAGTAGTGCTGTTGAACCACCGCTCCATTTTTTTTGTTTGAGCATGCAAACAAAGAATTTGGCAGTATTGACAGTCAGATGTGATTTCAATTGTTGGCAGATTATTTGTTTCCTTCCTTAATACCAAAATGATCTCAATAAATTGCCTTTTATCAGGCTTTATCTTATCACGGTTACTGGGTCAGCCATTCTTTAGCGTACGTGTTTTATAAATATTGAAGTGTGATAATATGTACACGTACACAAGATACAAGATAAAAGCGTGTCAGAGTGTGATAGTGGCATTGTAGTGATCACTTGGACCAATATGTGCAGACACATTGACCTACAATAACAGAGTAATTCTGGCTTAATCGAGAAACCAGAATCCATGTCACCATTGTATAATTGTCAAAGGTCATCCAAAACTTGAGTTATTTTATGTGAGGCAGGATTTGGCATCATTGTACCTTTGAACCTTATTATTCTGTGGAAAACTGGCTGATCAAAGATCTTTAAAAAGTATATGTCTGGGGATATTCTACATTTTTTTTATATTTGACCAATTTACTAACCAAGTCTGTTTGCCCAAAATCTATTTAAAACGCAATAAGAATCACTTCTGCACTGGGTGACATATTCCTTTATAACAACCAATGGTCTTGGATAGGAAAAACAGGAAAGGGAGGGCAGAAGGTACGGAAAGACCAAATAATATATTGCTGGTTGGTCTTTTCATGGGACTCATATTTTAATTTAGCTTTTATGTATTTATCACACGGGTGTTGGTTAAAATTCCAATAAAATGCAAAGCAGTGTGCTATTTGATTCCTCATGTTTACGTGTTTCCTGTCAAACATGAAGCTAGAGATGGACTGATTTATAGTAGCCAATAATGTGCGTTACACCAATGTGTGTTGTTATGTTACCTTAGATAAGTTAGCAGCAGTTAGAGGTAACTTTAGCAACAAGTAAAGATATCTGTCCATAAGGAAACTCCGTACCTCATTGAGAGTTGAGGTGGAACAGCGTGGACATCAGAGAGAAAAAGTGAATGTGATCAACTTTCATGGCAATCAGTGAATAATGTTTTTGTCAGTATGAAGTGAGGCCCACAGAAACACTCTGCTCCGGCAGTGTCCTAAAAATTGAGAAAGGGTTTCATTGTACTCGAAATCAATATAGGCTCATAAGTGCAGGATGAGTCATCAAAAGGTGACATGTAGTACAAGACAGTGATATAAAAAGACCATTTTCGTTTCGTGGGACTTCATGTTCGTATATCCTGTAGTTTGTGTCATAAAAGCTGGTTAATTCAGAGAAGTCATAGTTTCATATCTATAAAATGTATTCTAAGCATTTCTAGTTTATCATTAACTAGGAGTCCTGCATGATTACCTGTAGACTGACCCAGTGAAAATGAAACACACGTTCCTGCCATAAAAACAGTAACATCATGTCTTACTCGAGGCTATAGAACACAGTACATCACAACTAAACTAAATAAATAAAAACAGAAAAATATAACAAAGGCGAACAGAGAAAGTCCTGTCAATATGTGCTGAAGTTCTCATCACTTCAGCATACATTGCATTCACTCATTTCCTGACGTACCCTAACCTTTACCATGGCCACTAGCTGCCTAACCCTAATCCTTAGCCTCTCTTTTAACCTAACCTTTATCTTACCTTAGTCTAACCAAGTATTCACCCTAAAACTAAATGATTTACGTTTTGTGGGCTTGCATTTTGTCCCCAAAAGGAAGGTGAGTAAACAGATTTATGTCCCCCAACATGAGTAATACATGTCCACACTGGATACACCCATACAAACACAAATCTATTAGAATGCATGCTTGTATATCCGTTACTCATGTGATCACCTATAAACCACATAACAACCTCTGCCTTGGCCACTCATTACCTCCTGACAGCAATAAAGCAAACACTCCCAGAACTACCTTGGGTAAAAGGTTAAACCATAAAAATACTCTTCATTTGAAAAAGCACACAGAAGAGCACAAACACACCCAGGTGGGAAATGAGGTCAATGCCCAGGACTCACCTGATTGGCTTGGTTTGGGGAGTGATGTCATTTCTTAGGAGGGTCAGAATAAACGATGCAGATAAGGGTTATAGACTACTTAACAGCAAGCAGAACACGGGAAGAGAGTTTGTGGAGAGAGTGTGTTGTGTTTTATCGACACTTCTGGATTCAGCAGTAGTGTAGTAGCTATAGCTTGAGGAGGCATCGCTTGTGGAAAGAAGGGTCCACTAAGACACGTAAATATCAAGAAGGCCATCAGATATTTGCTGGAAAATAAAAGTGGGGAAGGGAAAAGAAAATTCAATAAATAGGGACAAAGAGGAAGGGCAAATAAAGGACCTTTTGACCCAAAGAGTTGACGTCTGTCTGGGTGCACAATGGTGTCTTTTGGACTTGAACTGGTCGGTGTTATTCTGGCAGTGCTCGGCTGGGTGCTGAGTGTGGTCAGCTGTGCCTTGCCAATGTGGAGGGTCACCGCCTTCATTGGCGCCAATATTGTCACAGCACAGGTGTACTGGGAGGGCCTGTGGATGAGCTGCGTGTTCCAGAGCACAGGGCAGATGCAGTGTAAGGTCTACGACTCCATGCTGGCTTTACCTCAGGACCTGCAGGCTGCCAGGGCGCTCACCGTCGTCTCCATCATTGTGGGGGTGGTGGCTCTTCTAATCGCTATGGTGGGAGCCAAGTGCACCAACTGCATCGAGGATGACGGTGTTAAAGCAAGGGTGATGGCCTCCTCGGGCGGGGCGTTCATCACAGCTGCTGTGGCCCAGATGGTGCCTGTTTCCTGGTCAGCAAACACCATCATAGTGGAGTTTTACAGTCCAATCGTCCCCTCCGGTCAGAAGATGGAGATCGGGGCAGCACTGTACCTGGGCTGGGCTGCCGCAGCCCTGCTGCTGATTGGTGGGTGCATCCTCTGCTGCAGTTGCCCTCCACAGGAAGACAAACCAACGAGGTACGGCGTGCACCCTCAGAGTCGTATAGCATACTCCGCCGCACCAAGGTCAACCGCTCAAAGCTCCTACAACAGGAAGGACTATGTGTGAGGGAAGAGGACAGGACTGAGGATTAACGATAAAGAATACTATTACTAATTTCATTTGTATCATGCTTTTTTGTACATTTTCAGGAAATGTGTACAGAAATGCTGCTAATTAATTATTTTGGTTTAACCAATTGTTCACTAGAAAACGATGGCCAAACCAGGTGGTTTTTGTGGATATTTAGGACCCTAAATATGTGTAAATATTAAGTTTCCTTGATACTTTTGAAAGATAAAATTGGAAGCTCTAGGTGTTTGATGGTATTGTTTACATTTACTATTGGTCGAAAACTAGCGGAGATAAAATCAAATTTGAAAAGATGTGACCAAACATGGTAAGACATGGAGAGACCAACAAATGTGATCCATGTGGTCAGTTCAGCAACGAGACTTTATCCCATATATTTATTATTTGTGCTTATAACATTTATGTTGTGAATTTTCCTCATTGTGCTGATCATTGTGTACATATCAAGTATCATACTGTCAACTACTGCAAAGCAAAAAGCGATACTGTTGGGACTGTTTTGCGTCTGTAATGAGTTTTGTTTTCTAAGGGAATACTATTTTTCTTGTTATTATTGCAAAAAAATAGACATAGGTTGAGTCACAGATGGGAAACATACAGCAAGGTCAACATGGTGTTGTGGACTTGTAAAATGAACATCTGGTTGGGTGATATTTAAGTGATTTAAGTTGTTTTGTCTGTATCACATTCCACAGAGCATTATGTGTCTGTGTTTAGACATTTTCTACAAAGGTTGATGCTTTTATATAACATGTCTTTTGTTGTATTAACCTTGTATGTGACATTGTAACATTGTAAATGAGAGGGAAATTAAAGTTTTTTTAAAATGTGGACTTGCAAATGTTTTGTTGTTAGATTGCTGAAATTATTAAAATTACTTACATAATAAAGTAATAAATAACTGAAACAATAATAACATAAATAATAACATAACATAAATTATCTTGGTTAGACTTAACAATGGTTCTGCATGTGACAGAAACCTGATGCGATGGGAAGTGCCATCTGTTTGGTGTCTGACTCAGAGTCTGTACACAGATACCAACGTTTTCCTGTTTTGAATAGTCAAATTACTTCTTCTTCTCAGGTACAGTAGAGAAACCTATTCATTCTGTCACATATACACGTCATCTTTTTCTGCTCTTAGTAACACTTAACAAATCCTGGGAAACACATACAACAAGTTTCTGAACACCTCTGTGAATATAAGGGAAGCCATCCAATATTTGACAACCAGTGGTGGAAGAAAATGTTGTGCTTTCAGTTTTACTGAAGTAAAAATACAAAATAATTATAATTAAAATATACTTAAAGTACCAAAAGTAAAAGAACTCATTAAGCAGAAGGACCTATTTTTCAGAAATTCAGAATAATTACTTATTATTGGATTCTAATGATTGATTTTAATTCATTAATAAAATGCTGGCTAGCCTGTGAATGTCCATCTATAAAATCCAAACTTTTAATAATATATAAATAAAGCATTATTTATTAGTTGATTATTTATTATATCTGAATCTGCAAAAAAACTAAACATGTCAAATAAATGAAGTGAAGTAAAAAGGACTACAATTTGTTATCTGTGATTAATTTAATTTTCAATGTTAAATAAATACTCTACTACTAAATAAGTAGTTTTACTTTTTACTTTTTAATGCTTTATTTAGGAACCCAGAACTATTGTAACCCTAAAATATGTTTTCTATCGTACCACCAAGCAGCAACCTCCCCTCAATACTACACTTAGCGTGAATTACGAATGCTCCTTACTAATCTCTCGATCAAATATGGTCACTTCAAGCTCCAAAAAATACAAGATGGCGACAGCCAAAAATGCCAACGTTGAGGATTCAAATCTGTAGTCCACAAACCAATAAGTGATGTCACAGTGTCACAAGTCCAACTCTTTCATACAGTCTGTGCATACCACACAAAGTGTCCAATCTACCGGAAATATAATAGAATAATTAAATAACGTTTGCATCATGCCCAAAAAGAAGTACAAATCAGTGCTCGCAAGTTCAGTTTTTCCCACAGGATTTTGAGAGACATGCCCACAGACCCTCTCGAGGGTCCCCCCCGAAGAACATTTGGTACATTTTTAAGTTAAATACATTAATATGGTGCAAAATTACAAGGCTATCTATGAAGAACTTTGCACTATTGTCAAAAAAAATTTAGGCTCTACTAAACTATTTGATCATAAGCCCATTGTATTGCTATAAGTGGTGATGAAACAGCAAAAAAGTCAACAAATTTATTCAATGTTTTTCCAGCAACCCTAAATCAAATAATAGAATATCAATAAGTGTTTTCCCTAACATTTTATTATATGTTTGTTTGTTTGTTTGTGTTTTGTGAATATAATCCAATTAATCTTATTTCCATACTGTATAGACACTTTATTTTGAAAATCGAATGTTGTCACATTTGTATTCTCCCCCTGCTAAATTCATCAAGTCGACCCAATTTAATAAATAATGTTGTATGTGGTTCTCGTATGGTGCAACATGAAGACTTCATTGCCTCCCTTCAAGTAGGACTCTCATACTGCAACACTTGTCTTTGTAAAGAGAGAAACAGACAGGATAAAGTCACTAGCCTGCCTGTCAGCTCGCACTGGTCTGTTTCAGTGGATTTACCATAAAGGCTTTAATATGTGTGCACTCCAAATTTAGGTTTGGCTAGCTTAATCGCCTTCTCACACACGAGTGACAGAAACAGACCGTCAATGTTACTGTAGTTACCTCAAAGGAAAAGCAGTTGTCTCAAGTCGGATGCCAAAGTGTGTGAGCGTGCGAGCTTGCAGCAGCATCGAGCTGTTCCCACAAAAACACAACGTTGGAGGTCTGTGATGTCATTATGAGATGTGTAAAAAATATTTTCAGTTCATTTCAAGCTATGGCGGATCAAATTAGACTGTGGCAGGCCGTCATGGTCTCGTTAATTAATGGAAAACACTGAAGTTGCAATGCTGACGAAAGCAAGATATTGGCAAGTACTGTTTTCAACACAATTGTGATTTTATTAACAACAGCCTCTTAGTTCACATGAACACATGATTATGCATGTAAAGTCTAACCCTTTCTACTATTCAGCCTGTGTGTAATGTATAAATGTTTGACTAAAGTGTCATTATCAGTGCATTGACTCCATTAGTGCATGGAGACACACCACTGGTTGTCTCATTTCACACAACTACCTGACTTTTAAGCTAAGCACCAATTGCCAGAGAATGAGGCTGACCAGGCCATAGGAGCTGCCCTGAGGCTACACTCGTGATATCCTATTAACACTCCCCACCTGCACATTTTTTTGTTACTGTTTATTTTCCTGTTACTGTTTATTTTCCCCTGTTTGACCCTTCTTTTAAAATGTAGGCCTACTAGTCACAGTCAGTCACTTATATACACCACCTTATTCATATATTGCCTAACATGGTCTTGGTTATTTAGGTCTAATTTCAAATGAAGGAAGTGCATAAAAACTGCATTGTAAATATTTACATTTCAGCCAAGCGCATTGATGATAGTCGGCAGCAAATGAGACAAGACAGAAGAGGTCACTGATAATACATGTACTCATACTCTCGATTAACCCTATCATGCAAGGTGGCCACTATGGCATATTAATATTTAGCCTGTGTGAAAAATTTAAATGTTTTTCTAGTGTTATTATCAGTGCATTGACTCCATTAATATATTATGGTGATGCACCCCATGTCTCATTTCAGGTAACTACCTGACTTTTCAGCGAGTGCAGTGATGATAATCTCCAGAGAATGAGGCTGACCAGGTCATTGGAGCGGCCCGAGGGTACAGGTCATATAGCCTACTCATGATTTGCTATTAACTCTTCCCACCTTATTACTGTTTATTTTCCTCCGTTTGACCTTTCTTTTTGTAAATTTGCAAATAAACATTAACATTTTGCTAGCAATTCATTAGCATTACCATGCTAATAAAGACTGATTTCTGAAACCTCCACTGACCTCCAGAGTCGATGTGGTGACAAAGACAACCTTCTCAAAAGCACTGTACACTCTCCTCTGAACAAGGACAGAGAGCCACCAGTGACATGTATTTGGCTTTGTTCCCTGGAGAAGAGAGAGTCAGCTGACTCAGTTCTGAAGGATAATCAAATCAAGGTACTGACCTGAGTCTCACAAACTGCACCAGGACAGTTGATTTCAGTGGGATCCTAAGTGTAATCTTACAGTTGGGGAAAGTCCCTTAAAAATGTATGTAAATACAAGTTTGAGGTACTTCACGTGAGTTATGTGCATTTTATGCTGCTTAATACTTTTTATTCATTTCAGGGGTTTTTACTCCACTATATATATTTGACGGTTAATGTAATAATTGACAAGAACATCAGCTCCATTTCTGTAAATGTTTCTGCACTTGTTTTGTTAACATGAGCAGCTTGTTAACACAGTGTGCTACAAGTAGCCTACAAGTTATGGCTGTTATCTCAGATGTATAATGCATCAACTGATCTCGTAACATAAACATGAGATACTGACTGATAACAATGCTCAAGACTGAACAACACAAAGAGCTTCTGCTGTTCAGTGCTTGTTTATGTGTGTTATTGTTAATATATGTTTTGTGCTCCCCACTCATAATGTGAACACACATGATATCTGTTTATGTGCATGACAAAAACATTGATCAGCCAGAGGATATTCGGTACCAAAAAGATTAACTTTGTAATATATCCTCTTGATTTTTCTAATTTCTACAGCAGGAGCCTTATGTAAGCTTCTGATAAAATGATGAAAACATTTTTGCATAAAACAAGGACTGCGGATTGTGTCCCTAATCACTGACGTTGCAGATTAGGAAGGGATGTTTCAATTGTCATTATAAAAAGTAAGAATGATTTAAGCAAGCAAAAAAATATTATATGTAAGTGCTCACTTGGGAACCTGACTGTTGTTTGAAGACTGACTGGAAAAATTTCCATTCAACTGCTGCACAAATTAGGGAGTTTTAGTTGGTGCGTAACAGGTGCAGTGCACATACACAAATGTGAAATTTGTCTACATGCAAGCAATTACATGTATCTCATTCTTTTTGTTTTATAAACAAATGATGTGCTATTTTATTTTTCTTAACCAAAAAAGAAGAAACCTGAATTTTCTGAATGTGAAAATATAAATTCTCTGGGTTGTTTGACTAATCTTAAACAGGAGCTCAAATAAAACTGCGAGCAACAGGAAAGTATGCTTTTCTTTCTTTCTGCCCTCTAACCTTCTTTCACGCAGAAAAATTTACCACATGTGTGTCCACAGAAATTGTTTGGTCAGAGTAAAGAATTTAACCGAAACTGAGAAGATCCCGCTGTCTGTATGCTAAGGGTGTCTGAGAACCGGCCTATTATGTTTTCTCTCTGCTCATATTTACCCTGGGTGCAGTTATTCAGGTTTCCAGCCGAGCTTTGGAATTGTTTTACTTATACCGGATCCTGACTGTTTAAACCCACACGACTGGAACCAGGAAACAACGAATGACCAATAGTATCAGAGTCTATAGCCTCAGTGTGTGTGCTTACACCACTTTGTAAATGTGTGTGTGTGTCTGTGTGTGTGTGTCTGTGTGTCTCTGTGTGTGTGTGTGTGTGTCTTTCTATGCTTACTCAGAACAAGCTTTCTAAGTAGCCAGACACTGAAACAACATTCTGTTCAGCGATGTGGTTTACTAACTGCATGAATGCAAGTCAGCCTTTATGTTTAAGGAACTACACACTTGTTGTTTTGTGACTCTGTAGAAAAACTTCCTCTTCCCACTGAGGATCTGTGATGTATGTGATCCGACCACAATTAATAGCCTTGTTTACTTTACACCACAAATTGGATTTACTTATTACAGTTTAATCACCCACATCAAGTGGAACACAAGGTTTGGGAGAAAACAGGTGAAGCGCTTCTTTGAAGTGTGGATTTTTCTTGGAAACCAAGAGGCAGCCATTTTACCAGTGACCAACCCCCACCAGCCACACACACACACACAGACACACAGACACACCCTCCCTCCATCACATCCCTGCTCACCTGCCCTGCCTCCAGCTCCCCTCCTCCACTATATGTGACCAGGTGGTGCGATTTTTTTGCTTTGTGAAGCCAGCCTTCTGCTGACATCATTACCACAGGACTCCTCCTCGACCACCTGAAGTATAAAGGTTCTCTTGTTTCCGTGGCAGCCTCTCATTGCTACTTCACACTCCCTTACAGTACTCACACTTTTCAAGGACACCTGAACAACAGAGGAGGAAAGACTCTTAAATTCTGAAGGGTTTTGTTTGTTGGAAAATCTGTGGACTCACTATTTAAGTTTTGTTCTGTCATCAGACAAAGAGCTAGCATGTCGATGGGTATGGAGATTGTGGGCATTGCCCTTGGATTCATTGGATTTATCATTGCAATAGTGACATGTGCCCTGCCAATGTGGAAGGTGACCGCCTTCATCGGAGCCAACATCGTCACGGCTCAGACCATCTGGGAAGGTTTATGGATGAACTGTGTCACCCAGAGCACGGGCCAGATGCAGTGTAAGGTCTACGACTCGATGCTGGCCTTGCCTCAGGAGCTGCAAGCTTCCAGAGCAATGACCATCGTTGCCATCATTCTCGGGGTGCTGGGGGTCTTGATCTCCATTGTCGGCGCCAAGTGCACCAACTGCATTGAAGACGAGCCATCCAAGGCCAAAGTGATGATCATAGCCGGGATCTTTTTCATCCTTGCTGGCCTTTTGGTCCTCATCCCTGTCTCCTGGACCTCCAGCGTCATCATCCGGGATTTCTACAACCCCCTCCTGACCGACGCGCAGAGGAGGGAGATCGGGGCATCGCTCTACATTGGCTTTGGAGCTGCCGCCATGCTCCTGATTGGTGGGGCGATGCTGTGCAGCAGTTGCCCACCAAAAGAGAAGCAGTACAAGCCACCCCGGATGGCCTACACCGCACCGCGCAGCGCCAGTGCAGGTGGAGGGTACGACAGGAAAGACTATGTTTAAACGCCCATGGAGTGTCCGATAGATTGATTTGGACAGTAACATTAAACAAAAATGTTTGTTTAGGGAGTATTTGTGTGTTATTTTTTGCTGTCAGATGGTAAACCCCACAAACAGACTCCGAGATGAAGATGAGTGTACAACTATTGATCTTTCTGCTTTGCTTTTGGCTGACTGACATATTCATTTGTTTAAATCATTTTGTCGCCTTTGCTCCGCTATAATCCAGCAGGCGTGTCTTGTTAAACAGGCTCTTATGTTCAGTATAGGAACATGAGAGCCTGTTTTCCAGGAAAACATAATTTTATTCTTTTGAAATGTTAAACAGCGTCCCTCTGAGTACATGTTGTATTTATACAAAAACTTTGGTGGCATTATGTGTATTCGAAAACACCTGCTGCTTGTTTGTGTGTGTCGCTCCATAATTAGCTGTTGGCCCTCTGGTGTCACATTTCACTGAAGCTTTCATTCAAAATGCTTTGTGCCATTTCACTAACAATGACAAGGAAGAGTCAGCTCTCATTTTACATGGATTTGGTTGTGTGATTGTTCTGTGCGTGTGAGTGTGTGCGTGCATGTGTGCACGTGTGTGTGTGTGTGTGTGTGTGTTTTGCATGTAATATTTGCTTAGGAGAGTTTCTGCTGAGACTGAAACTAAAGATGGATTCACGATATGGCCCCAGGTAACAACTATCTCTTCTTCCTCACAGTTTCACTGTCTGAGGACATAGAACAGAACTTATTTCAGTTGGAACCCAAAGTCCGACTTTTTGTGTGTCCAAATGTATTTTATATTTCTGTAATAATAATTTGTAATGTATTTTAACACCACATCTTCCACCATGTGTCTGCATTTCAAATAGTTTGTGTTGTGTCTTAGTTTCAAACATGTATCTATCCAAGGAAGGTTAAATCAAGGGCATCTGGACTTGAAGATACTTTTAGACTTTATATCTATTATGAGGCTGTACATCCTCTGTATGTCAAACAAAGAGCCATGATCGCCATCTCTTTGAAAATAAGTAGATTTTGTGTTCAAAGTTTAACATAATTTGTAACTTAGGTGTTGCTCAAACATGTTAAAAGAGATGATTTATAATATTCAATGCTTTGTAAAATGTTTTATAGTAGTGCTTGAATTGCAAATGTGTTGAAGATTTTAATAAAAGTCCTATTAAGAATGATATTGGTGTTTTTTTCCCTCTCATGAAATAAATCAAAAAGTTTAAAAAGCTGAAAACTTGTTTGAGCTTCGGGAGTCGGGTGTCTTTGTTTGCCAAGCTGAGTTCAATGCATCAGTTCAGCCAGAGTTAATTAATGCATAGGTGTGGCAGGTACGGTAGGCATCATTCAGCTGCCACACACTGTACCTGTCAAAGAGGAAAAAACTTTAGCCTGTTGGCTATATTATGGAGAAAGGAAAGGAAAAAGAGAATTGATGAAAATTTTATTTAGACATTTCACTGTCTTGGCCAGGCTGACAGAGATCACTGATCTCAACAGGTTTTAGCAGGTTAAATAAATAAATAAGTCATTATGGCCTACAGTAACATGTCAGGAGAAAGTAAAATGGTCAAAAACTTCACAATCGACTCATTCTGAAAGTGTCCACTTTCAAAACGTACAAACGTTTCTCCACTCAAGGGAAACATATTGGATCCACGGATTTATTTGGCTGATGTTAAAAGTTTTGATTGTTCCACCATTAACTATGAATGTACCTGTAATGATTTTTGGGTTAGGCCTTAATCCCACATTGTTAATTGTGTCATTGTTAATCCCAAATGTATTTAACATTTGGCAAAATGTTACTGTCAGTAATTAAGTGTTATGTTAGATTCTGAACCCAAAGCGTATATACAATAGTTTGTAAATATGTGAAAAATGGAGTGTGAATACACAGAGTTTGAGTGGTTGTTGAGTTTGAGTGAGAAAACAGTTCATTGTGGTCTTCTGTTGTGCTGACCAGGGCCACTATTTATCAAGCTTCTCAAAGTGCCATTTTAGTCTTAAGTGCTGAGAATTCATGAAATTTACTCCTACTTTTAAATTTAAGAAAGTTATCAAATATCTCAAAGCTAAGAATCACTCTTACTATGTTGAAAACAGGCACCCTTTTCCAGAAAAAACGAATGAATCAGGAATAACTCCTCAACTATTTTGCCTAGATGCATAATTCTGGTCTCCTTTGAAAAGTCAGAAGCTAAGGAATATAAATCCATTGTATATTAATAAATTTATTTTACTATTACAGACTACATGGAGATGCAATAAAGAAATAATATGTACTGTTAAACATTCCTGTCACCAAAGCACACCCATTTTTACAGGCGTGTAGATTGACAACGGAACATCCCACAGTGATCTGGCTTAAGCAGACCTTTCATTTGGTACCCATTTGGTGCATGTCTATGTATTTCCAACGGGTCGGCCACAAAATGGCAAAAAAACACTGTGTGTTCTCAAGCAGCATGTTTCCTCTCTACAGATATGTCCAGAGCAGGCAGGTAGCTCGCAGGTATTGTGCAATAATCAAGATGGTGATGATGATAGACTCGGAGCAACAACATCGGCGGGTTTTGGAGTTAAAACGGTTTTTCAATCAGTAATTTCGCCCACAGCACAGTTGCCCCCGGTACTGGGGGGGGGGGGGTGTCTGTTTTCAACAGGAGAGCTCGAGAGGTCTCTCAAGTGGTTAGGAGTTGCCTGTAGGGCTTGTGATGGTGCTGTTGAGACAGAGATATGTGGAGAAGAGAGGGAGAATTCTGAGACAAGCAATTAATAAGATGGGGTCGGACAGCCCAGGCATCAACTTTGTCAGCGAGTTGGTGAGGGACGTCATCTCACCACTGACTTTACACAGTAATGCATTTTCAGTTAAATTGAAGGTGGTGATGATGCTTCGTTTATTTGCCACAGGACAAACGTGGCAATGCTGATGATTTTGGCCGTCACAACCATCAATAAGCCAAATAGTCATGGAAATAATTATAGCACTCACAGCTCCACACACTGTCACGCCTTTCATCGACTTCCTAACAACACTCTTGACACAGAGTGATGGCGCTCATATAAAGATACATTTTTATTTTTCATTTATTAATGTGTAGGCCTATATCATAATGTATTATCTTGAAAATTCTTTATTGTTAAATTGTGTTAAATATAAACTCCTCTTAGGAATTTCACCGTTCAATGTGAATTTATCTGATAATATTCTTAAAGAAGGAAATCTATTCAGTGATTGGTCCTTGGCGACATCGTCATCTTGTTTGCGTTACAGCAAAGTGTCGTAAATCAGCACTAAGACTGACACTTAAGATTTAGTCCTACACTTCACTCAAATTAGGACTATGATGCTTTATAACTAACTTTTAAGCACAACTTTGAGCCAAGATTTTTTTTACTCTTAAGTCAGTTATTAGCAGTGTTCTTATAAGTAATTCTGAGAAGCTTGATAAATATGGGCCCAGGTCTTTTGTTTAGAAAGTACTAACACCACAGTGTAAAGACACTCCTGCATTGAAAATTTTACCTAAGTAAAAGTAAGTATAATCAGGAAATGTACGTATAAAGGTGGTGATGATGGCGCATAGATAAGATGCTTGCCTTTGCCCTGAGCAAGACACTTAACCCCTAGTGGCTCCAGAGGCGTGCGACCTCTGACATATCAATTGTAAGTCGATTTGGATAAAAGCGTGAGCTAAATGTCAATGTAAGAGAACGCAATGCAGAAAAAATGTCCCCTGTGACTGTTGTAGTAGAACTATTGAACTATTTTGTATCGGACTACAATTAATGATTATTTTCATTATGTCTGTTAAGATTCTCAGTCATCCAGGTCATAGTTATCCAACGAAGGTTAAAGTCAAGGGCAACTGGACTTGGTTGAAGATACTGAAATATTTTCATTATGGATTCATCTGCTGATTAGTTTCTCCATTAATGGATTGAGAGCTCAGTTTGTAAAAAATTCTAAAAAAAAATAGTGAGAAATGCTTCCACAACTACCCAGAGCCCAAAGTGACACCTTCACAATTCTTGTTTGTCCAATCAACAGCCAAAACCTCAAAATTATTAACAGTGTATTAAAATAATTAAAAGAAAAGCAGCCAATCTTCACATTTGTGAAGCTAAAACCATGCTTTTTTTGCATTAAAAATGACTTAAACAATCAAAATTGTCATTGCCTGTCAACTGATGAACTGATTAATTGACTAAACATTTCAGCTGGACTTGTATATAAACTGTTGGGTAGTTTAATTTATTACTAAACCTCCTGTTTTATTATCTCTTCATATGTTTTGTAAAGTAATTAGTAACTAAAGCTGTAGTGAAGTAAACAATACAACATTTCCCTCTGAGACTTAGTGGAGTAGAAGTAGAAAGTGGCATAAAAAGAAAATAAGTACCTTAAATTTGTGTAAAAAGTACAGTACTTGAGTAAATGTACCTAGTTACTGCCCATCACTATTGCTGTCTGTGTGACACCTTTTTCAAAAAGAGAACTCAATTTGGGGAAATGCGTGTTACAAAATTGTAAAAACATATATTGTGGTAGTGTTGTATACATGTTTATGTATATAAAGGTCAGTCACTTCCGTTTTTATCCTTGATAATACATAAAGATTTTTAACTCTATTCGTTACACTGACTTTGTGTTTGTTTCACATTAATTATAGTTTGGCTTAAAAACATATTGTTCTTTTAATTTTAAAGACATTATATTGACACCTGAGTTGTGAACAGTCGTCCCACCAGTTTTGACAATACGCTGCATGCAGAACATGTTAACAGTGAACAGGATGTGATAAGCAGTAGCTGTCAACATGATGAGAATCATTGGAGCGAACAGCTTGTTGAACTTCTAATTTGTCAGTGTAATATAAATGCCAAGTTTTTGCATTCAAGTTTTAGAAGTTAGAAGTAATAAATATTGTAAAAGATCAATATTCAGAACTAAAGCATCATTTTGTTGTGTCTTTGTTGAGTAAAACGTGTGCTAAGAAACCAGATGAGACTTAGCTGATACTGCAGAGTCAGGAAATGCCAGAGTGTCACACGAAGGGTGTTGAACAACTGACTCACAACATTTTACAGTGTTATCTGTAGAAAACAGAATCAAAGGTCCTTGAAACACCCCTGCTACACTCGCTGCTTGCTGATCTTACAGGACCATGATTGAGGTGGGTCAGTTAATGGAATTTGACCAATTCAACGGAAACATTTCTGCAAAATAAAACAAAGCGTGACAGTCATGTTTTGATTACACGATACACTAAGAGCTTGCAGGTAAACTGTGGAGTTAATTATTAGATTTTTTTATCTGAGCATAGAATACTAATATGTGTGAGAAGGAGAAAGTTAAGTTATGTTTCAGTAAATTGTCATCTTTTCTGTACAAAAGACTGAAGCTTATTGTTCTGTATCCACCCTAAAATGTTTAAGTACTTAGCCGCCTGCCACACACCTTGCATCCATTCACTAAGGTTGTCTTATGAGTATGATTGTTTTTTATCTACAGAGACAACCGGAATATCAGGTTTTGGTGTCAGTTCAAGAACTTCTCTCATGAGGGACATGCAGGACAGAGATAAAAATCCTCTATCCACAGCAGTATCAGTATTAAATTACAACAAAGCCACAAATCATGGTATGCAGAAGTTGCGATAGAAACTGATCTGACCACATCTTAAATTAATTAAATTTGAGTTCAATGATTGAATGATTAAGTGATAAGTCATTTAAGACAATTTTCAAGCATCACTGCCAAACCTTTACTGGTTCCAGTATTTAACCGTTTATTGGTTGGACAAACAAGTCATCTGAAGATGTCCCCTTGAGCTCTGGGAAACTGGGATGGGTATTTTTTACAATGATGCATTTGTCAAGGGGGTGGGAGACAGTGGCAACAAGGGCAGGACCGAATTGCAGACAGTCAAGGCAGCAGGAAAATTGATTGATAGATGGGTGAGGCAGTCAGGTGATGGGGAAATTGTGGGAAAAGTGAATGAATGGAAAATGGCAATGAAAGGGAGTTCTGGAGAGGACGCACGGAGAGACAAACTGTGACATAGATTAAACAAAAGAAAAAACAAAACAGGCCTGCATGCTCATGGGCCTGCATGATATAAAACCATCGATGACCCTCTTGTAAAAACATCGCTCCATAGTCTCACCAGTG